TGAGTTTCAACAGAAACAACTTATTCAAATTCATAACCTTATTCTTCGAGTTGATACTTATTTTAAACTGCAATTTAAGCCTCTCTAGAAAAATCTCAAAGATAAAAAAATAATAACAATATAAATAACATATTATAAAATATTTAGTATTGTATTTTTTACATAATTTCTCAGATTTAAATCAGATTAAAATTAGATCGACTTAGATTATTAATTTAATATCAAAATGAAATCATTTGCCCTTATAACACTTGTATTCTTGGTCACTGCAAACGACATTGTAGTGGAATAAAACAAAATGTAGAAATTAATGGATGAGATGTCTGAAGTCAAGCATTCAATAATTTTAAAGAAACTCTTAGAGAAATAACTATAATTGACAAAGGCTTAAGAGCTAATAGAAGTTTAAAGTGAAAGTAAGAATTTGTAGAATTTTAGGTGATTCCATAAATGATTCCATATAATTAATCAAAGTATCCTAAAGTACATACAACAGTAGTAATAGCAACTACACATAACCTAATACCACATATAATTACACCTACAGTAATTATTCATAGCCTACAAATACTTACAACTAGAGTAATCTAACTAATACAACTAACGCAATCAACTAGACAAATTCATCCTATCCTTATAACTACACAACATCATATCCTTACAATAATGGTGTTTATAACTATGTTAGTTATGATAATTAAAGTGATACAACCAATTCCACAAACACAAACTCTACTAGTATAACATGCTCAGTTGGATATTTCTTATCATAAAATTCAACATGTTTACCTTGCTTAACCAATTGTGCAACATGCTCTTCATCATATGTTTGCTTCACATGTAACTATGGCTATTAATTAACTACTACAGGATGTTTATCATAATCAATTTATAATACTACAAACTCTACTAGTGAAACTAATTCTACTGTTCTTTATGATAACAGCACCTTAATTAATTCCAATAGTACATCATAAGATTACAACAACACTTAGTATAATACAAGTACTAACACTTAGTATAATACAAGTACTAACACTTAGTATAATACAAGTACTAACACTTAATATAATACAACTACTAACACTACAAACTATAATTAAACATCAGATAATAGTACATTCTACAATGATACTTATACTAATTACACAAACTAATCAAGAATCAGATAAAAATTTAATTAATCAAGAGTTCATCTTAAATTGAGAAATACATTCAACAGATTTGATAATAACAACTTCACTTAAATAATATCTTATTACAATTAATCTAATCAATCATAAAATACTGTAGTTTTGTTCAATAGTTCTGCAGTAGTTTAAAAGTAAAGTCTAAACGAATACTATTTGTATCAAAATAATAGTTTAGTAGTTTTGAATTAAGAATATGATCCATATGGAAATATAGTTTATAGATCAATTAATTATGACTTCACAATCGTAGTTTCAAAGAAGCAAAATACTTTTAATTAAAATCAAAATCAAGAGATTTATGGTACTATAGTTTATGGGTATGGCAACTTTAACGCAACCTACAATAATTAAAATGTAAATTCAGGTTATGGATATCAAAATGGAGGTTAAACAACATTTAATTATTCTAATTAAGCTTCAGGATAGTTAGCTTATAACTAAGAAAATAATTTTGCTTATGCTTAATATAGTAATTAAAGTCAAGGATATTAATCATCATCTTAGTATGATTCATTCTACAATGATACCGTCTCAAGAAGCAATTATTCAAATTCAAATAATAATTACGATAATCGTAATGACTACTAAGGTACTGCAAACTTTGATTATGACTATTACACAAAAAGTTCCTCCTATTCTAACAGAGATTCATCATATCAATCATAAGATGATTATAATTAAGTGAATGGTCTTGGATATGATAATTACAATACCCAAACTTCTAATTCATACTCTAATGGTTAATCTTCATCAAGTATTTATCAAGGAGATAAATCAAAATCTAGTAGCAATAATGAAAATAGCAATTTCAATTCTTCCTAAACTAATACTGTGTATGCCTAAAATTACACCTTAGTGAATGAATCTTCACTTGGATATAATACAGCTTAAAGTTCATCTAATTAATAAAGTGACTGGAGAAATTACTCAAATTATGATTATTCTAATGGATACAAAAATCAATAATCAACTTATATTCATAATTATACTAATTCCTATAATGTTTCTGATACTAATGAATACAAATCAGATAGTCATTATTAATAATAAGGATAATATGGATATGAAACATCAAATGGTTATAATAACTTTGCTTCTGGTTAAGCACATGCTGTTTAAGTTTCAAATGAAAATTTAACAACAACTGAAGTTAATGCTACCATCAACTAATATAACTCATCTAATTATAATTATGGTGGTGAACCATAGTATGATGGATCTTCATCAAATAAAGATATACATGTTACTATTGAAGATAATTTATAATAATTTAATTAATTAAGAGGATCAAAGAAATAAGCTACAGGATCATGGAAGGAAGTCAATTAAAAAGAATTTACTAATTCTAATGGAAAAATTCTAGAAGAAGCTAGATAAGCTATTACAACCAAATTTAATCCTTAATAAGAAGGATTCTAATTTGATTCAATTTAAAGTATCTAAGAATAGATTGTGGCAGGAATCAATTACAATATAAAATTAAAATATTTGAATGCTGATTAAAAATCCATCATCTATGAAGTTGTACTTTACACCATGTAATTTATTTTCAATTATTCTTTAGTCCTTGGTCTAATCAACCAAATTAAGTTACAAGTTGCTCCAGATTTGATCAATCAGAAATATGAATATGATTTAATCATATTTCAATAAATATCAAAATTTGTTTCTATTTATTAAAAAAATATATTCTTATTCAATTAATACATAATGTTAAATAATCACTTGGATCGATATTTTGAGAAGTAATCATTTAAACTAAGGCATTTGGCGAGGCTTAGTTTAATTTACTTTCACAGCTTAATGAATAGGATTATTGAATCTATCATGAAATCCTTAAAACTTACTGAATGTTGTCTAAAGTTGAATCCTCCTTTTATTCAACTAATATTTAAAAGAAAGGATGTTAAAGACATTAGGTAGCTGAAGGTCTCAATTTTGGATCTTTTTATAGCATTTAAAGAACTAAATCACATGCATAAGGATTTTTAGTTTTGATGATATCCAAATGAGTCAAGTCATAATCAACAGCTATATTTTTCAAAAGCAAAGTTTAAGGAATTCTGGAGGATCCAAAAGGATTTTTTAATGTTAATCTGAAAATTCACATTAAGAATTACAAATTAAAAAACATTACGCCACAACTAAATATGTCAGCCTTGGCATCATATATGGATTGTGTGAATACTTCAGGAGCTGTGTAACCTGGTGTACCACATCTAAGAATAAATATGTTAATACCTTGTATTATAATAAGGAATTTATGATTTGTGACATGCTAATCCAAAATCTGCCAATACGAGACTGCTGACATCGTTAGGTATTCTAAGTAATACATTTTAAAGTTTTATATCTCTGTGAAGTATATCCAAAGAATGAAGGTGTTAAACAACTTAATAAATATTTATTTTATATACCGTTTAATAATTTTTTCATCACTAGTTAATGGTTGATATCGTTGTTATTTTGGTTCAAAAACTTAAGTAAGTCACCTCCAGGGCAAAATTCAAGTAATATAGACAAAGAATGATCATCACAAGAAATTTCCTCCAATTAGATTATATTTGGATGAGGATGATCCCTTAAGTTGTTAAGAATCATTTACTCCTACTTTATTTATTCCTTGTTATAATCAATTTTTTTAATACAAAACGAGTTAAATTTGAAGTATCGTAACAAACATGTGGAAAGTATGCCATCTTTTCTACCATCAAGTTATTGGTTCCTTCTATTTATAATAAAACTAGCTTGATAATAATCTGATACAAATATTATTGGCTATACCATTAATTCTTTTAAAACAAGGTCTTCTTTTGAAAAGTACTTTACCACGAAGTAGACGTTCTAAATTCTATAAATTCTGTAACTCTATGTCTATAGTAACCTTAATGTTACGGTCTATGCTTTCTAAATCCATTGTACCAGTTTTATTTACTTAGTATACATACTCAAAAATACCTTCATTTATTGAACGAAACCATGTTAATACACTATCGATAGTCCCTCTTGGTATGAAAGCTATTTAAGAATCTGTACTTGTCATCTATTTCGGTAGATTTAAATTTTACTTTTATTGTTAAACCTAGTGGGGATGCATTTAAAGAAACTTCGTGTTTAGATTGGTCGTTTGCGATCAAGTATCCTTGAAAATTAAAAAGCATGAAGGTAAAAATGTTTAAAAATTTTAAGTAATTTAAAATATCAAATTCCTTATTATTTATAATGATTCCTATGTGAAAAATCTTTTAATAAGATTTTTAGACAATAATCATTATCATTATTTCATTATATTTTTATACAACAACCTATTTTTATAATATAAAAAATTACTAATAATTGATAAAACAATTACTAATAATTGATTAAATCTCATTTTAACTGAAATTGCTCATCATATTATATTTTCTTTAAAATTTTTGCTCTATTTATTTTAATTCTGAATTCAAAACTATTTTTTTATCAAATTTATAGATTATTATCATTTTAACTTATTATTTCTAGAGAAAACGAATGATTGGGAAGAGATTCTTCATACTACTAAACTACTTTTTTATAGTCATTTATTTAGTATTTATTAAAAAAATAGAAAAGTTAAATAGAAAATATCGAAATAATTATCATTTCGTTTATATGAATATTATAATATCATATCCATAATAACAATCATAACAATATCACAATGCAATAAAACTAATAAAAATACTTACAATGGATATGATTACACTACTATCATCTTCAGTCGTATTTGAACTAGGTTGAGTAGTATTTGATGATGAATTCGTTGTAGCTGTTTTACTACATCTAGTACATTTAGAATTCTATTAATCAAATGTATAAGTATATGCACTATAAGTATAACAATAAGTCAATTCTAATTAAGTAGGATCCCCTATTATACATGGTAAATTAATATTCTAAGTAGAATTTGTAGTTGTTGTAGAATTGGTACCTGTTGTTGAATTAGTACCTGTTGTTGAATTATTATCTGATTTAATTTTATTAGGAACACAAATTGTAGCTGTTTTTGAATCAACAGAATATATAGGAAGACAATTTGTTCCAACAGCCAAAGATAAACAAGTATGAGAAATACATGAATTGATTTTACTATTTGTATCTGTGATATATTAACAAGTTTATTTTTTGAATTCACAAGCTATTTTATCTTGATGTGCATCTTCACATTTTTTCATAAGTTTACAAGTAGATGTTAGTGTATTATCTTAATTTTTGACTTCATTCCATACACATATTCCATCAGTTCCATTAGAATGACAAGCCACTTTAGTTTTATATGATGCACAATTTGATTAACTTAGACAGACAGTACCATCAGAAATACATCCTTTTAATTTAAGATTACATGCTGCAGATGTTATTTCTTTGTAATCTGAACAAATTTTTATTCTACATTTTTCTTTATCGAAAATGCATTCACCATCTGTTCCATTGAAACAACTGTTTTTATCATATTTATCACATTTATTCATATCTATACATCCAGTGCTATTAGTAGTACATTACTTAATAGCTTAAAATGCATTACAACTTTAATGTGTTACAATATTATTAGCATTCTAAACAGTAGCATCAGTACATTCTCTTAATCTACACTTTGTTTTGGAATCTTTTACTTCCCAAAAGCATTTACCATCATCACCCATATTTGCGCAAGCTAACTCAGTTAAATAACTTTCACATTTTCCTTTTGGGAAACATTATTTACCATCACTAATACAAATAGGTAATTTAGAACATGTTGAATGTTTATATATAGTACATGAATTTGAAAATAAACCACAAGTAGCATTATCTGAACTTGTAGCTTGTTTGCATTCTTTAAATAGAACACATTTTGAAGGATCTGATCCATTTTGAGGTAACCATCCACAAACTCCATCAGTTCCATAAATACAACTAATTTCATTTTTATATCTTTCACATAGTGTAATAGATAAACATGTTGTACCATCACTTATACATTTTTCTCCAAATTTTTGACATTCTTCAAAAGTTGTTCTAGAATAATCAGAACATTATTTATATGAAATACATTATTATTTTCCATCATTCTACCAAATACAAGGTTTTAATAAGGTATCAACAGTGCATCTAGCTTATGTGACAATTTTATCACAAGTGAAGGGTGGTGATTCACAACCTTACCCTGTGGTTAAACAATTAGATAAATATGCTTTACATTTTTCATCTGTTTTAAAAGCTTTAGATGCATCTGAACATTTTTTGGCTCTACATACAGTTTTATCCCAAATGCAAGTGTCTCCTTTATCTGTTGTTTTAGCTGCTTAACAAATAATTGAAGTGTTATAATTAGCGCAAGCACTTATTTCAATACAACCATTTCCTTAAGTAGTACAACTCGAATGTAGTGCTTTACAACCATCATGAGTTGTTATTGTTTTAGAAGCATCTGTACATTTCCAATTTCCACATACACCTTTACCTGCTTCATAATTCCAAGAACATTTTTTTGTAGAAGTTCCCTAAACTGGTGTATTAACACACTGACTCTAGTTTCTGAATATAGAGCAATCATTTTGTAGTTCTCTACAATTTGATGTATGTGCACAGTTGGGATTAGCTTAACAAATTGCTTTAGTTTAAATATCTTCACAAGTAACATTAGCAACACATCCAAATCCAGTAGTTTAGCAAGCAGATTTAAATTTATCACAAACTACATCAGAATCAGCAGTATTAGGAGCTTCATAACAATTAACTGATTCACAAGAAGCAACAACATTGCTTACTCCTTTACAAGGTTTATCAATAGCAGAGAAATTTGGACAAGTTTTGACTGTTCCTAAAAAGTTTTTACATAATTATCTATTAACACAACCAGTACCTTTGGTAACACAACCTGTTAAGAATTAATCGCAATCTTTATCTGTTGTTAATTTAGCATTATGAGTGCATAATCTATCAATGCAAATTGATGTTGAAACAGCAGTAATGACATTCCAGCATTTCTTAACACCATTTAATCCTTTAAAATTAGCACAAGTTTATTAGGTACCTAAATATTTGGAACAAGGTAATGATTTATCTATGCATCCAGTTCCTCTAGTTACACATCCAAATTAAAAGGCTTCACAATCTAAATCTGTTGTACTGTAATCATTATCCGTACACAATCTATCAACACATGGAGTTCTTTCTGTAGCATCTAAAGTATTCCAACAGCGTCTTCCATTTCCTGTGTATTTCTTACAAGTATCTCTGTTTCCCAAATATGATGTACATGGTTCAGTCTTTGAAATGCATCCTTAACCTTTAGTAACACATCCATCTAAAAATTTCTGACAATTTTCATCAGTTAATGAATCTTAATCATCTAAACAATTTCTCACTCCACAAATACCAACAGTACTTTCATCTCTTTTACACCCATTAAAAGAATTACACAAACTTGTTGTACCACTAAAAGTTGAGCATGCATTTGTTGATAAAACACATCCTTTTGAATTTGTTACACATCCGCTAAGAAAATCATCACATACTAAATCAGAAATAGATGTTGTATTATGATCACATGTTCTTTTTATACAAGAACCTATTCCAGTTGTTTATGACCAGCATTTTCCATCTACATTAGATATAATTACTTAACATTGTTCTTGAGACATATTTGTATAACTAGCACAGTAATCCTCTTTTTTTTAACATGTCTAACCATTAAATGTGCAAATGTCTAAATGAGCTTAACAATTTTGAAATGATGGATTAATGACATTTTAATCGCAAGTTCGATTTTCACAAATTCCTATTCCTGCAGCTGTTTTCCAACATTTTTTATTATCAGTAGTTAATACACTTCTGCATGCTTGCTAAGTAAAACCAGTGTATTTCTAACAATCATCTTGTAATAATATGCAAGTTTATCCTACTCCTGAATAAGTGCATTATGTTGTAGAAGTATATGATTAAAGATGTAATAAACAGTTAGATTAACTAATATTTAGTATTGAATTTGAGCAATTTCTATCTTCACAAGCTCCATTTCCAGGTGCTGGTTTCCAACAGAATTTACCAGTATTATCTTTAATTTATTTACATAATTCTTAAGTTGCATTCAAATATTAATTACATGAACTTTTAGCCGGCTCACATAAACCATCTGCTGAATCATCTCTCCAACATTAATCTCCATTTGTTGTTGTTATTTATTTACATACAGCAGCAGGAAATAAGGGTCCATAATCTGGACAATTAGCTCTTGATTCTATACATTAATTACCCGCCCCTAATCTACAAGTCTTTAAATATTCAACACAATTATCATTTTTTAGGTCTGTATCTATGGGTGCCACAACTTCACTACACTGTCTTTCTATACAACTACCATCTGCTTCTGCCCAACATTTATCTCCACCTACTTTCTTAGCAGCTTTACAAGCATCCATTGTGAAATCAGTATATAGAGTACATGAATTCTAAATTGTAGTACATTTTGTCCCTGTAAACACACATGTACTTAAGTATGAAGCACAAACCTCTTCTGAAGGTTAATCAATATTATTATCACAGGATATTGGTTCACAATTACCCTATGAATTATCATTCTTCCAACATTTATTTCCACCAATTGTTTTCACTTATTTGCATGCATCTTATGTAAAATTAGTGTAATCTCCACAATTATTTTATTTTTATTAACATTATGTTCCATCAAATACACATCCTATTAAAAAATTATCACAATCTGCTTAACTAGTGGCTGACCCTAAATCTGAACATTATCTATTAACACATGAACCATTAGATCCAGTTGTAAGCCAACATCCTAAATTATTTGAATCAGAGAGAGATTAACATAGTGTGCTATCTCCAGTATAAGAAGCACAAGTGGGTTATGCTATTATACATTTTGTACCATCAAATCTACAAGTTTTCATATATCTAACACAATCAGCATTAGAAGTAGGGTTTGTAACTTCATCGCAAGCTTTTTGTGAACAAGAACTTCTAAGAGTACAAGGTTTTTTATTTCCATTAAATGTCATGCAGGTAGTTTGAGAGCCATTATATAAATTACATTCAAGTGAGAAATGTTAACATCCTGCACCATTTGACACACAGTCTTAAAGAAAGTCTTAACATTCTTTATCAGTTGTTGCAGTAGTGTTATGAGCACATTATTTTTCAACACAAGCAGAGCCAGCTTCCCACCAACATTATTTACCATTAGACTTAAATTAAGAACAAGCTTCAGTAGAGGATCCTGAATAACTAGTGCATGGTTCAATTTTATTTATGCATCCAGCTCCCCCATAAAGACAATTAATTAAAAATTTAGAACATTCATCATCAGTTGTAGCAGTAGTATTATCAATGCAGAAGAGTTATCTACATGCTGCTGTATTGCCAATATCGTTATAGCATTTTCCATCTGAGCCTGTGTATTTGGCACAAGTGGTAGCATCTCCAGAATATGCTGAACAAGGTTCTGTATGGCTAATACATCCAGTTCCTTTAGTTTTACATTTAAATTGAAATTTATCACAATCTTCATCAGTAGTACTAGTAGTATCTAAATTGCATAACCTTTCAGAACAAGGTTCTTTGTTAGTATTGCTAGTGCCCCAACATCTTTTACTATTTCCTATAAAACTCTAACATTCATCTGCCTTTCCAGAATAGGATGAACAGGGACTTGTTTTATGAAGACATCCAGCTAGAGTTGTAAGACAACCAGTTAAGAATAAATCACAATCTTTATCGGTAGTGTATGTGTTAGGAGCATCGGTACATTCAAGTAATCTACAAGATGTTCCAGTCCAAAAACATGGTAAACCATCTTCTTTGTTTTAATTACAGATACTGATGGTAGAGTATTAGGTACATTTGGCAGTAACACAAATAGAATTCCACAAACAATTAGAGATTCCTTTGCAAGCCTATTCACTAGATGTAGATAAACAAGTATTTTTAAGTTCACATCCAGCTCCATTAGATAGACAACTGGGATGAAAGATTTTACATTATTCATGAGTCTTATATTCTTTAGGAGCATCAGAACAAGAAGCAGTAAGACAATTGGCTTCGTTGACATCATGAGTTCCTTTACATCTGCCATCAGATCCAACAATCAAAGCACAGGTGCTTATGGTTCCTTTTTATTGATTACATGGTTTTCTGATATTAATACATCCTTAACCTGTTGTAAGACATCCTTTTTAAAATGAAGCACATTCTTCATCAGTTTTTAATTTGACATCAGCATCAGTACATAATTTTACTTAACAAGTAGTGGAAGTTCCAGTTTTACAAAATCCATCTGATCCTATTCTAATATCACAATTATCAGAATAAGTAGAACATAACTCCAATTTATCAGTACATTCTACTCCTGTTGTTAAACATCCTTTTTTATATGTATCACATTATTCAATTGTAGTTCCTTTTAAACTCTAACATTATCTTTCTCTACAAACTTTTTGATCAGGAGTTCCTTCACAAAGACCCTCTGAACCTATCATAACCAAACAATTAGCTCCCTCTTCTTAATATGTAGAACATAATTATAATGGAGACTCTGTACAACCTCTACCTTTAGTTATACAATTCAATTAAAATGTTTAACATTGTTTATCATGTTAAAATAAAGGTGCATCACTACATGGTATTCTTTAACATGTACCATCCTTTTCTTAACAATAACCATCAGAACCTATTCTACCTAGACAATCATCTTTTGGATAAGTAGAACAAGTTTAGAGTTCTAATACACATCCTTTACCTGTTGTTTTACAACCTGGTAAGAATCTATTGCATTAAGCATCTGTTTTAAGTATATCTAATGCATCAGTACACAGTTAATCTTAACATTTTTTATCCTATTCAGACCATTTACATTTCCCTGTCCCAGAATTACTTTTGTTCTACAAACACAAAGTCTAATTCTAATACTCTTCACATTTCAATGGATCAATACATATTTATCCATCACTTGTACATTCTGTTGATATCTTCTAACACTCATCATTTGTAGTTTTTGTGTAAGCCTAACATCCACTAAACTACTCACATATCATCTTTTTTTCTTTATCTTCATAATATGCACATCCTATTGTTATAGCGCAATCTGTATCTGGCTTTTTTATATTCAAACATAACTAACTAACTGGAAAAGTAGATGCTGCACTTTCAGGTTTCTTCTCTTCACAAACATTATTATCCCATGAGCATTTACCTTGACACTCATTCTTATTCTTTAGATCTGCGCATACACATTACTCAGATAAATTAACATCAACACAAGATCCCCACAATAATAATAAACTCAAAACTAATGCTGTCATCAATATTTTAAATATAATAACTTAATATTCATTCACATAAATATAAATTAAATTAATAGACTTATCTCACTAATATCAATCCAATATCACTTTATTTTTATACATTTTTTATTTTCCTCTACTAATCTTAATATTTTTATTTTCTCAATTTTGACTTAATCAAATCCATCTCCTCATAACTTCTAAACATATAAAATATATAATAAAATCTTATCCCCATCTCTTATTTAACCAAAATTATCATTACATAATTACTCTTTATTCTTTTATTAACAATTCTTATTAAATCTATTACATTTAAGTTAATTCCTTCCACAAATTATCAAAGGTGCCTATTCATAATTTTTGAAAGAAAAAAAATTATTCTCACGTTTTTTCTTTGTATTCATCCTCTAAATCATTTTCATTGCATATAAATTAATTAAAATTTGAATCCATATTATTTTCTCAATTTTTCTTTGTCTTAAAAGAATCTATTTTTCATTAAACTAGAATAAATCTGTAATTTTAATTTTAATCATCTCGTAATTATAACTATATAAGTTTTACTGTAAATATAATTAAAATCCCTGCTCAAATAAATTCTTCATCTTCTATTTCAACCAAAATATTTTATATATCTTATTTAAAATTTAAGTTTAAATCTTTTTTTACTCAAATATATGTGATCTACTCACATTATTACTATTTCATCTCCACAAATTTAAGTTTATTAATATAAAAAATTTCAAATATAATTTAAAAATTTTGAATTAATAAATCATTATTATTCTTATAGCAATTCTTTTATTTTCTAATTATCTTATTTTTCAGCATAATCTATAGCACTGTTCCCATCTATTTTTTATTTTAAAAATATTTTACATTTGTCTTTTAATAGTTTATCTGCTTTTTCTGATAATAGATATTTAACAATAAGAAAATGATTGCCTCTTGTGGCTAAAATCAAAGGGGTAAATTTATTTCCATAACTTTATTCATTTATTGGATGATTTAAAGTTACTAGCTTTCTAACTGTATCTAAGTCTCCATCTCTTGCTGCACTCCATAATGCTAAATTAAGAACTAATTTATACTCCTAAATGCAAATTTGACTTCAGAATCTGTAGTCAATTAATCAGCTGTTTATCCTTTACTTGTTCTCATTGCACAATATCGATCTTCATCAGCATCATATCTACTCAATAAATGAACGACATTTTTATTTTAATAAAATGCTGCATAATGTAAAGGTGTCCAATCTCTTTTATCAACAGTATATATATTTGCTCCTAATTCAAATAAAACTTTAACAACACTATCATGACCTTTTTTGGCTGCTAAATGCATAGGAGTACAATTTTGATTATCTTAATAATCAAAAAAATTCTCTTGAATAGCGGCTCCATTTTCAATTAATAATTAAATAGCCAGAGCCTAATTATTTAAAGCAGCAACATGGATTGGATAATATCCTTTATTAGATGAGATTTATTAATAAGCTCCTCTTTCAATTAAAGTACTTATTGCCTATAATTATCCATAAAAAGCAGCATGATGTAAAGGAGTCCATCCATTTGTATCTATTACATTTACATCTGCATCCATTTCTAAGACTTTGTTTAACATTGTTTAATTTGAAGATTTATGAATTTATTCGATAGCTTTGTGAACTGGAGTTATCCCATATATACTTGATTTTCCATTTACTCTCTATCCACAATTTACTAATAATGTAAAACTTTTATCATCTCCTTCATTTACAGCATTATTTAAATTCATCAAATATTTTCTTACTGAATCATTTGATGCATATTCTAATGCAGTTCTTATTTTTCTTTTACATTTTATTTTTGGATCTGCTCCCAATTACAGCATAAATTAGATTGCTGCAAAATCTCCAGCAAAAGAGGCTAAATGCATTGGTGTCTTAGAATATATTTAAATTTACATATCCATCTCTATCTTATTAATTCAAAATTTCCTTTTATAATTTTTTAATATTATTCATGAAAGTTTTTTGCTTTTATTCAATTATCTACTAATTAATAAAATTGCATATTTGTTCATGATAAGGTTTGTATTATCTTGGATCTATCTTTTTATTGGCACTTTATACTAGTAATTGGACTTCCATAAAAATATTATAAAATAAATCCCATCCTTAAGATTCAAAATCAAATTAGGCTAGTTACTTAATACATTAAATGCATTTAGTATATTTTGATAAACTACCATAATGCATAGGATTTCTATCAAATTGATCTTTGGTAACATTAATTTTACTAAAATATTATAGATTTTAATCCAAAAATTATTGATATTATTCACTAACAACATTTTAAAACTATAGAAATCTTTATTGAACTTATTTTAAATGTTTATCTGCATTAATTAATTACCCTTTTTATGAATCAGTTTTCTTAAATTAATACATTTTCATTGCAATTTTCAATTTTTCCCAATAGATCTTATTCTATTTATGTCTAAACATTTATAATAATATTTAAAGACATTCAAGACTTCCTCTTTAAGTGCAAATATGGAATACATTAAATCCTTATTTAGATGTTAGAAATGGATCTGCTCCTAACATTAACAAATACATAACAATATTTTTGAAATTATATTAACTAAATATAAAATCATAAAGAATAGCATACCATGCATAAAATAATGGTGTTTTACCTTCAGAATCTTTTTAATTTATAATTTCTTCAACATTACTAAATTAATGTATCCAATTATCCAATAGAGTCAACTTTCCATCTATTATAAAAGCAAAGATGTCTGATTCTTTAGATTTTGGATAGGCTATATTAAATATCAATGGTTGAGTAAGTAGGTCTTTATCTTAATCCATAATAAATGTTCTCGATTTATTAATATAAATTTATATATATAATGTCTGTTATATAATATTAATATTATTTTAGTGATTTTCAGAGAATTGAATTGAATAAATTCTTTTGATTATAAAAATGGTTTTGATTCATTTTCAACTTTTCTAAATGACTAGTTTCAATTGAATCTTCAAACACATCTAATTAAAATTCATCAATTTAATCTAGTGATGGAATAGTTAACTTTCTTTATGGATTACTGTTAATAGTAGAAGTGCGAAGTTTTTAATTTTTTGGTGAGTTTTAAGGATTCAAAAATTAACTATTTAATCCAAATTGATAATCCATTTCTAAACTTGAATGCACATTGATATTCTTATCATTTTTGCTCATCTCATATTATTATTTAGTTAATATTGACATAGGTAAATGTATTGTCATGTAAAATTTTATGTTAAAATAAGGATGAGTTAATGCTTGTAGAGCAGTTATTCGATCTTTTGGATATTTCTTAGTCATCAATAAAATAAGATTGCATACTTTTTATAATTAAAAAAATGATTACATTCTGTTGGATAGGGAGAACTAGGAATCTCAAAATAAGCATCAGCATTTCTTTTAATTGTTTATTTTTGATCATATCCTTTGAATGGATTATAACCAAATAATCTTAATAATATTAAAATGATTATACATTGTAAATAAAGTAATTCCAAAACTAAAAATATCACATTATCCATTATATTATTTTTTTGTTTCTTCAAATCTTAGAATTTCTGGAGCAGAATAACTTAAATAAAAATAAATAATACCCTAAAGATCCACAAGAAGGAAATGGAATATCTTTAATTTAAGTACTCACTGCTAATCCAAAATCAATTAAAATTGGATTATTTAATTATCCATTTTTAAGTATAATATTTTATGGTTTAATATCTCTATGCATCATATTGTATGAATGTATTTAATGAATCGCTAACAACATTTGATAAACAAAACTTTATAATTCATTTGATGAATAAGGTATTTTACTAGTTTGTTTTGAAATCAATTCATATCCATCTATATATTCTGTTACTAAATATAATTTTTCAGTATTTTCATAGACCTGATGTAATTTTAAAATGTTCTCATGATTAAATTCTCTTAATGCATTGATCTCACTTAATAACTACAGTTCATATTATTTGTTGTTTTTCATCTATTTAGATTAGCATTTTGTGATAGCTTTCACAGCAAACAACTCTCCTTCATGGTTCCAACATTCATAAACCTAATTTAAAACTATTAATACTGTTGAGAAAGTTCCATTTCCTATAAGAGACCCAATCTTATAATCCTTTTCAAAAGTAGTTAAGATGCATTTCTAAGACAACATTTATGACCATTCCTAAAATTATTCATCAATATCTGTGCACAAGATTATTTAAAATCCATTATTTCTCAAATAAATTTAGTATTCCTAATTCACTCTTTAGAATTATAAATATACACCATCTAATCTTACATATCCCTTAACATTTTTAAAATTCCCTACATCTGAGTAGAAAAGGTATTGTTTGATTAGAAAATACTACCTCAAGCATTTCTATCCAAAGGTTTTCCCAATTTTATAGAAATTACCAATCTTTACATTTGATACTTCCTCTATATCAAAGTTCGGAATATTATTTGTACACCAAAATTTTCGACCGTCACTTTAACCAATTTGAAAAATCATCAATTTGATCGTAGAAAATAATAATATTTATCAAAAATCAAACCCATATATCTAAAGATTTATTGTCCCCCTTCTTTAATTAATACTAAATATATCATTTTACCTATATTTTATTGATTGACATTAATTAATTCATTATACTAAGTTTTAAAATAAATAATTTTCATTTCCATTTGATATCAACAACATGATCATATTAATCTATTTCATTTGAATCTACTGTAATATCTAATCCTTAACTCATGCTTGCCAATTACTCCTCACTTGATGTTAACATTAAATTATTTTATTTCTCATTCTTTTTAATTGTATTTGGAACTTCTAAATCTTAAACATCATCTAAATCCTCTTCAATTTCTTCAAATTAAAAATCATTTGATTATGATTTTACATTACTTAACTTTGTACTCTCTACTTTACCAATTGTTTTTGTTATAGGTTAATTCTTTGTTACACTTGCTTATTAATTTGATTTACTACCTGCTTTAACTGGTTCTTATTTCTCTTATTTTTTTAAAGGAATTTATTCTTATTAAGTCAAATTTTATTAATTAGTTTATTTTGCCCCTTTTGGATTGTATTTTTGATAAATATGTTGTAAAATAGGCTAATTTATATTCAAATCACTTTATTTTAATCCTATTTTTTTAATCAACTAATCTCGTTCAATAAAAGGAATATGATTACTCTCACTTTATAATACAGAAAGTGTAAATTCAAAATCAAAAAATTGTAAAAATTCCTTTACAACTTCCAATAATAATAATAACTCATTATCTTTTTGAATAGCTTTTGCTTTCTCATTTTCCCAAAAAAAATTAGATGCTCCTGACTTTTTACCTTTCGATTAATCTAAAATTTTAAACACTGATGCTTTTATTTAAGCTTTCACTTTTGTAAGCTATCCTTATTGATCCAAATTTTTCATAACCAAATCAATTGCATTCTCATCTGACATTTTTTTAATTTTTTATTAATAATTCAAACATGAATACAATTTAACCCAATAGTTTTTAGAAATAGCATTTTTGGATTATCAAATATAAATTTATTTGCTATTCAAGCATAGAATGTTATGAATTAATACGGATAAACTAATAGTAGAAAATTTTAGCAATAATAGCAGAATCAACAATAATAAAATATATAACCAATTCCTTAACAATAATAATATTAATAATAGCACTAATATTAATAAAAATATCAATAATATTATTAACAAAAATAACAATAGCTAGATCTAAATAATAATCAACTATAATAAAAAGATTAAAATGCATAATTCAATAATGTTGCTTAATATGGAATATAATTCTAATAACTTGATAATTTTACAAACTCTAATGCCATACCTCAAAAAATTGATCTTAAATTTTATTAAATAGATGAAAAGATCTATTACATTAAAGCTTATTTATTATTAAAATACTAAAATTGGTAAATATTATATTCCTGTAATCATAAAAAAAAAAAACTCATAATCTCAAAGAATTTACCTCATTAGAATATGATTTTATATATGTAGGGCTTCTGGATTGTCAAAATTACTGATTTTGAATACATTTTATATAGTTTTTTATGATAATAATTTTAGTAGAGACTTAGAATATTAAGTTTTTGAAGAATACTATAAAATTCTTACTTAACAAGAGTATTTTGATGAAAAATAAGATAATGTTGTTATTATTATTATCGTATAAAGAATGAACTATTTAAATAAATTACTTCAAACTTAGAATCATTAAAAATATTATAAGTTTAATTTTAATCTCTTTGAAGATTTTTATTTATTTTAAGTATAATTTTCTCTATCAATCATAAATAACTTTGTAAAATGTTTCAAAAGCTGATTTATCGTAAATATACTTTTCTATGAGGCTGAGTCAGTAATGTTAAACAAATGATGTAAAAAAGTCGTCTTACAGGTTATGCAAAAGAATTTATCCACCTTTTTTAGGAACAAATGTACAAATATATATTTAATTGGTTTTTAAGTTATTTACAGATTTAAAGTCTAACCTTTAATCAATAATATCGGTATGTACATTTATTTTATTAATATTTATTGTGATTCTTTTACTTTGCAATTATGTAATTAAGGGTATTAATGTAATTTTATTATATTAAAGATATTTTAACTTTACAATAAAGAATTTCAAAAAATATTTCTACAAAACATTTACTCAATCATTTATTTAGAAAATGAAAACAATCATGTTGGTTCAAATTCCTTTGACTTATTAAAGATAAAAAAATATGTTTTAAATTAAATTATATTCAATAAAAGTAAAATTTAAAAAGTTTTTTTAAGATTTTGATAGTTAAACTAATAATTTTAGAGTATTGAAATTATGAAAAAATAAATACATGCTCTAAAAAATACAAGAAAAAAGACTATTATACAAATTTGTAAAAAAAATGAGATGTATAGTTTTGAAAATTAAAAAAAGAAATAATTATAATAATTATATGTCATATAGAGAACTTCGTAACTTCTGTGAATAAATGAGAGCTTTGGGTTATCATCGAATAATTTCTATGGAAAATTTTCGAAGGCCTAATTTTGAGCTTGTAGCAGATATACTTTTTTGGCTAGCATAAAAGTATGATCCTAACTCTGATATTTCTGATAATATTGATGAGGAAGTAAAAATAAAATTAAATCTAAGAAACATAGAATAGAATTTATTAAATAAATAACAACTCTATTTGTAAGTAAGGCAAGACTAAAGATAAATCCAAAGAGATTGTATATGGCAGATGTATATGCAGTATAAGAGATTTTGAAAATTTCAACTTTTTTATACAAAGCATAAGTTTCACCACCAGCTGATGAGGAAGAGATTCATGATTTTGTAAATATATCAACGAGTATTGAAAGTCTCTCCCATAAAAATTAAGTAATATAAAGAGCCATAAAATATTGGCTTAAGAAATTACTGATCTTGCTACAAGACTATATGATTAATTAGGGAAAGAGGATGAAGTAAAATTAGCAAGAGTAAGAATATAATATAGATGAATAGGAAAAAGCTTTACAATTTTTGTCAAATGTATCAAGAGGAGGGAATTCGTAATCAGAATAATCATATATATAGAAATGCATATAAACAATATTGAAATAGCAAGAGCAAAATATTCAAGAGATGTCTAAATATGTTGTAAATTTGGAGAGGGAATAAAAATAATTGGAAGAGAAAATAAAGAGAAAAACAAAAGAATTAGAATAAGCAGAAAAAAGATTAAAGGGAATGACTAGTGTAAAACCTGCTTATTAAGAGGAATATGATAGATAAGAATACGAATTAGAAAAGTTGTATTAAGTAAATTTGATTAATTACAAATAATTTAGACATATGTAGAGAAATTTAGAAATTTAGTTTATTTGGAGCATGTATTAGATGGATAAAATAAATAAGCTGAAATAGAATAAAAGAAAAAGAATTAGATTTTATAAGGTGTAAGAGGAGTAATTTAGGATGCAGAAATGAATGAATTAAGAGGAGGAGATGATGATGGAAATGATGATTAGTTAGAACAATTAGGAGGAGATTCTCGATTATAATCAAGTAATAAGGAGAAGCGTAATAATAATGATTTTATGAGAAATTAATAAGGTGGATTTAATAGATAGTAAATGGATGAAGATGTTGAAGAAGGAGATGATATAGATGATTTAGATGGTGGAGTTGATGAAGATGAAGAAGAAGAAGAAGAAGATGATGGAATTGAAAATTTAGATGATGATAATGAAGCTGACTTTTGAAATATTTTAATGCATTATATGTATAAATATTATTAAAATGGGAGTATGTTCAAATAAGAGTAAAAAAAGTATGAACCAATATGAAGAGGTACATAATATACTAAATAGATTAGTAATATATATATTTATTGGATATTCAACATCCTGCTAATGTGAATCATAAATATGCTAATCATTTTACTTTAATTTAAAATCAATATACGGGCTAAGGAATTAGACGTACTCATTAATATACTACCATATTATCAAGAATAGAATGGGAAAACAAACAAAATGAATTTTGGGGTAGAGAAATCAAGTTATATAAAGATAGTTATAAAGATTCTATGCATTGGTCAAATATACGTAAAGCACTCTCATAAGATGAAGAAAGTACTTCTCATCTTTTAGATTTAGAGTCATCTCTTGCTATTTTAGCATTGTGTAAATTAAAAATGATTAGAAATACAATACAACTATTGATATCAGAGAGTATAATATATTCTTTATCAAGAACAAGAACTATTTTAAGTTCCAGTATTTATTATTAATGAACCAATTTCATTGAATAATCAATAGTTACTTCTAGATTTTTAAACATCATAATTGAAAGTAATCTGTTACTCTATTTAGGTGAGGATACGTAGTAGTAAACTCCCTTAAGATTTCTTAATAAACATTGAAAACACATCTACTGTCCTTGAACTTAAATTCAAAATTTTAGAAGCTTCAAAAGAAAAAACCTGTCGACTTTATCTTAATGGCAAAGAATTAATAGATCAAAATTACTTAGGAAATTATAAAATTACTTCAGGAACAGTACTAAAATAATTAACTTAGATAATATAAGCTTTTTTGTGATTATATATTAAAAATGGGTGGTATTAATTTATATTATGCATAAACAAAAAGCATAGATTCTTTTCAAGTGTCATCATTAGCACGATAAACCAGAATATGAAGACAGTACTTTCACCATTACTAAAATTATCGAAACCAATAAATCCACACCAATATTTGAATTAATCTTAGACAATTGTAAATTCATTATGGATAATAACTTTTGCCTTTAGATCTCATAGTATTTTTATATTCATTATTATAGATTAACATCATTAATTTATTTAGGCTTAAATAATTGCAATATTGTTTAATTGCAACATATTCCTAAAATTGAATCATTGAAGCGATTAACTTTAGACTATAACTTTATACAGAATTCTGAACTAATCCATTTAAAATTCTATTAAGATAAACTCTTGTCCTTATCTATAATGTCAAATCGATTAAATTTTTCAGATTAAACATTGTTACAAGAATTCTATTTATTTCATAAATTAATTCAATTATCAATTGCTGGTAATTAAAAAGATATTACAGAACATGAGAGTGTAATGATGAGAGATGAAATATTTAAAAACATGAAGAATCTAGTATTTTTAGATACTATAGCAAGAGGAGAATGTAAATAATTAAGTTCATACTTTAGATCTATCAACTTGTATTGAAAATTAATTTAATGACTAAAAACAGGAATAAGATTATTTATCAAGATTAGATGTACTTGATTGGAAAACTGAGCAAGAATATAAGGATGCTGATTAATGAATTTTATAATTCAATACATATATAATAATTTATTTTTAAATCAAAAATTGGATAAAATAATATCATTATCAATATATTCACAATAAAATAAAATGAAAAATATTCACTAAATCTTTAAATTCTTTTTATAATAATTAAAAAATAAATAAATAGAAGAGATGCAGTATTTAAGACTTCAAATTATCGTGTATGTATATGAAAAATAACACATATACAAACAATAATTTAAAAGAATAAGGTTTAATGTTTAAGGTAAAGTTTCTTAAAAGATAAAAATATTTTTGATTCTGGATATAAAAATTAATTAATCAATGGTACCTTTAATATCAAATATTTTTTTACCAATATCATTTTAATAAAAATATCCAAAAAGATTATTAGAATTTTATATAGTATTAATTAATTATCATTCTTACTTAATTCGTTTTCCATTTTACCAAATTCCTTTTTATGAAGCTCCATTAATAAAAAAATATTCCCCAACTCCATTTTATTTATCCATATCCCATTCTCCAACATATTTATGACCATCTTCCCAGGTATATGTTCCTAATCCATGCTTCAATCCGTCTTTATATTCACCAATATACTATTTTCCTGACTAATATATTTGTTATACCATCAATATATGTCATTGTACCATTTCCCTCCATTTAGTTTGCAACCCATTGACCATCGTATATCCTTCCATCCATCCAATAGTATTTTCCTTAACCATGCAAATTATTCATCAAAAAATTTCCTTCATATCTAGATCCATCTGAATATATAAGTTTACCAAATCCTTCCTTTTTACCTTCTTTATAATAACCTAATATAAAATAAATTTAATTTCTAACCTTCGAAAATTGATCCATCAGGCCATTTTTCTATCCCATAACCATGTTATTTATCTTCAAACCAATCACCATCATATTATGCTTTTTAGTAGCTTATATAAATTCCCTTTCCAGATGCTTAATCATTTAACCATTCACCTTAATATACATCTCCATCAGAATGAGTTAATATTCCATACCCGTTAGCTTAATTGTTCTTCCATTCTCCTAAATAAATTGACCTAAACACTCAAATACAATGAATTTGTACCCATCAGGCCACTTTTATTCACCTTATCCCCATCTTTTTCCTTGCATCCATTCTCCTTCATAGTATGAACCCCCTTCCATCATTATTCTAGGTAATTTTACTGGAATTGCTGATTATATTGTTTATTCTACTATTATTTCATCAGAACTCATTATTATATGAGGAAGGACACTTCTTTTTGAACATTATGAATATTCATCTTCTTTATTTTCCTTTTATCTAGAATATGTTGAAGGTTATTAGATTTCATCGTTTTTAAGCCCTATATCAATTAACAATTCTTCATTTCGATCAATTTAATGCACTTCTTCATTAACATAGCACATTTTTGTGCAATTACCCATCAATTCTAAATAATTTATAAATATCTCTTTTATTTAATTTTGAAAATAAATCAACATCAATCTCATATGATTCTAATTTAATATAAATACTAAGATTTAAATTCTATTCAAAAAAATTGTCTATATTAATTATTCAAAATTTTACAAAAATATTGTTCATTGTTATATTATTTTAAAATATAATCATTTATTTTTCAAGTCTAATTGAAACATTTTTCTTTTACTGATTGAACATCAAATTAAATATAATGAGTAATTATACTATTCTGATGCTCTTTAGTGATACTATTGATAAAAAGTACTTTATATTTTTAAAAAAAGCTTATGGATTTTTAAAATAAAAGAAAAGAATAAAGATCTGGTTATATATATAAAATATTCAACAAACTATATATGGGATTATTTTTAGATATTTATTATCATTCTTAATAAATCTATTAAAAATAATATGAAAAAAAAATTAATTAAAATAAGATTTCCAATAATTATTGAAATATTTAGGATTAAATATGTATTCTATTTCCATTTACTTGCAAATTAATACTTCATAAGATATTTTAATTTGATATAATTAAATTGTACTTATATTTTTTTTAAAGTTATAAATTTGATATTTAGTTTATAATTGTATAACTGTAAGATTTCAAAAATTATTAGCTTCTCCATCCAAGTCTTATTTTGGTTGACTCCATAATATACTATTAAATAATTTTTAATTTATTAATTAGCAAAATTAAAAAGTAAATAAAATAAATGCTAACCTATGAATTAATTCTTTATTGTATGATAAAATTTAAATGAACACTTTAAATTTGATTATGTTGATTATTACTGATGTTAAATAATTATTAAATTATATTATTTCTTTAATCTACATAGTTAATCATTTTTTAAAGCTTTCTTTTAAATTTATAGAACCGTAGATGTGATACAATATATTTTATTTTATTAATAATAATTCTGGTTCCATAATTTTATAATTAACGGTAAATGTAAAAAGATGAGATCATTGAACTGGAATTTAAAAATGGAATTTACTAAGGTTAAAGTGTAAAAAATAAATAAAAATAAGGAATGGGTGTTTATATATGGAAAAATGGAGATGCATATTATGGTGAATGGAAATAAGATGAAATAGATGGTTTTGGAATTTTATTTATTGCCCCAAAGACTTAAATAATAGGTCATTTTAAACAATCGAAAATGGATGGCAAATGCATTCTTTCAACAAGTAAAGGAACATATTATGGAGAATGGATTAAAGGATAACCAAATGAAAATATAACAGCAAAATTATAAAATTAAGAAATAATTGTATAATATTAACAGGGTGTACCTACTAATCTAAAAAAGAAACTGACTTCAAAAATTTAGATGCCAATATTGAACAATAAAATTATAGATTAAAAAGGTATATAATAACTAGAATTGAAAAATGGGACTTATTATGGTGTAACTTTGAAAAGCAAACTCAATTAAATGTTACCAAAAGGATTAGGAATATTTACTACTTTTAATAATTAATTTATCTGTGGTTAATTTAAAGATAATATCTTCAATAATGGAGATTAAAACAAAAAATAAGCTGCAGAAATATTTTAAGGTTAATTGAATAATGGAGAATAACATGACAAAGGAATTAATTTATTGTAAAAAGATACATTATAATTGATTAAAGAACTTTCTAAATAAGGAATCTTAGTTGATGTTTATGAAAATGGTACATTCAAAGACTGTTCATAAGAAATAATCCGTATTTCTAAGTATTATCATTAGTTCCATACAATAAGCAAGAGAATCCTATATTAGTGCGATAGCCAATTAATAAAAATGAAATCAAGCAATTTGAAGATTAAATAATAAATTACATAAATAAATCCCATCATTCTTCTACCACTGCTTCTCCTGATATGAGATAAGAACAAATTAAATTAACTAGAAATTATTTCTCTAATTCTCCTATGACATCTTATGAATAAATTTCTGAAGCTTTATTTGGAACAAAAAAGTAGGAAGAATAATAATAAATATCAAAGCTCAAATAAATTTAACAACAAAAGAATAATCAATTTTTAAAGTATTATAAAGATTAATGTTAATAAATTGAATCAGATTCAAAAATTCAACATATTACAAACTAGATTAAATAACCTAATATAACTCATAGAAAAAGTAAAACTCATTTTATTGAATCTTCCAATAACAAAGAAGATATAAATGGTTAAGAAAATAATAATTTTAAAAGTCCCTTTAAAATATTAGATTTAAAATACTTATAGTAATTATAAAATGAATAGCAATCGAAGAAAACTTTTTAAAAAAGTAATAATATACAAAGTGAAAGTAGTTTTGGATTTAAAACAGAACTAAAAGTAAATTTAAATTATTAAAATAATTAGACTAAAATTAAATAAAATTTTGATCCTGAAAAATCACTATAAGCTTTTTAATAAATGAAAACTCACAATTCCCCTAATTTTTTACAAAACTAATTTAATTCTAAAACAGAAAGAATTAAAAAACATAATTTGTAATAATCTAACTTAAAAATATAAAAAAATAGCAATAAAAAAAAAAACAATTTTGATGATAATGTTATATAAATTAAAAATAACAAAATAGAAGATTCAAATAAATCTCAGAGCTTCACAGAAAATAAATTTTAAACTTATCACCCATAAAATAATGAGTTTAGTAAAATGAGAGAGTCAAAAATAACTCCAAATTAAGAAAAGCATAACAAAAAAATAGACCATTAGTTGGATTAAAAAGAATAATTAAAAACTAATTAATCTAAGAGATTGAGCTCTAGCTAATAGGATTTGAATACATTTAAATATGAAATAAATTCAAATCAGCAAAAAGGTTTTTAACGGCGTTAAAAGCCTAATATTAATGATAATAATGACTCAGAGACATTAAAAGAAAAAGACTCTCCTAATTTTGAATAATCAAAAATAACTAATAATTAATAATCTTTGTTTTCAAACGACATTCAAAGTCTTGAAAATATATAATAAAATGAAAAGCCTTCAAATACTATTAAAAGTTATAATATAGATAATTTTTAATAATAAATTGATTTTTTTAAATGCAAAAAAGAAGCTGTTCAATAAAAGGATTTTGATGACTTTTTTCAAGATTATTCATAAAACTAATTTTAAAGATAAGTTAGAAGAACTAAAAGCTCGAAATTACCTACATTAAAAAATCAATTATTTAATTAATCTATTTAAAATAATGAATCTTAAGTAAACCATTCATTTCATTAATTTTAAGAGTAATTTAAACAAAAAGTTGAAAATGATTTTAATAATAATAGTAAATCAGAACACTATTAGGGTTAATTTAAATAAAAATAAAACAATTAAGAAATTTTAATTTAAGAAAATNCAAAATAAAATTTTATTTTTATTTTAACAATAATTATAAAATGAATAGCAATCGAAGAAAACTTTTTAAAAAAGTAATAATATACAAAGTGAAAGTAGTTTTGGATTTAAAACAGAACTAAAAGTAAATTTAAATTATTAAAATAATTAGACTAAAATTAAATAAAATTTTGATCCTGAAAAATCACTATAAGCTTTTTAATAAATGAAAACTCACAATTCCCCTAATTTTTTACAAAACTAATTTAATTCTAAAACAGAAAGAATTAAAAAACATAATTTGTAATAATCTAACTTAAAAATATAAAAAAATAGCAATAAAAAAAAAAACAATTTTGATGATAATGTTATATAAATTAAAAATAACAAAATAGAAGATTCAAATAAATCTCAGAGCTTCACAGAAAATAAATTTTAAACTTATCACCCATAAAATAATGAGTTTAGTAAAATGAGAGAGTCAAAAATAACTCCAAATTAAGAAAAGCATAACAAAAAAATAGACCATTAGTTGGATTAAAAAGAATAATTAAAAACTAATTAATCTAAGAGATTGAGCTCTAGCTAATAGGATTTGAATACATTTAAATATGAAATAAATTCAAATCAGCAAAAAGGTTTTTAACGGCGTTAAAAGCCTAATATTAATGATAATAATGACTCAGAGACATTAAAAGAAAAAGACTCTCCTAATTTTGAATAATCAAAAATAACTAATAATTAATAATCTTTGTTTTCAAACGACATTCAAAGTCTTGAAAATATATAATAAAATGAAAAGCCTTCAAATACTATTAAAAGTTATAATATAGATAATTTTTAATAATAAATTGATTTTTTTAAATGCAAAAAAGAAGCTGTTCAATAAAAGGATTTTGATGACTTTTTTCAAGATTATTCATAAAACTAATTTTAAAGATAAGTTAGAAGAACTAAAAGCTCGAAATTACCTACATTAAAAAATCAATTATTTAATTAATCTATTTAAAATAATGAATCTTAAGTAAACCATTCATTTCATTAATTTTAAGAGTAATTTAAACAAAAAGTTGAAAATGATTTTAATAATAATAGTAAATCAGAACACTATTAGGGTTAATTTAAATAAAAATAAAACAATTAAGAAATTTTAATTTAAGAAAATGAAATCAGCTACAATTTAGGTATTCAAAAAAAATCATAGTCTTCAATGTCTTAGGAAATCTAAAATATTACAAAAAAACAAGAAAATAATTAATATCAAAGCCAATCTAAAGCAAAGGAATCTAAAACAAAAAATAATTTTAGAAAAAAAACTTCTAAGTCATAGCATTCATCATTCATTCATAATGAAAAATAAGGCATTTAATTTTAAAATGATAAAAGTAGTAAAAATAATTAAATTACTTTAACTTAAGATTATAATAATACAAAATAAGATATTTAGGATATTAAATAATAATTAGAATCGTAGAAATAAATACTTGCATCTTTATAAAATAAAATATAATAATCTTAATCCATTAAACAAGCAGAAAGCAAAATAATAAATGTAACAAATCATACAAAATCTAAAAGTGAATAGATAAATTTTATTCCTGATCTTTGCAATAGCCCAATAACAAAAATAATTATAACAAAAGGTTAATTTCCAGCATTTTCAATAATAAAACCCATCATTCCAATAAGACTTTGAGTTTGATTTTATTATTAATTTTTTATAATTTTATGGATTTATAGTAGTTGAGAAAGGAACTTAAAGAGAAAGAAAAAAAATTGAAACTTTAATAATAAAATAAAATTGTTCATTTACAATACTATGGAATGTCAAAATCAGAAGCATATGATTCAGTTAATTTAGAATAAAATTAATCATAGAGGCTAGGACTTTTTTAATAATATATGATTTTAAAGAAAGGTAAATCAGATTTATTTTGGAGTTCTAACAATAAAGGAATGTTTTTAAGATTCTTTGATCAGAAATTAACAATAGATTTAAGAGCTAGAGATTAGTTAAAGCCTATTGAAAAACCATGTTTAATTATTGTGAACGGAAATAAAAAATCAAAAAGAAAAGAAATAATATAAGTATGCCAATAAGATATATTGAAACTACTTGATAAAAAAAAAGAAGATGGAAATGAAATTTTGATGAGTATTTTTGGGTTTCTGAATTGTAGTATGATAGATTTATTATCTTTAAATTAAGATTTTGAGAAAGTAATCCATAGTAATCTTAAAATTTATAAAGATGATAAAATAGTGAAAACAAAGAATTTAATTTAAATAGCAGTTAACAATTTTGAAGAATTGTAATAAATAATGAATTTATACAAAAGTATAAAAGCTTTAATTGAATTATAAAGCAAATAAAAATTTAAAGAAATTGTATTTTAATTTATAAGAGGTGAATTGGAAGAAAATAAATTAATAAGATTTTGGGATAAATGTAATATAGTTTAATTATCAAATGAAAATGATGCTAAATAATTTTATTTAAAATAATGTTTGAATCAACTTGATAAGAAAGAGTAAATAAATTATCATAATTGTAAATTAACTGAGTCTTTGAATGATTGTTTTTAAGAGAATTATTAAATTGATTATATAGGATGTTTAATTACTGATTAAACACTAGAATCATAATTATCTGTTTTGCAATTTTTAGATCCTATTTTACCTATTAAATCTAAAGTAACTGAATAAAAAGGATAAAATACAATAAAGGAACTTTTGGGATCTAAACTTGATTTGTGATTTGTATTTATATTCAAAAAAAATGAAAAAAACTAAAATTAAAAATAATTTTATAGTTCACTCAGAATTCTCATCAATTTTTCAGAATTACCATGACCATCTCAAATTATATAAAAATTATTAGAAATCTAATCGATTATCACAAGCATGAAATGATGCAGTTTTGCTAACAACTTTATGTCTATTAATTGCATAAAATTAAAAAATTTTCTTTTTCTGCTACTTGCTTTGGTGATAAATCATTCCATAAATATATTAATTTTTTATATTGATTAACTGGGCCTAGTTTTTAAACTTTTTGCAACTTAGTTTCCATCATCTGCCAAGTAAATCTTCGGTTTAATTAAATATATTTTCTTATTTATAAGAGTCACTCTAAAATTATAAAATACACTTTTTTGAATAATAGTTATCCCAATACCGCATACAATATTATTGTATGTAATAATATTTCACATAATATCAAATCAAAAATTATTTAAATTATCTTTATCTAATATCTATATATATTTATATATTATTTTTTAATTCTAATAATAAAGCTTCCCTTTAAAGATTATATCAAATTCTTACCAACAATGAGTAAAAGTATCTGACTCTAGAAAATGAACCTCACACATGTAACCACAAGCTTCTAATTCTTAATCTACACAGAATAGATATTACTTTCTCTTTCATATCGCTATGCCTTCAATAATATTTTAGAGATTGTACAGGTCATAATTAAGATTCTTATATATATACGAAATATACTAATTTATGTAGATTCAACAGAATATACATTTTCAAATTAAATTATATTAACAATAATACAAAAAAGATGTTTTTCTATTTTAATTAATGTTCATTGTACATACACCGATTCTTGTTATTGACATTTATTTATTCTCAATTTAAATAAGTAAAAAATAATAAGTATCTCTTTTATGTGGGTAAATTATTCAATATTTTAAAATTTCTATATTAACTAAGAAAAAAGATTTCTTTTCATTTTTTTGATTTTTACAAATTTTTTAATTTGCATTTTTATATAAATAATCAAATATATCATTTTTAATTATTATTGGGGTTTAGATTTGTATTTTATTAAATAAATTTTGGTTTTGTTTAAAATACATTTTGGGTCAATTAGTATGTTGGTATTTAAGCATCAATTTATTATTATTAAAATCTCATGGTTTGAAATCTTTAAACTTCACTATTTATGAAACTTTAAGGTTGTGATTCTTTTTTTTATAAATCAATTTATTTTGAATTGAAAGAAGGATTTCCAAATTAACTTCCAGGCTATTATTAAATGAATGATATATTTTTTTAAGGACGAGTTTAAAAATTTTTTTATTATTCTGTATTATTATTCTATTTTAAAATGGATTAATCTGTAATCTAAATTTATGCTTTATATTATAAGATTGGAGCTTATAAAGTAGTAGTTTAAGTAAATTATGAAGATTATAAATTAGGTACAGGTGAAGTTTTGTTAGGAAAATATAAACAATTATTATTATTTGTTTATCCTTATCCACTCTAACATTTATTTGGTGTCTATTAAAATTAAGCTGAGTCAAAAGAGTGATTTGCTTGATTAGTTTGTAAACGAGTAAAATTGAATGATTATTACTTATAAATCGGGTGTTAAAACTTCTAACATTACTTTATTTGATTTGTTATTTAACTCTCTCCCAAAAGTTTATCAACATATTTCAAGGATTCATGATCTCCATTTAGTTAATTACATTATTAGAACATCTGTTCTATTATATTTTTAGAGTATTCCAAATCCAAAATAATAAAAGAAAATGAACTTGTATCTGGTTAAATATATTAAAATGTTTCAATCCTTCCTTAGCCATTTATTTTAGATTTATTCTTTAGCTATTCTTTTTAATTTTCACTCAATAATTTATTAAATAATATTAGCATATAAACATCTTATTAGGTTTTTAAATTAGTAGCTAATGGGATGGAATGATGATTGCTAACACTTTTTAAATCATATTAAAACAAAATTGACAAATCACTCCAATCAAATCTCTATAATGGATCATCAACAATCATATGATCTAAGAGATAAATTATTCTTGGATCTAATTTCAATTTAACATTTTACCAACTTTTTTTTCTTATATTTATTTTTTCATAATTTCAGAAAATTTTTGGTTCACATTTTTATCAAATTTAACCCGTTCTTATGTTTATCCAAAAACAAGATTCTTGATTATGGTAGCAAACTAATATTTAAATAAAATATACTGAATAAACATCGCATTTGTCATTATATTCCTCATTGTTAAAAACTTCCGGAGCCATATAATAAGGAGAACCAACTTTTTTTGTAAAATATTATATATTTTGTCCATCCACTAATTTACTTAATCCGTAATCAGAAATCTGATTATTTAAATAATTATACTTTGTAAACAATCTTGTTTTGGTTTGTTTTTAAATATAAAATATTATCCTCTTTTATATCTCTATGTATAATATTACGTTTTCTTAATTCTAGATAACCTGAAACTATTTATCGTATTAATTCACTAATTTCATTAAATTGTGAAAAAAACTAATTTTCATTTTCTTAAAATTATTATAGATTTCCTTGACATAATTCCATAAATATATATGAACAATCTTCTTATTGTTCATTATAAACATCAAAAATTTAAACCAAATTTTAATGTTTTTAATTTATCATATGTAAACAATTATTGATATCTTTTTCACTTACAACACTATTAAAGTATGTTCCAGATGAATTTCCCTTTTTTAAAATTTTTACACAAATAGTTTCTTTGGTTTTTTTTACTATTGCATGCTTTACTTATCCAAATTAACCTGATCCTATAATGTATTTTTAACTAGGTATTTCATATTTTGATTAATAACTCAATTTATTTTCTTAAGAGTTTTTAATAGAATTTGGCTTTTCCATTAATTTTTATAAATATAATTGAAAAATTAAATTAATCAACTTATATTTTATTATATAATTCTATTATTGAGCTTTAAGTATAAATTGCAATATTAATATTAGTATTAATTATAATTTATTAATCGTTTATCTATATTATTAAAGTAATGTTGTTAAGTATTAAATTTTTGTAATTCTTAAAGATAATAATTGCAAAATGAGTTCTAAATAAAATTAATAAAATGATTAAGTTATCAGCTCTTTTTTTTCTACTTTATTTATAACTTGTTACAAGCCTTCCAAAATCTCGAAGATTAAATTAAAATACTAAAAGAATATTGGATGAAACTCCTATTGACATATCAGGTAGTTGGGAGCCACTTAGGATAAAATTTGAATTTGTGACTGATGCTGATAATGAAACAAAAGATTTTTTGGATAAAATCTTCTCAATATCAGGGACTTTTTTGTCAAAATATCTGTTGATAAGAAGAAGTTCTGAAAAAATATAATTACCTAAAGATGCACCAACCTAATTTTCGGAATTTTTTGAACTGAGTTAAAAGTAATTATCAGAAGAGCATGAGGCTGATCTGGTAAATTATATAAATAATATAAAATAGGTATTTTATGTGACCACAATGAATGATATTAATGATGAAACATTAGCTTTTTGTGCTCCTATTGTTTTTGATGATAAAACAAAAAGACCCATATTTGGTGTAATAGGGTGGAATATGGCATATACTGATGTAGGTACATTAACGAATGCAGGATATGAAGCATAAATAGCAACAGCTGTTCATGAAATTATTCATGGTCTTGGATTTGTAGAGGATCTTTTTGATAAATATTATGATTCTGTAACTGGTGAGATCTATGAAAATGGAGGTAAAACTGTAGATAATGGTGTTGTAAATATAATAACACCTAGAGTTGTTGCATTTGCAAGAAAGCATTTTGGATGTGAAAGTATAACAGGATTGCCAATGGAATAAGAAGGTGGAGATGGTACTGCAGAATCTCATTGGGAAAGAACACTATTTTATAATGAAATGATGACAGGATCAGATATGATTAGTGATTTCGTATTAACTGATTTCACTTTTTAATTGTTATAAGATACGGGATATTATAGAATAACTGAATATATTCCTGATATATTAACATGGGGAGAAGGTAAAGGATGTACTTTTTATGATTAAATGTGTGAATCTGAATTTCCTGAATTTTGTTCGGATGAAGGCATTTAAGGTTGTGCAATAACTCATAATGGAATTGGAAAATGTATTAGTGAAGATTTATCGAACACTTGCAAATATTATTAAATAGATTAAAATTTAGATTGTAGAAATGCTAATTCTATTGGATATGCTGATAATGAAGTTACATTTTAAGATTTCGGTTATAAAAGTATGTGTGTTGTAGGAGGATTTGCAACACTTAATGGTACTCCTAAAGATTTTAGTTGTTATGAATATAGTTGTGATGGTTCTTTTACTATAAAAGTAAATGGTTAATCAATCGATTGTTCATCTGGAGGAGTTAAAACTCTTCAAGGAATGAATGGAAGTATCACTTGTCCAGAAAATTTTATGCAATTTTGTAAGAATGCTGATGAATGTCTTAATTAATGTAATAAAAGGGGATTTTGTATGAAAGGATTATGTACATGTTATGGAGAGTATTATGGATCTAGTTGTGAATTAGAAAATTGTAGTAAATTTAAAAAAGGTACTGAATGTGTTGATTCCTGTCCTTCTGGATATTTTCTAAATAAAAATATTAATTATTGTATTGGATGTCCAGGAGTAAAAATATTTATATTATTCTATTTAGAATTGTGCTGCTTGTTCATCATACAATCTTTGTACATAATGTAATGATGGTTATGAATTACGAGGAGGATTCTGTGATAGCTTAGCTAATTTTAGTCATTCAAACATTTTTAAATTCATTCTATTTCTAATAATGGTTTTAGTTTATTGATGTATCTGAAATGATACATTTAAATCATATGCACTTATATAACATAATTAATTTTCGATGATTTTAATTTTTATTAAAATCAATTAATTATCACATTATGTTGCATGCACAACATTAACCTTTTACTTAGGGCTTACTTAATTCTATTTCTTTCTAAGTTAATATAGTATAGTATTAAGATTCAAACATGCTCAAATATGCACTTTCTGCCATGTGATTCTTCTATACACTTTCACCCATTTGTTTAATTCCACTCTCAATCATATTCCTATGAATACTTTCTCCCATTCCTCTATAAGTATTTATTATTGGCCTGTCATTTAAAGAATTGGTTACCATAAACAAGCTATATTTGGTAATGTTCCTTTGTATCTTAACATCAATTAATCCTCATTTATATACTCTTAAAGAAAACTTGGATCCTTACAAAATTGAATCTTTTTTGCCGTTTCTGGATGCATCAATTCTTTAGAATTATTAATTAATTATTTCTTACTTTCTACCAACTTCCAAGCTGCTACCAAAAAGAAAGGAGGGTTTAGTAAATGCAATTATTCTAATGAAGCTGTGTAGTTCGATTATGTTACATCTATTATTTATTTAATTATCTTAAAATCTATAAGTATTCATTTTTACTTAATGTGGCAATCTAAATATACTAATATCATTCAAATCCACAATTATTCTCCATTTCTCTACATAATATGGTACCAACATAAACTTTTAGATATAATTCAATAACACACACATAGCATTTAGTATTGGTGGTAATTATTCCTATCGTTATTATTAATAATATATTACAATATTTGTACTTATTTTTGAAACCTATATAAAAATTAATGGTCTGAATTGCTTATCTCTTCCCAAACTAAATATTACTCCTTTTTTCTCAAAATGCAATAAATAAAATTACTAAGATTTCCTCTCCTGCTGAAGTTAAATTCTGATAATCTGGATTCTCTTTCCATTTCAAATACTTTATTAGTGTTTAAAAAGCTAACTCAATATCAAAATTCCCAGAATAACAGAACTTTAATGTAGTTTATTTATCCCATTATTATGGTAATTAAACTTTTCTCTACCTTATTAAATCCTCCAACTTTTATATCAATTCTTCTTCAATTTCTTCAAATTCAACATTATAAAACACATTTCTTTTTAATTTCCCTTCCACTACGTATTTAATATATTCATCTAGCTTAAACAATATTATACCTGCATGTTTTATTTGCATCACTTATTTTGGTGGTTTAAGATAGCTGAAATCCATTAAAATGTTTTAAAATAAATAATTGTTAAAAAAGACCATAAAAACCTATTTCTATTTCATTCAAACAGATATAGCAAAACCACTTATACCTTTGAAGAGAATCTAATAATTTATTACTACATTCTCTCAATAAACAAAATCACTGTTTGTATCCTAATCAGAAAAACTTGAAATAATAATAAGACACTATTCATATTAATTTCATATATAAAATATAATAAACTTAGTTCCAAATCTTTTTTATTTTGAATGTAAGTCATTAGGTTTAATTTTCCATTTTATCTAAATTATTAGAACTTGTAGGATTTTGATATATAATGACATTTCTTCCACTATCTTCTATTTTTAAAACACTCGGCCTGTTCTGCTGTCGTTTAATTTTTCTATAATATTAATGATTTCTATTTATAGTACTTTTTTAATTAGAAACATAATGAACTTACGTAGTGTTTTTTAATCGGTGAATCTTCCTCGATATATTCTCCTACAGGACACGAATTATTTGTTGGATATAAATCATATAAATGTTTAGAATCACCTATTATTTAGAGGTCATTAATCATATTTAATTTATTTTTAATATCAAATTATCACTATTTCAAATTTCTTAAACAAAACTTTTAGAATATATCTATTTATTCAATATGATATGAATATTTTAATCATTCTCATTATATTACTTAATAAATATTCAAAAGAACAAATTGTCTACACTTATATATTTTAATACTATTAATTTATTTCTTAAACTATATTCTCCTTTTCCTATTAACAAAAAAGAGTTAATATTCAGTAAACTAAATCTAAACAAAATTTAATTAATAATTCTACTTATAATTCATAATGCAATATGAATAAACTTCTAAAAAATTATTTAACTAAAATTTTCTTAGTACTCACTCAATTAAAGATTGTAGCTGATTGAAAAATACCAATTTTTAATTAAAAAAATAAAAAATAAACTTGAAAAAATTTCTTTTAACCCTAAATCATATATTTAAATTATTTTTCCCCTTTACTTAATTATTATAATATAATTGGCTTATTATTCACAGAATAATAATTAAAATTATCTATGAATTAAATATTGTAAGTTAAACCAAAATTTTATGCAGATTATAATAAAAATCAGCCAAAAGAATATTGGGACTATGATAATTTTGAAAATGAGTGGAATGTAAAATTGCTTAGATTGTTAGGATAACGATTAATATGAAATTGTTAAGAAAATTGGAAGGGGAAAATACTCTGATGTATATGAAGGTGTTAGATATCCATAACATTAAAGGGTAGTTATAAAAGTACTTAAACCAGTCAAAAAAAGAAAAATAAAAAGAGAAACAAAAATTCTTTTATCATTAAAAGGACATCCAAACATTATAGAATTAAGTGACATTGTTCGTGATCCAGCTTCGAAGACTCCTTGTTTAGTGTTTGATTATATAGAACATGTTGATTTTAGAAGCATATTCCCAAAATTAACAGATCATGAAATAAGATTTTATCTATACGAATTGATGAAAGCTTTAGATTTTTGTCATTCAAGAGGTATAATGCATAGAGATGTTAAACCATAAAATATAATTGTAAATCCATAAAAAAAATTATTAAAATTACTTGATTTTGGTTTGGCTGAATTTTATCATATAGGATAAGATTATAATGTTAGAGTTGCTTCTAGATACTTCAAAGGACCAGAATTATTAGTAGATAATCTATATTACGATTATTCTTTAGATATTTGGAGTAGTGGAGCTATGTTAGCAAGCATGGTAAACAAAAATATATCTTTTAGATATTTAAAAAGGAACCATTTTTTTAAGGAAATGATAATTATGATTAATTAGTAGTTATAGCAAAAGTCTTAGGAACAGAAGATTTATTAGCCTATATAAAAAAATATAGACTTAAATTAGATCCAGCTTTTGATCATAAATTAGGAAAGTATAATTATTAATTTATTTATTAAAGTTATCCAAAAAGAGATTGGTAAAAATTCATTAATTAAGAAAATAAGCATTTATGTTCGGAAGATGCAATTGATTTGTTATCTAAAATGCTTATTTATGATCATGTAATAAAAATTCTAATTCCATTTATTAGGCTTTAAGAATAACTCCAAAAGAGGCTTTAGATCATCCATATTTTACAACAGTAAAAGATTAAAAAAAATGAATATGATTTTACATGTATGAGTTTTAGATACCATATTGTAATAAATAATCATTTTGTCATTTTTTTTAATGATGAAGTGGATTTGCTCTTATCGAATTGTCTTAAAAATCTATTTAGATTTCATATTTACTTTAGGTCTTCAACTGCTTGATCTCTTTATTTCATTAAACTTAAGTTGAATTTATGTTTGCTTATTTCTCTATTCATTTATTAGTTTAATTTTTCTTGATATTACTTTTAAATATTATCATGTCTATTTTCATTTTCTACAATTTAATTTTTTATTTTAGAAAATTTATTCTCCAGCTCATTCTATTTTTTTAATTACAAACTTTACAAATGTTCATTCTTTTTCTTTAGTTTAACTTAGACTTCTTCTCCTCTATGTTAATAATATTCTTGTTTTGATGAGTATCTCTATCTTTAGAGTTATTATTTTTAAGTCAAATCTTCTTAAGAATGAACAGATTTAGCAGATTTGTTAGTGCTTATTTTTCGAAATTTATTAACCACATAAACCAAATTATTATTGTATTCTTATTATTAAACTTCTTCTTTCTTATGTAGTAATTAAGGTAATCTAACAGACCATAAATCAACCTTAGATTATTTATTATTATTGCTATGGGCTTCACTATTTCTTTCAGTTTTTAATAATTATAGTTTGGCAATTATTTATTTATTAAAGTCAACTTCTTGTTTTATTTAAACTGCTCTTTATTATTTCTCTTAATATATTTAGGATTATTATTATAGTTATTCAGAGAATTATTGTTTCAATTAATCAATCTTCTTATCTCTAAATAATTTTATATAATTACAAAGTAATTGATGCTATTCTGTCTATTTCTTATCTTTCTAAAGATTTTTTTAGATTTTCGGCATGAACTTATTTAACTTTTCTTTAGATTTCTATACTTTTTGAATTTTATTCTTTTGCTCTTTCCTTTCTTTCTTAAATAGTCAACAATCTTTTTTATCTTTTTTTTTCTGTTCTTTAATTTAAGGATGATATAAATTCAATTTATTATTCTGCTTCTTTCTTCTCCTATTCTTCTTATTACTATTTTATTTTTTATAGTTTAGCTTAATATTTTTAGCTTTTAGTAAAATGTGTTTCAATCCAACTCTCAATCATTTCAGTAGGACTTTTTAAATGTTCACTTAATTAAATACTTTTTAATATGGAGAGTTTGATACCTATTTAAACTTGAGTCTAAATTATGAGGTGCTTTTTTTTTAGTAAGCCTTTACTCTTGCTTTAATTTATTTCTTTATAAAATAATTTATTTTCTTAATTAGGCAATTTGAAGCTAATGAATCAAATATCTTTTTTCTGTAATCTAAATTAATTCGCCTGGTATTCTGAAATCAATAAGTTCTCTTTTAGATGATAAAATAAATCTAATACTTTTATATAAGTTAATCATATTGTATTTTGCAAATTTCAAGACATTTTTTAGTTCTTGGAGAATCAGGATTTATCTTTAAAGTATTAATAGTGGAAATAACATTGTTCAATTTAATTTCTGAATCAATCAAATATTTTTACTCAACTGTCCTTTATAATTAAGAAAATTTAAATACATAGGATCGCATGAATATATTTATTGCTTAGTTAACTTTGTAGGTATGTTATGAATTTTCCTGAACGATAAATCACCTACAATATTGTCAATTTATTGCATGAATAAATAAAAAATTATAATAATTTAGAAAATAGGAATTTGACAAGTAATATAATTTGCACAACCATAATATAAATAAAAATAAAAATAAAAAAATATAAAAATAAAGTATTAGGATGGGAGTTAGTAGTTGATGATATGATATTAGATAAATAATTATAGAAATAATTATATATTTGGTTATAAGTATAAATGAATTGTATATATCTGACCACGTGTTTATGAAATTAAGAAAAATATCTTTATTATTTTAATGTCAGGACCTGTGTTTAAGGCAGCAGCAAAGTGGACTGGAAGAAAGATCAACGTAAAGAATACAGTAGTAGAATTGGATGGAGATGAATAAGCAAGAATAATATGGAAGATGATCAGAGAGAGATTAATTTTACCTTATTTGAATGTGAATTTAGAATACTATGATTTGAGTATGGAACATAGAGATAAGACTGATGACAAGGTATATTATTTTGGTAGAAAATAAAGGTTACATTCGATTCAGGATATGCTATCTTAAAACACAAAGTTGGTGTAAAATGTGCTACAATTACAGCTGATGAAGCAAGAGTTGAAGAATTCAAATTAAAGAAGATGTGGCCATCACCAAATGGATCAATTAGAGCAATCTTAGATGGTACAGTTTTTAGAGAACCAATTATTTGTAAAAATATTCCAAGATTGGTTCCAGGATGGACTTAACCAATTGTAATTGGAAGACATTCATATGGAGATCAATATAAATGTTAAGATGTTAAATTACCAGGACCAGGAAAATTAGAATTAATATATACACCAACTTAAGGTGAATAAGTTAAGAGAACAATTTTTGAATTCAAAGGAAAAGGTGGTGTTGGATTAGGTATGTATAATACTTATGAATCAATTGTAAATTTTGCTCATTAATCATTTTCATATGCTTTAATGAGAAAATATCCATTGATGTTGGGAACAAAAAATACTATATTGAAATAATATGATGGATATTTCAAAGATATTTTCTAAGAAATATTTGAAACAAAATATAAGAAAGTATAATAGTAATATAAATGATAGGATTTTGATGCTAATAAATTATGGTATGAACATAGATTGATTGATGATTTGGTTGCTTAAATGATGAAATCCTCAGGTGGATTTGTTTTAGCTTTAAAAAATTATGATGGTGATGTTTAATCAGATATTGTTGCATAAGGATATGGATCATTAGGAATGATGACATCAGAATTGGTTGCAAATGATGGTGTTTATGAATCTGAAGCTGCTCATGGAACTATCACCAGACATTATAGAGAACATTAAAAAGGCAAAGAAACATCTACTAATTCAGTTGCTAGTATTTATGCATGGACCAGAGGTATTTATCTATTTTTATTATTCTTAGGTCTCAGACATAGAGGAAGATTAGATAATAACTAAGAATTAGTCAAATTTGCTGAAACTCTTGAATCATCTATCATTTAAACCATTGAATCAGGTTTGTTCACTAAAGATTTAGCTTTGATTGTTCATGGTCCAAAAGCTGACAGATCAACTTATTTAAACACAGAACAATTCATTGATGCTGTCAATGGTAAATTATAATCAAATCTTGGATTTTTGAATTGAGATATTATAATCCCCAAATAAAATAAAATAATATTTCTTCTTCTTTTACTTAAATAATTTTAATAGTATTTTTAATATTTTATGAGTGACCCTAATATTATTCAAGAAACCCATCACAAACTTAATCAAATTTTTAATTCAATTAAATTAGAAAATGTATAAACTTAACAAGCACTTAAAACTATTTCAAATAATAACAATCTGATTGCTTAAGTCAGGCATTGTAAATCATTAGCCTAACTTTTTCACAATGTCTAAAATCTCAGCTAAACTCATTAATTGTTTAAAGAAATTAAAATTAATAATCTATCCATTAAACTTAATAATGATGTAGTTATATATACAAAAGAAGATGGACATTGCATTGCTAAAGTAATTGAAATTATTGGAGTTATCAAATTTCAACAATATACACCTATCATTAAAGTTTAATGGTACTACTCTAAAAAGGATCTAAAATAAATTATTGGAATATATTTAGATTGCATCAGCTAAAGAGAACTATTTCTCTCTGATTAATATGATTATATCTAACCAGATACAATCGTTGGGGAAGCATAAGTTTTGGAATTAAAGGAATTTGTACAGAAAAATCTCACAACTGGTTTCATTTTTTTTTGTAGGTACTCTCTATTTTATTTTTAATAGATCTTTTTATAAAAATGAGCAAATCCTTCCACCTATTTAAAAATGGGAAAAGCATTGTAAATGTAGATAACCAATGAATCCTGATAGGAAATATTTAATTTGTGATATTTGTTAATCATTCTATCACAAAGAATGTGTACCATTGAATGAAATAGTTTAAAAAACATACATATGTCCTTAATGTAGGAAATCAAAATGATTATAATTAAGTTAACTTTGGCTTATTATTTAATTGTTATTGTTGCTGAAATTAAATCTTATTCTTATGGGAAATATATCATCATTACCTAAGTTATCTATTTTATCTCATAATACATGTAAACAATAAAATATAATTAATAAATATGGCAGAATAATTTAATGGTTCCTTCATTAAATAATCAGAGGAGATTATTTAATAGAAAAAAGAAGAAATCTTATAGTTCTTTGACTAGAAAGGTTATAAACCAAATACAGTTTTCAATGATTAACTCTGGTTTTTCCCTGAAATCAATAAGGCTTAAGATCATATTTTATGGAGAATTATAAATGATACCATAGGTTATGATTATAATAAAGACAGACATGTAGGATTCTATATTTTACATAGCTTGAAACAGATTAAACTATTGATACTTTTGTTCAAAGGTTATTAGATGAAGCTAAAATGATACATCTAAAAATCGTAGATTTTAAAAAAAACTTAGATTATTTAAAAGATGAATTAGTTAATTTTGAGAAGTTTACAAAGATAATTGAGGCTAGTAATTATAAATAAATTCTATGATAGACAAAACAGAATATAATTAAGAAAATGCTTTTGTAATATCTTATGTAGATGAAATGAATTAAATAAGCGAGATAGGAAAAGTAAATTATTATTTAGATTTAAGTTTTACAATCTCAAATATAAGATTGTCACAGTCAATAAGAATTATTAATTATTATACCCAGAAAATTCAAATAGATCTACTTATATTTCTAATGATAATTCAATCGATTCAATAACTTTAGTAGTAATGGGATAGAGATTCGATAAAAATTTAGGAGATTTTAGAAAAAGCTTAGAAGAAGACTACAAAGAATTAGCCTAAATAAAAATTTCTATTTAAGATATTTATCAATTGTTAAGGCCTAGACATTTTGCATTGCCTACTATACCTTAATGCTATTTGATTGTTAATTATAAAGATTAAAGTTTAGATGCTCCTTTTTGCGAAAATGTAACAATAAATCTGCGATTTGATTTACGATTATCTTATTTGAACAGAATTGAAATAATTAAAGTTCAAAAAAAATATAAAACTGAACTTATAGAAGTAAGAAAATAAAATTATATTCTTAGAGATTTGATGAAAAAATACAAAAAGAATTAGGATATATGTAATAATTATTACTTCCATTTAAATCCGAACTTAAATTTCATTATGTTCCAGCCAAAGGAATAGGTTTAGAATCAGATTTTAAGAATGATAATACTGATGAAAATTATAATAATAAGGAAGAAATAGGACCTTTAAAAGATAGAGAATCGTGTTGCCTCATATTTTGAATTAAATATTATTATGTTATTGAAATAAAAAATCATTTATAAATTCTCAATAGCTGCTCTTCTCTAGCCAGTTTATAATCCCTATTGGGTATCTTATGGAACAGAATAAGTGATAAAAAAAGCAGATGTATTAGATAATTTGTTATAAACAGCTATTTCCATATTAACTTCAGATAATACAGAAATAATTAAATAATATAAGAAAGATCTAAAACAACCTAAATAAATTAAGCATAATATAGAATTTTTCAATAATATTGAATGGGGTTTATTGGAACAATTATTGCTTTTGCGAAAAGAATTAGATGATAAAAAATTTAAGTTTGTTTTCAATCCAAATTAAAAATATTAACCTTAATGGAAATAAATCGGAGAATTGGAAATATATGGATTGTCTCCTTATCGTCACTAAAATCATTTCATTCATGAATATATTCATAAAACAGAATAAAATAAAGTAACATTTGAAGTAAAACCATAAATAGAAGAAAGATCAGATATTTAAGAGAAATCTGAAAAATTAGCTAAGCCAATATTAGATTCATTAGAAAAAGAAAAATAAGATGTTGCTGGATTATTTGGAAGAGCAAGAAATTTTATCAATAAAGTAAATAAATTGGTGATAAATGAAAATAATGTTAAATAAGAAAATACATCATTTAATTGGAAAAAATATGTATTAGAACCATCTAAATCTGATAGAATATTAGTTAGAGATTATGAATATGAATTTGAAGGAATTATGACTATTAAAGATTAAAATGATTAATACTTATGTGATACTAAATTTATTGAATCAATTCAACCTAAATTAACTAGAATTTATGTAAGAACAGAATCTTGGATTGAAACTAAAGAATCAGATTCAACTTTAAAGGGTAAAAGATAAGTATTGACTGATTTAAATTGCATATTAAAAGGTAATCCATGGGTTTGGGTTAAAAAATTTGATGAAGAAGAACTTTGATGAGTATTGTTTATAAGTAATATACAAATAAGTTATTATTATTCAATAATTATGTACTTATAATAATAGATCTTCTTCTGGATTATTCATATGAGTGTTCCATCCCTCTAAATTTTAAGGCCATGCTATCCAATTATTTTATTTTGACTTTTCAAAATTTCCTTAACTAATACTTCTTTAAATTATTTATTATGATTATAATTTTCTTATAAAATAAGGTGAATTAGGTTATTTTGTTGAAGGTAAACATATAGGTATTTCATTATACACATCATCTATTGCCAATGATTGTTTTTTTTCTAAACTTTAAATTGGGAATTTGCATTATTTATTATTCTTAGTAGTTAGTTGACTTATAAATTTTATCTTGGATTACAAATGGGATTTTAAAAAAATTTAATTACTTATCTGATCGATTATCATTAGATCTAATAGATTTGATCTCACTCTTAACATTAATAATATAAAACCCTTCTTTAATTTACATTTTTTATGTTTGAAACAACTATTTGGATTTTCCTAATTTGGAATTCATTATTTCTTATCTTAATTAGTTGATTTTCTTTTCTATTGATAGTTTTATATTTCCATTCTATAATGGTTATTTTGACATTGGAAATGATTATTTAGAAGGAGATAATGTATAAGGCTTTAGTAGGTTTGGAATAGAATCTGTATATTCAATTGATTTTATATAGAGATTTTTGGTTCTACATGAAGTAGATGTACAGCTTTGGTAGTTCTTGAAGTTTTAAAAGAATTCATTATTATATTAAATCACAAATTAAATTTAGAGAGTTCTTGCAAGAGTTTAGGATCCAATTAGTTCTATTAACATTATTAGTCTTATTACAATGGATCATCAAATTATGTCAAAGAATGGTGACTACCGCAAACCTTTATACCAAAAATGTCGTCATCATCTTCTAATTTAATTGAATTTCTTTTTTTATCATCAAAAACTCCTACCAATTAAATATCATCAACTTCTTTTTATTTGACTCTATTATAAATATTGGTTGATGATTCTAATTTAAATTATTTCAATTTAGATTTGAAATCTTAATTATCTTTATCTTACTTGATTTTGATTGAAAATCTTAAGTTTTTTTTTGAAATTTAAGAGCATTCTAATATAGAATCAATTTATTTGCTTATAATTAAAGTAGTTTATAGCTCTTAATTGAGCATAGTGGCGCTATTGATTAAAGATTTATTCAAAATATCACTATTTTAACTTATTCTACTAGTATCCATATCATCTTTTGCAAACTTTTATATCAATGGTTTTTTTGGAGTTTAAGCATTTGGTATCCATATATGTTTTAATGCTTCAGAAGCTGTTAATCGTTTAAGTGGATTCCACATCAAAAGTCTTTTAATTAGATCTCTACAACTTGATGATAATTTTAAGAATGACTCTTAATGGAAGACATATTAAATTGACTTGCTATTTTACATATTCAAATTGAATATTTACCTGCTAGATAATTAAGCTACAATTTCTCCTGCATATTCAGAAGTAAATGGTAATGAACCTGTTAAAGATTAGTACAATGTAACACCTATAGCCCATAAATCAATCTATTGATTATATCCATAAGATTAACTAAACATTATTTCAGGAGCACGATAATGAATATTGCCTGTTACTGTTAACATCTACTTTCTTACATATCGATAAGTACTATTACTATAAGTTACAAATCTTCTAGAAACTCCAAAATCAATTAATTTAACTGAACAATTACTTTTAATAACTATTTAAATACTTCAAATCAACCAGTATGTTATCTGGTTTAATATCTCTATGACACACACCACAACTATGTAAACATCTAACACTTTTTAATAAAGCATTTGCTAATTTTTATACTTCTTATTCTTTTAACTTTTTTTTCTCTTACAAAATTGTTTATAAATTTTGATATGGTATATATTCCATTACCATATATATTACATTTATATCAATATATAATTTATAACATTTTGCAATATATGGACTTTTAATGATTGTAGAATTTATAAATGTTTGACGAACTATTTCTAAATGCTCCTCATCTATTGTTTTTATTATCTTAACAGCAAATAACATTTATGGATTGTCTTTTTTCCAACATAATTTTACTATTCCATGCGTCCCTTCTCCTAATTTTTTCCCAATAACAAACTCATCATCAAAATTTGTTTAGTTAACATCAATTTAATTGATATTCTCACTCTATACATCTTCATCACTAAATTAATCAGATTATTATAATTATCTTATTAAAGGAGTCTACGTTTTTCTAAGTGGCTTTTCTGTCTCTATAGGCGAAATTGTATGAGCAGAGACCAAAAATCCTTTTAATTTTTCCATTTGCTTATGAAAATTGGTCTATACTACTAAACTCTATATCATAAATATTTATAATTATTTTTAAGTAAAATTAACTAATCTATTTTTTATTTTAGAAATAACTTTTTATGAATTATTATTTATTAACATATATACATAGAACTATGAAGTACGTCTAAATTTAAATAAAATTATTTTTACATTTATTTGAATCAACTAGTTATAAAATAAAATAGAACCTACTAGAAAAGAAGAAGCGATACAAGTAAATATTTTTTTCAACTTTTAGTTTAAGGCTAATTCAAATCTATCATAATCATGCAATTATGTTTACTAACATTAAAAAAAATCAGATATCTTCAAAGTTAATAATTTGAACTAATTATTATATTTTTTGTATCATTTTTATATAAATTATAAAAGTATATAGCTAAGCTTTAAGAATTGTACTATTAGACGAATAAATTAGTAATTAAAATATTCAGATAAGAAATAGTAAAGTCTGACTTATGAATATTGTAGTAATGGAAACCTAAAAAATTGATCTTCTTAGTATAAATATAGTTAGAATGTAGGTAATAGATTAGAAAAAATATAATAGAAAATAAAAGTAATATGGAAGAATAGGAATATATAAGTAATATGATTGAAAATATAAATATAATAAAGCTTTCTTTTTTGAATTCTATTATTTTAATAATTTGAATAAATTTATATTTAAGTATTTTTGATCCAGTCTACAAATTATTATTGTAAAAGCGATTAATAGATTTTGCAAAAAGTTTGCTCCTTTTTTATATATATTTTATTTTTTGCAATTTTATCATTTTTATTTTTAACAAAAATTATGAATATACCTTAAATTGAATTTGAAATTCAAATATCCCAAAAGGATTTCAAATTTTTTTCAAATGCAATTTTATAATATACAAATTCATAATCTCTATATTGAAATTTTATAAAATTTAAAAAGAGAATAATAAAAGATTAGTTTACCTATCTATTTCTTATTTTTATAAATATTTATAATAATATTAATTATTTAATGTTTTTATTGATACTTATTTCGATAGCGTTTGCTTAAATCTAAGAAATAGATTGCGATGTAATCAATAGATTATTATAAAGATGTAAAATATATGTAATAATTTAGAAAGAATATGAGATAAAATAACCAATAATTTTAATGTTTTATTTTAAGTATGGTGCAATTTATTAATAAATCAAATCAACTTGGTTGTAATAAATATTTTTAATTTAGACAATATTCTCTTACATATCCTTAATATTAATATATGTAATTAGATATGAAAGAATATGCAGAATAATGTATTATTGGAATTTTTGAGCATAATTATCTTCCATATGGAATATACATAAATGATAAATATGAATTCCACGCTGAATTAATTAGAGAATCAATTCAGCTGAAGGAATATTTAGAATAAACAAGAAATTTTAATTTTAACCCCTTACCTTAATTCAATAAATATAGAAAATTGTAGAATTTGCTTACAAACTACATATTTGTAATATAATTAGTAAATTAGATATAAAGTATGAAAGCGATAGGAGTTATTGCATTTGTTATATTTGCTATTTGGCTTAGATTATAAATATATAAAGATAAAGATAAAGATAAGGTGGAATGATTATAAATTTTTAATTTATTTAATAATGTTATTTTATCTAATTTAAATTATAATACAAATAAATAAAGCTTAGTAAGATTTACCACCATGTATTGAATAAGAAAGTTTAAGTTATTGCATCAATCAATAAAAATTGGCTCATTAAGTTTACACTTGTTTCACTCAGATATATCGTTTATAAGATGACTCTTAAGAATATTGGATTACTTATACTTAATTTTATTTGATGGTTAATATATTCTGTGCTCAAAAAGTGATTGAGAATAAACACATCATTCAATTATCTTTATTAGAAGATTTAAATAATCATTATGAAGTGATGATTTTATAAATGTAATACAATAATTAAATTATAGAAATTAAAATTAAGAAAACTTATAAAATTTGAAATAAAATATAAGGGAAATATAAAATTAAGTTAATATAAGTTATTCTTAGTTGAAATAAAATAAAACAATCGTTGATAATTTGATTGCGAAATAACAATAGTTGAATCTTTAAATATAAGTTTAATTCTAACAATTCTAATAATAATTTAAATAATTAAATAAGGAAAATTTATCTTTAATTAAACAAAATACCATGATTATTACTACCCTTAAAGATTTTTTATAAGATATCATATTATAAAAGACAAATTATAAAATACTATTACATATTATGGTATTTATCATTCATAATGCCTTAACAAATAAAATAAATAATAATATAAAGATTTTATACATTATTTCACTTAATAGTAGCATAATATTGAATAATGATTCCGAAATTGTGTTTTTTCTTTTTATATTATGTTATTAGTTAATCCTACAGATAAAACATAGAAATAAATATAAAGAGGCTTACTATTCTTTATAAGAATTAGAGTATTTAAAAACTCCAAATTTTAAGAAAATGATAAAATAATTATAAAATATATCATGAAAAATTATTATTATCTTAGCCTCTTAGTGGAAATAAATTCTTCATTTTATGATAGAATATTTACAATTCCATCTGATAATGATTATAATGAATACCTATCATCATATATTTATGATTTGCAGCTTTATAAGCAAAATATTTAGAATCATCTTGGAGCAAAAGTTATACTTATATAACAAAACAGTTTAACAAAAAAATATACCATCCATTATTTAGAAAATAAATTACTAGAAATTAATAATATAATTACCTACAATTAGAAAAAGAATAAACCACAATTTAAATACCAAACACATAAGATTTATCTTAAAATTAATTATTTAAAAATTCTTAGCTAAAGAATAAAATATCATAATTAGTAAATAATGCTTAGTTAATAATTTTATGTAGGTAAAATTTTGAATGAAAAATAATTGCTAGATATATAATTAATTAGTTATTCAATAAGAAATTGTTTAACTAAATGAGAAAGATAATAATAGTAAAAATTATTGGAAACAATATAATTGATTGATGATGAATTAGATTTAGAAATTGATTAATAAAAACTAGAAAATTAATAAGAGATCAATCATATAAATTATACCTAATTTGAATTTCAAAAGTCCTTTTTGAAGAATAATAAAAATAATAATAAAATTAACTCATAAGTAAGAAAAATAACAATAAAATATTTTAATAACTTAGATGAATAAAGTCTAAAATGATCTTTTTAATGAGATAGGTCAAAATTTTAATTATTTAATAAAAACAAAAGGCTTGAAATTTATTTTATTTAATGTAATTTCGATAAAGAATTAATTAAAGATAGAATATAATTTGATGAAGTAGAATAAATTATTAATTTTTAATCCTTTAAATAAGAAAACTCTGTTTCGGATAGATAAAAACGTGTATAAATTTTATATCCAATAAGTCGAAGTTTTTGAAAATTAAATGAAATCAAGTTCTAATCAGAATTAAAAAATAATTGTTCTTTAAAATAAAATAACATAATTGTAAACAAGGAGGATGAAGAAATTTAAATTTTAGATAAAAAAATTATTTTTCTATTTTTTAGGTATGGGCATAAAAACACATATTTATGATAGAGATTGGATTATTGATTTAAATAGCTTAGAAGAAAGCTAAGCTAATAGATTGAAGATTATTTGTGATAAATTAGAAAAATATGTTCAATTATAAGGAGAAGTCATCAAATATCATAATTGAAATAATAGTATATAAAAATAAAGGTAAATAAAGTTTAAAAATCACGATTAGGAAATAAAGTTAATCGTTTGATGACGAAGATATTTTTAGCATAAAATCTACTGTTTCAAAGTTGAAATAGGAATAGAAGCAAGAGAAATTTTAAATACAAAAGGCTTGTATCAAATCTTATTTAAATGATGAATAAAAATTTGATGTATTAAATAATTGTAAAATTTAGGAATAAAATCAAAGAGTAAGAGAGTAAAACTGGAAAATAAATCTTTACGAAATACAATAAGTGATAAACAGGAAGAGATCAAATAATTTAGAATTTTTAAGATGATGTTATCTTTGTTAAAAAAATTTTTGAATCTTTTTAGAAAGAGTTTAAATTATAATATTATTCGAATAAAAAATGTAATTCTCGTAAACAACTTTGTTGCATAGAATTTAATCAATACATTATGAATAAACTATTTCATAGTTTAAAAAAGAAAAGCCAAATCGTTTTTGGAATATTTAGAAGAGATAAGTCTAAAGATAAATGGTATATACTCTATTAATACTTATAATAATTAATTGAAATGTAAATGAGCATCTAAAGACCACATACTTCCACAACTAGAGATATATCAACAAGTGTTTTTGGATAAAGTCGCATAGAATGGCATTCTCCTAATAAAGATTTGGATTGGAATTAAGAAAAATACATAAAATAAGAGAATGAAATCATTATTGAATGTAAAATATAAATTCCATCTATAATAGAAAGTGAATCCCCTATTTAACAGAAATAAAAGCAAGTTACAGTTTAATAATACAAGTTAATAAGTTTTGCTGAATTAATTTAAAGTTTTAGATTAAGTGAAGGATAATATTCAGTTCGAAATAAATCAAAATGTTCTTGTTATGGGTTTTCGTCAGTGATCTCAACAACTGATTAAGTTAAATAAAAGTTCATTTAAATAGGAATGAATTAGTTAGAGCTCTAAAATGAATTTCATAGAAATACTGTATATTCTATACATTATCTTTTAAACAATGGTGAAAAACCTAATGAGAACTAGTTAAAAATGATTTCAAAATATGTTTCAAAATACTTTTAGTTGATGCAATTTCTTTCTTGTTTAGAATTTGAAACACCTTAATTTTAAATACTCTATAAAGAATCAGGAGAATTATTAATATAATTAGTAATGAATGTAGGATAGATGGTTTTTGAATAATTATTGAGTAATAAATTAAACAAATTAATCTAAAAAGAGTAATCTCATTTGTTTCACAATATCCTAAGAAATTATCAGAGTAGTCTTATTTTCCATATATACAAAGAAATAAAAAAATAAAATCTTCCACTATAAATTTTGATAAAAAATTATGAAAAATCTGATCCTAATTTATATTATTACTGGTATATTCAATAGAAATAATACAATAATAATCTATTCTCAGATTGATTTTATATATATATATTTAATTAGTTATTATCATTATATTAACAAAGCAATAATAAAAATGGAGATTGCTTGTGTAAAGTTATTTAAGCATTCTCCAATATAATAGCCTTCAATTTAATGATTTTGACAAGCACTACATGGATTATCAAAAGTTCTTTCACAACCATTATTCTTGCAAGACTTTAAGACACCACAAGTTTAAACATATTCTTAATCACATTCAGAAGGTCTTTAAGCTTAACAATATTAATAATTAGGAACAAAGGAATCCATTAATTGTTGAGCATTGTAAAATAATTGTTAATATTGATTGCAGTCACCAATAAAATATGATGTAATATTAACTTATTAGCAAGGTTCACATTAATTATCGAATGGTTATAAACATGGAGGATTTTAACATATTGCAGTTTCATCTAAAAAGCCACAAACTGTAATTTATTCTTTCAATTCACAATTCTAAGAAGATTAAGTATTACATTAAATTATAGTAGGAGGTTTGGGTCTTAAATTATAAATTAATTAAATACTTGTAATCAGAACAATTTCCAAAGAAGTAACTATGAATTGAAGTGTTTCTACAAGCTAAGCATTCATTAGAGAATTATTATAAACAATTTTATCCAGTGCATTTTGTTGTTGAATCAAAGAGACCACATGTAGATTTTTCACTAAAAGTTCTTAAATAATTTTTACATAGTATCACAAATACTAGGTCTAGGATTAGTACAATAAAAGGTTTAGGTATAATTTCCATTTGTAGTTTAAGGAACATTATTATCTACTCCAACAGATGTGGAAGGACTTTCAGTTTTTAAATTATCTTCTTTCTTTTTACAATCTCCATTTATGTATTTAACCACTTAACTAGCTTTACAAGCATAACAATTATTAATAAAGGTTTAGATCTGTCCATTAGATATATTTAGTCCACAAACTGGATCATAATTATCTAAACATTCTCCTTGTTGAATCTAACAATCATTTATTTATGATTGCACAAGAGAAAATAAGAGTATAAGAAACATTTATTTAGATTTTTGTAAAATACAATAATTATTACTAAAAATAGTGAAAAATAATCACATAAAAATATTGATTTAATTGCTATTTTAAAAATAATTTATTAATTCTTAATTTTATTGTCATTCAATTTTTAACATTCTTATAAACTTGTTGTAAAGGGTTAAGTTTTATTATTAATATTTTTTTCAATTTATAAATTAAAAAAAACTTTGTATTCTTTATCAATTATTAATGATTATTAAAAAATGAAGTTTAATATGGATTATAATATTATTTTGAATTTATCAATCTAATTGTAATGGAAAATATATTAATTTATTTTTATCTACTTTCTTTTAATATAATATTTAATTTTGAAAAGTTTTATTTAGATAAATTAAATGAAGAAATTAAAAAACATATTTATTTATATAGAAGTTTTAGAATAAAATTTATTGATTCAGAAATGCTTGATATTTTAATAAACTTATAAATATAATCTATTTTTTCTCAGATTTAATTAAATAGTGAGAAATATAAATGTTAAGGTTTTAAAAATTAGGAGAAGATGAATAAGCTCGTTTAGATTAAGAAAGCCTTAAACAAAAAAAGGAGTTGTTAAAATAAGAATTCGAACACTAGGAAGAAATAAGAAAATACGACAATCTCTCGATAGTTTCATCTAATGATTTCAAATTTAAGGCAGAATTAGATAAATTGTAAAGCTCTAATAAAAGAAAACAATAAGAATTAGAACTTCTGTTAAAATCAGGATAAAATAAAACAAAATGTAAAACAGGAACTTCTTAAATGCATGCATCCACTAGTGGACATGGTGTTATTCATTCTATAAATAATCATCATTCTGATCCTTTGTTTGAAACATTTAGCGGAAATGTGAATATTAAGTTATTAGATTTAGAATCTAAAGATTAATATATTGAATCATTAAAATTATAGGAATCTCGTTATGAAAATTTAATTTTAGAAGAGTAAGAAAAAAGTGAGTCTTTATAAAAGATTTTAGTTGAGATAGAAAAATCTAAATTGATTTAACAATAAAAATGTGAAGAATTACAAATTATACTTAGTAAAGCAGGAAAGAGATTTAATAATACTGATGCAGTAAAATTAATGGCAGAGAACAAAAGGTTTTTAAGTAAGAAAAACCTTAAATCTATAAAAAATGAATTTGGTTAAATGAAGTAAATGTAAGACACATACAAACGTTCATAAGAAAATAAATAATAATAATTATAAAAAATACTCTATGTAGGTGAAGAAAATATTGGCCATAATGTTTTAAAAATAGAAGAAGCAGAAAGATTTATAGATGCATAGAATAAAGAGTTTGAAAATTTAGAAGAAAAAAAATTAAATTAATTAAAAAAATAATAGGAAAGCAGATATATTCTTACTTATATTGAATTTTTTGAGTTATTTGAATAAATATTTATGAATAAAGATAAACCAAATGAAATTAGATTAGTTGATTAGTATAGTGTTAATGAAGAATTATTATTAAAATAGAATCAAAATTAATAAATTGATAATATATAATAAGAATAAGAGATGAATTTTGATAGGAACGAATTATTATCTCAAATTAATAAGTTTTATTAAGAAAATGATTCAAGAACTGAATATATTCTTGAGTTTATGTTAGAAAAATATTGGCATCTTTAGTAAGAATTAACAAAATAAAGTATTTGTTATGAAAATCTTTTAAAATAGAAGGAAGTTCTTTTAGATGAAATTGAAAATTTAGATTTTGAATTACAAGAATTAAGATAAAAAAATCCAAATTTAGATATTCATGAACAATCTATAGTAGCAGAAGATGCTGGTTTAATGAATTTAAAAAATGAAACTACTACATTAAATATCAAAAAAATGGAAGTAGAAGAACAACCTGAACAAGTAGTATGGATAAAAGCTACTAAAACTTAAGGATTATTAATGAATTTTTAATTAGGATTAGCAGAATATTTACATAGAATTTATTAAATTATATCAGCAATAGATTAGAAAAATAAAGAAAATAAGAAATTTAAATATACAAGTTTAAATAATGAAATAAATGGGATAAATTTATTGATATCAAAAATATATAATATAAGTAAAAATTAGAATTAAAGTAATGAGTTGAATTAATAACATTTAAACTAATTTGCAATATATAATATAGTAGTAGAAGTGTTTCCTACATTTAAAGAATAATAATTAAATCAAATTAGTTAATATTTCTATATTTAAAGTAAAACAGATTAAATTTTATGGTTTAATTTAAGTGTTGAAAATTTAACAAATTTTTTAAAATCTTAATAGAATTAAACATTATAAAAATTGCTTAGCCCAGAAATAATTAACGAATTCAGAGATCAATTAATTGAAATTTTCAAATATAATTTTCATAAGTTATTTGAATATTATTAAATAATGTATAAAAAAATTAGAGATATCAGTTAAGATTTATTTTAACATTTAAAAGAGATAAATCCAAAATTTGATATAAAAAAATTGTCAAAATTATTATTAAGAGAAGGTCAAGATATTTAATCAGCAAAAGATTTAATAATAAGAAGAATGATGGAATATAAAACAGGAGAAAATATTCCATTTAATAGTAAAAATGATTTGAATAAAATATAAAATTTAAGACCAAAAACTGAAGAGGAACAGATATAAAGTGTATCTTAATAATAATAGTAATAATTTGATCTATAGGATCCTTCTTTATTGTTTCCAAAGAAAGAGAGATTGGATGATGAAAAATTGTCTTAAATATAAACATTTTTTAGGGCTAAGATAAGAGAGAAAAATGAATAATTAAGAGATTAGAAAAATAATGATACAAATTCAACAAAAGATAGACCAGGTAGTAATATAGAGCAATAAAATTCTGAAAGTATTTCTATGATTAAAGGTGAAAATAAGATGAATAGAGCAAAATCAAAGAAAATGGTTGAGAGTAAGACAGCTCGTAATTTATAAGATGATTTAGAATAAGAGAGAAGTTTATTAAAAGCATAAATAGCAGCTGATCTATTAAGATTAAAAGAAGAATAAGAAAGAAAAGATAAACCATTAATGAAAGAGTAATAAAATGAAATTAAAGTTCAGATTAAGTAAGCAACTGAAAGATTATATGGAGAAAGATAATATACAGTTTAAATCATGAGAAATATGGCATAAACAACTGGAATAATAAGTGATATTAATTAATTAGAACATTTCTCTTCTAAAATTGAATCTCCTTAATTAGTTGGACAATTTGTCATTTAAAGAAAAAATTTACATAGGAATTTAAACAAAGAGTTGGGTTTACCAACTTTATCTTATTTAAAGCCTACAAGTGCCTATTTTTCAAGAAGAAATTAATCTTCTGAATAAATTAAGGCTTTGGATTATAAAAGATATTATGAAATAGAAAATGGAGTAAGTTCAAGACCTTATACATAATATTAATCAAGTCGTAAACCATATACTAATTCTAATAATAATAGCTCCAGAAAAAGAACAAATTAAAATTAAGATGAATTAAAAAATAAATATTCAGGAAGAACTAGAGTGACTAACAATAATGAATCTATGAATTCATATCCTGTACCATAAGAAATATTTTAATATGAATATCCTAAGTCACTTTTGGTACCAACATCATCATGAATTATTTTTACATTTTAATTTATTATTAATGTATTCATTTAATAATTACAAAAAATAATGATAAATTTGAATACTTTATAACTTTTAAGCTGCTTAATAGTCATATTAATTTAAGTTTATAGATATAAAGAGTAATACTTTTGGAATATAATAAAAGCATATTTTAACATATTAACTGTTTAGGTATACATTTTAACCTTATATAACGAAATTGAATTAATACAATAATACATAGGATTTTATAAATTTACCAATTATACTAAACTATTTATGCTTTAAAGACTCTAATCAATACTTTACATTTAGTCATTATCAATTTACATAGGAATTGTATTCATAATAATATTTTTAAAAAATATGCATTCAAATAACAGAAGACTAAGTTATAAATTTATTATACTCATTTAGTCAATACTTCAAACTATATTATTTTAGTTCGTTTTTCTAATTTTTGCTTTGTATATCAAATATTTCAATAGAACTTATTAATTTAAAGATTGTTTAGAAATTGTTTATATTAGAGCTTTGCTTTTATTTTCAGCAATAAGTTCTATGGCACCTATAATGTAGGTATTACTTGAACAACCATTAAATAATTTTAAATCATCAATAAAAAAGATTAAGCAACCATTTATTAAGGATATTAAATTTAAATCAGTTTTATAAATGAAATAACTCTAAACAGATGAAGAATTAGCTAAGTTAAATACTATAGAATCTAATTAAATTTTAATATTTGAAGATGTAGAAGATAATAATGAAGTTAATGAATTCTCTGATAAATGTAAGCAATCAATCATTCATTTTATACAAACTACATGGAAATTGATGTAATTGTTTGGAAGATCATTAAATTTAATATATAATACTATTCAATTAATTATGGCATTTGTATTAATTTTTGGATTTATTTGCATTTTTATTGAATATATTGATCCAAATAGTAATTTGTTAAGTGAATTGAACGCTATTAATTTTTTTTCAAATTAATTAGATTAAAATAGCCAAAATAATAAAATCTAATAGATTCAATTTGAAATGATTGAAGTAATTACAATAGCTATTTTTAAATTTATTTTCATAATCATAATGTATTTTAGTACTAATAATCGAATTTAATATTCTAAAAGTAAAAAATACTATGATATTATATAGATAAGGAATTAAGTGACAATGTTACAAATTTAACTGTGATAATTAGAAAAAACCTACTAAACTTCACTTTAATTGGTTTATTAACTACACTATACCCTAATTTAACTTTCACGATTAACAATTCAAATTGTTTTAAAGAAATTTAATACAGGAATGGTTAATTAATAAAAATGGGATAAGTGATATCAGTTGATCAATCAGATTGTCCTATTACTATAATTTATTTGATATCTTTATAGATATTTGACAGTCCCATTACAACATCAATAGGATTGTTAATATTATTATTTTATCTTTTTACAGCATTTTACATATTGTGTTTAAAAAGAAAAAATAAGAATATAAACGAGATTTGATATTTATTAAGATTAATTAATTATTATATAAATATGAATCCTAATAATACGATAGATGACACATAATTTTCTTTAGTTGAAAAAAAACCTAAAAAATCCCAACTATTTTAAAAAATATTCTTCTTTATTTTAGGTGTGTCATCATTGTCAGGTTGGAATGCTATCTTAACTGGATTATCATATTTTGCTGATTAATATAAAGGTAAAAATTAACACAAATAATATAGGACGTAATGTTTACTTCATAATGCCTATTCCTAATTTCATTGGTTTGTGTTTGATTGGATTGTTCTTACCTCGCATAAGTTCTTTACTATCAATGTTTTTTAGAATTGTGTGGGCATTAACAATTTTGTGTATTCTTTTAATACTTTTGCCAATAATAGCATTAGAAATGCATAGTACTTTAGGTATGAATATTATGAATATAATAAGGATATTGGTTATGTTTAGTAACTATTTTTGTAATGGGAATATTTTCATCCTTATAATAGAATAGTTCAATAGGTATGTCTGGAATACTGGGTCCAGAATACGTTAATGTATTTTTTATAGGTACAGGAGCATCTGGAACTATTATTACCATTTTTAGATTAATATCTTTGGCTGCAATCAATAGTGAAAAATGTAATTTTATTTATATATTGAATAGCTATATTTTTATATATTGGAATTGCAGTACTTTGGAATATTGGTGCAATAGTAATGTATTTTGCATTTACTAAAACTCCTTAATATAGAAAAATTATTTAAGCTCATAAAAAAGGTAGGAAATCTGTTTTAGTTCATGATTAAATTATTACTAAAGATGAACCAGACGATGTAATATAAAATGATAGTTTGATTTCAGATATTATAAACTCAGAAATTGCAAATCAAATTAATTTAACTTAAGATTCACATCCCAATACAGAAAATTAATAAACTAATTCAAATAAAAATTAAATCTCTATTGAAAAGATGAATGTTATATAAACATTGGTTTGGATAAATAAAGTTGCTTTTCCTATTCCATTACTAATTGTAGCTCTATATGTTTAAACGTTTATGATGTTTCCTGGAGTTGCATTTCAAAAATCATTTGATTCTGATTTTGTTGATTGGGGTTAATGCATTATTAGTTTAGGATATAATATAGGTGATACATTAGGAAAGTTTTTAGCTGGTAATAGAAAACTATTTAATATTAAAATTTTAATTGGATTATTTTTAGCTAGATTTGTTTTTTATTACACTTATATAGCAATTGCAAAAGGAACTCTGGATGCCAATTGGATTTCTTATATGAACACACTTCTTTTTGGAACCTTAAATGGATTTATTACAACAGGTTATATGATTTTGGGACCAGAAAAAGTAATTATGAAAATTTATATTATTAGACAAACGAAGGTTTTGTTAAAGAAAAAATTGGTTTTGTTTCTGGATTTTCCCTTTGCTTTGGCATTATGTTAGGTACATTCTTAGCTTTGCCTTTTTCAAATATATCTAGTTGATTTGTATATTAATTAAAGGTATTTAGCCTGCAAATAAATAAATAAATAGTTTATGATATATTATTATTTTTTGTCATCTTTCTCTTCATTCTATTTTAAGATTAAAATTAAGTTCATTATTATTTATTTATTTATCTATTTTGAATTGTAAAAAAAATAAAAGTAATTTACTTAATTATTATTACATAGTTGTTCGACAAGATAATGTCAAAAAAGAAGTATCAAATGTACATCTAAATGTAATTGCTATGAAGTCTGTTTAAATCAAAAAATGTAGTCTCTGCCATTATATTTTCATAGTTCATCGTGATTTTAAATTCATATAATAAATTTTTATTTCTTGGCACTAAAATACAAATAAAAATAAATAAATTTTCTATTAATATATATTATTATTTTTAATATATTTCTTTACAGACCTGTTAAACTAAAAAAATTTTAATTTTATTTATGTAAATTGAATAAGGATCAAAATTATAAATAATCAACTTTTTAAATCTAAATCATATTGAACCCTTTATTTTTTACTTATTTTTATTAGTAACTCCTTTTTTCTATTCATTATTTTTATTTTATCTGCTATATTTTTTTAGTATTTTTCTATATTTTTTTTCATCTTTATTTCAAATTTTTGGTATAAGCTTTTTTCTCTTTTCTAAATCTATTTGCAGATATGATATTTATTTGATTGATTTGTTTAGAGATGTTTTTACTTATGATGCATCGATATATTATAATTGTTTAAGTATTTTTTAAATATTTCTTTTAATTTTATACTCATAAGATATTTTACCAAGCATCATAGAGAAATTGAATTTAGAAACTAGATTTATTTTTAAAATATAGGTAGGATTTTTAACAGAATATTCTCATAATTAAAATATTAAAATATTGTCTTTAAAAACGTAACAAACTAGATATATAAATAATAAAAAAGCTTACTTATTCTTTTTTATTATCTATAATATTTCTCAAAAACAGAATAGATTATTGATTTAAGTTATTTTTAACTTGAGATAGTCTATTTTAATAATTAAAAGTTTATGAAATTCTTTCTTACGTTGTTGAATTAAAATATGAATAAGTGATTGGGTTATTTGAATAAATGTGTCATTTTTAGTGTAAAATGATATATTACAAAAATAAACACTCAAGTAAATAATTAATATGAGTGAATATTAATAATTACAAATAAAGAATGTCTATAGCTGAATAAAAGTTTATGGTTGATGCTTAAGGTAGAAATCTGGTTGAGATGAGACCTCCTGGCATTTAAAACAATCAACCAAATGATATTTAAATAACAGCAGAGCAATTATTGAAAGTAAAATATTTTAAGTATTTTAATGATAGGATGCTGAAATTCATCAAACAAAAGAGATTCGACCACCTTAACAAAGAATAATGGATGAAGCTGAATTATAAGAGTATAAATTCAGAAAAAGAATCTTATTTGAAAATAGAGTTAGAAGATAAAGAAATTATTTGGGAATATGGATAAGATATGCATAATTTGAAGAGGGATTATTAGAATTTAGAAGAGCAAGATCTATATTTGAGAGAGCCTTAGAAGTTGATCCTTCTAATATAGGAGTTTGGATGAAATATATTGAAATGGAAATGAGACATAAATTTATTAATCATGCTAGAAATGTATTTGAAAGAGCAATCTATTAAATGCCTAGAATTGATTAATTCTGGTTTAAATATAGTTATATGGAAGAAGTCTTAGGTAATTATTAAGCAGCAAGAGAAATATTTAATAGATGGATGACATGGAAACCTGAAGAAAAAGCTTGGATGGCTTTTTTAAGATTTGAAGAAAGAATGGGTGAAAGAGAAAATCAAAGATAAATTATGTATAAATATATGGAAGCATTTCCTAAATTAAAGGTTTATTTAAAAGTAGCTAAATTTGAAATCAAATAAAAAGCATGGGAATCAGCTAGGAGTATTTATGAAAGAACATTAGAAGAATTAGGATAAGAAGCATTAAAAGAAGAATATTTTATAGATTTTGGTAAATTTGAAATTAGAAATAAAGAATATGAAAGAGCAAGAGAAATATTTAGATTTGGATTAAAAAATATAGCAAAAGATAAAGCTTATCAATTATATTAAGATTATTTATCATTTGAAAAATAATATGGAGAAAAAGATGAAATTGATTAAATCATTCTTAATAAAAGAAGAATATTTTATAAAGAATTAATATCATAAAATGCTTATAATTATGATGCTTGGTTTGATTTGGCTAATCTAGAAATGAGTACTAAAGATTTTAATAGAATTAGAGAATCTTTTGAAGCTGCAATAAAGAATGTTCCTCCAGGAAATGAAAAAAGATTTTGGAGAAGATATATTTATTTATGGTATAATTATGCTGTTTTTGAAGAATTAGAAGCAAATAATATTTAAAAAGCTATTGAAATATTTGAAAGAGCTATATAATTAGTACCACATTAATAATTCACATTCTCAAAGTTATGGATTTAATATGCATAATTATTAGTTAGAAATAAAGATATTGATAAAATGAGAAAGGTTTATGGATTGGCTATAGGTCTATGTCCAAATATTAAGATATTTTAAGAATATATATAGATTGAGTTACAATTAGCAAATATAGATAGAGCTAGAATTCTATATTAAAGATTTATTGAGATTTTCCCAGATAATCCTATTCCTTGGATAAAATTTGCTGAATTTGAAAATGATCTTGAAGAATATGAAAGATCAGAATTAATATTTGAATTAGCATTATAGAATAATCAAATGAATATGCCAGAAACTATATGGAGAGCCTATATAGACAATTAAATAAAATTATAGAATTATGAAAAAGTAAGAGAATTATATGAAAAATTACTTGAAAGATCAAAACATGTAAAAATATGGATCAGTTATGCTTAATTTGAATTATCAATTAAGAGTATTACTGGTTTTAGAGCTGTGATGTAGAGAGGTGAAAAATGTTATATTGGTAAACCTGAACTCAAAGAAGAAAGAGCTATATTATTAGAATAATGGAAAGATATGGAAATTGAAATTGGAGATGAATAAGAAATAAAAAAAATAAGTGATAAACAACCAACTAAAACAATTAAGAAGAGAAAAATCAAATTATTAGGAGATGAAAGTGAAGATTTTGGTATATTTTCATAATATATCATTAGGTTATGAAGAATATTATGACTATATTTTCCCAGAAGAAAATCCACAATAAAAGAATTTAGGAATGCTTTTAAATAATGCTAAATTATGGAAATAATAATAAGAATAAAAAAATGGTTGATATCTATAGTATTTTATATTATATAAATGATAATTTACAAATTATTATTGGCAATCATAATATTGACTTATATCTATGTAACAATTGTACCTATTTGTGATTATCATGATAATATGCAAAAGAAATTTAAGACCCATTATGTGCAATTATTGTAAACATTTATGATGGATAACACAAACTATAGCAAATTCAAATAAGCATATAATGTATGATTATAATAATTGTAAGGAAAGCAGTCTCAATATGATAGAGGATCCAAATTATTGTATTGAATCAGATACATTAGTAATAATTGTATTCTAATTTAGAAATTATTGCATCCAGATATACTTTTGTAAGATAAATATATTGTAAGAGATCTTGAAAAAGGTAATCTTTAGAGAGAAATCATAAAAGCTAGAATGTTTGATTCAATCTAGAATTTGCTACCTTTATCTAGTATACAACAACAATATTATTAGAACCATAAACCAAATTTTAACATCGCATTCCTCCTTAACTTACTTATTTTTATACTCATAAACCAAGATTATAAGATAATTATCATTTTGGTTAAGGATTGGGATGCATGTTTTAAAAATTTAATCACATTCCTGGATTAAATACTTTAACTAGTAAAAACAGTTTAATTTACAATTATGCAAAATATATTTAAGATATGAAAAATAGAAATACAAGTTAATAATGTATCTAAAATGCTTCTTATGTTCCTTAAACTTTAAGATTGAATGTAAAATCAGAATGCCAATAATTCTTTAAGAAATTAAATAAATTACAAACTGAATATAAAAATAATATTAAATAGTATAATGGTCCAGATTATTTGTTAAAGACTGATGAACATCGTGGAGAAGGGATTAGATTACTATTTTAAAGTTAAATCTAAAATATAACTGAAGTTTATTAAAATGGTGAATTATGTGGAAATGTTACTGAGAAGATTGTTGCTTAAAAATATATCAATCGACCATTCTTATACAAAGGACATAAAATAGAATTTAGAATTTACATCTATTTAGCAAGTAGCAATCCATTATAAGTATACACCTATAAGAGAGCATTAATTAAAAGATGTGCTAATGAATATAATCCTTTATCAGAATAAATACCTGCGCATATATGTAATACCGCAGTCACAGAAAAAACTCATAAAAACTCTTCAAATCAAGCTGATGGAAATATAGAATCTGAAGATGAAGAAATGTTCATTGATTGGAATCTAGAAGGAATAGAAGAATTACTCAAGGAATAAGGAAGAATAACGAAAAAATAATAATGGCTCTAAAATTATCTATATCCAAGGATTTACTCTAAAATTATTCATACTATCAGAAGTGGATAATATAGTTTCTATAAAGACTCTAGATTCTCAGAATTCTTAGCAATTGATTTCTTGTTAGATTATGAACTAGATATTTGGTTGTTAGAAATTAACTATAATCCATAAATTTTGAGTGTTACTCCTGATCGTATCAAAAGAAATTACAAAATGATAGAAGATACTATGGAAATTGCATTTGCTTATCTTAAATCTAAGTTTAAAAGAATCAAATTATTCATTGAATAAGAATTATTTAATTATAAATATAGTGGTAATAGAATTAGACAAGTTGATTTCAAAAATAAATTTGGGAATAAATTTTCTCAATTATTATAGGATTCCTCCATTGATTAAGAGTTCACCATTTCACCTGATAATTTATATACTCATATCATAGATGAGAGCAAGAGTGGAAAAGATTAATATTTCAATTTGATTGATGAAGAGTGTCTCTGATATTTAATGTACATTTATTTTATTAACAGAATTAATCCTAATCATTTATCAGAATTATATAGATAATTATTATATAAAGCTGAAATAATAAACTTATCATAATTTAATGTCCTAAATTTTAGTAGATATTATACAAAAGTTAGATCAAGAGGAATATACTAATGAATTGGAAATAATAAAAGAATTCAATGATATCATTCATCTAAAAGTTTATTAGCAACATGTGTATAATTTCTGTGGTTATCATGCAACATTCAATATCTTATAATTGCTTAACTATTTTAATAAAAAGAAATGCTATCTCCATCATTCTGTTTCATTTTGGAAATATGTGAAATCTTTCTAAGATTATCTTAAATTATATAGAACTAAACATAATATTAATCATGAACCTTGGAGCAATTATGATATAGAGCATGGAGATTTTGAAAGGTGTTTTATAAAGCCTTGGAAAGAAATTTATCATGATGTTATTGTTATACAATATTAATTTGGAAGAATTGTTAATAGTTAAAAGGAGAAAGAATAAATTGGATAAGCGATTTAAAAATTTATTGAATATTAATAAGAAGCACCTTTAATATAAACATATTTGCTTGGTATTACATTTCATTGGGTTTCATTCGTTGCAGTGAAATCTTAACATACAACTAAATTTTATTTTATGGATTCTAAAAATATTGATTATTGTGAATGGGGAGTTGATCAAATATAAGATTATCTAAATGATATTAATAATTAAAGAATTAAAATTGGTAGAATTCCTTATAAACCTTATGAAATAGATATGTATTTTTAGGGAATTCTAGACCTATAAGGATTAATTAAACTTATGAGTTAGGTTTTGACAGGAAAATTAAATTTTTAAGAATATTTAAGTGATACTGCTACATTATTGTATACAAAACCATTAATTGAATCTTTGGGAATGTCAGAAGAATAATTCTTAAACTCAAATCCAGAAGAGATTAATTAAGAATTAATTACTAGATGGGCTTCAGAGAATAAACATACAATATTTTGTGTCTTAGAAGATGTACCAGTTCATTTTGAAAGATCGAGAAAATTATTAACTTAAGTCAATAAAATTACATCATATATTCATTCAAAAATAGGATAATAAGAATCTCATAATCCATTTTAATAGTGTCATGATGTAATTTAAGGAATTGTTGAGAGTTTCAAATATTAATGGAGTAACTATCCGAAACAAAAGCAAATTAATTTATATTTTAATGATTCTGCTAAATATTAACATGTCTCTTATATTACATATTTAAGGAAAGTTTATTTTAGAGAATTTAAGACTAAATAACATTACTATCATTTAAGGATGTAATTTTATGAAAATATATTTCATCCTTAAGGTGGTGGTTAGCCTGATGATGTAGGATCTATCATCATTTAGGATAAAGAATTCATTATAAAGAATATGTAGAATGATAGGCAACATTAAGAAAGTTATGTTGATATTGAATTTTCAGAAGAAGCTTATGAAATTTTATTGAATTGTAGAACAAATAAAACTCCTATTTTATAGAAAGTTAACCCTCATATTAGACTTCTTCATTCTTAATTACATTCAGCAGGACATTTATTGTAGGAAGAATTAATAAAGTTAGGCAAAAATTTAAAGTATGTAAAAGGAATGCATTTTTAATAAGAAGCTTATGTTATATTGGAAGGAGAGTTTGAAATACCAATAGAGTAAATACCTAAAAAAATTGAATTTTAGAATCTTTAATTATCAATTAATTATTATACACACTCTTAAGTATTTGATATTTTAGGTTATATTCCTGAATTTGTGGAGTTTTCTGATATGGTTAGATGGATAAAATTAAGAAATCAAGATATTGGATTTCCTTGCTATGGAACGCATANTGAAATAGATATGTATTTTTAGGGAATTCTAGACCTATAAGGATTAATTAAACTTATGAGTTAGGTTTTGACAGGAAAATTAAATTTTTAAGAATATTTAAGTGATACTGCTACATTATTGTATACAAAACCATTAATTGAATCTTTGGGAATGTCAGAAGAATAATTCTTAAACTCAAATCCAGAAGAGATTAATTAAGAATTAATTACTAGATGGGCTTCAGAGAATAAACATACAATATTTTGTGTCTTAGAAGATGTACCAGTTCATTTTGAAAGATCGAGAAAATTATTAACTTAAGTCAATAAAATTACATCATATATTCATTCAAAAATAGGATAATAAGAATCTCATAATCCATTTTAATAGTGTCATGATGTAATTTAAGGAATTGTTGAGAGTTTCAAATATTAATGGAGTAACTATCCGAAACAAAAGCAAATTAATTTATATTTTAATGATTCTGCTAAATATTAACATGTCTCTTATATTACATATTTAAGGAAAGTTTATTTTAGAGAATTTAAGACTAAATAACATTACTATCATTTAAGGATGTAATTTTATGAAAATATATTTCATCCTTAAGGTGGTGGTTAGCCTGATGATGTAGGATCTATCATCATTTAGGATAAAGAATTCATTATAAAGAATATGTAGAATGATAGGCAACATTAAGAAAGTTATGTTGATATTGAATTTTCAGAAGAAGCTTATGAAATTTTATTGAATTGTAGAACAAATAAAACTCCTATTTTATAGAAAGTTAACCCTCATATTAGACTTCTTCATTCTTAATTACATTCAGCAGGACATTTATTGTAGGAAGAATTAATAAAGTTAGGCAAAAATTTAAAGTATGTAAAAGGAATGCATTTTTAATAAGAAGCTTATGTTATATTGGAAGGAGAGTTTGAAATACCAATAGAGTAAATACCTAAAAAAATTGAATTTTAGAATCTTTAATTATCAATTAATTATTATACACACTCTTAAGTATTTGATATTTTAGGTTATATTCCTGAATTTGTGGAGTTTTCTGATATGGTTAGATGGATAAAATTAAGAAATCAAGATATTGGATTTCCTTGCTATGGAACGCATACAGTTGAAGGATTAAAGTAAATTTAGATAACAAATATTTTGAAAAAAAATAACTAATTTACAATATTTTATATTTTATGAAAATAAATCCCATTCATATTCTATCAAATTCTGACATTAGAATTCTACATTTAAAGGTAAAATGACTAAAATTTAAAAATAATGGAAAACTTACATCCTGCAGAAGAAATAGTTAAAAAGATTCTAGATAATATAGAGTAGCATCATTAGTTTATAGATTATGTGAATAAAAATTCTAATAAATAAAAATAAGGAATCTGGATTAAATAATACCATAAAGGAGAAGAACTCAAAAAAATTACTGAGAATATAATTAGAATTGTAGAATTACAAAATGAATACATTCCTATTAAATAAAAGTTCCATCATATTTTAGTTCATAAATAATTTGTTCCTAATCTTTGTGGTTATCATGCTACTTATAATTTAATTTAATGTGTTTAGAGTATCAAATATAAGTAAATATATATTTATTATATAAGAATATCACCATAGTTTTATGATATAGCAGCATTTTGGTCTTATGTCCGTAGAACATAAGATTTTTTAAAATAATACAGGAACAATCGTGGTTTAGATTCTTCTACTTGGCCATGGAGAAAAGAAGATATAGAGAATGGAGATTTTGAAAGAACTTATTTAAAATGTTGTTTAGAGTCTAAACCACTTTTTAAATAAACTTTTTAAAATGAAGTATTTGAAGGAATTAAATATATTGTTACAAATGATACAATCTTTTATTAATATGGCAATATTGTAAATGGATATAATGAACGTTAGAATTTATAGAAGTATATACATATTTCATTATTTAGAAAATTCAATTTATTTTAAGAGTTTAGACCAAAGGAGGATGAAGAAATGATTTAAACTTATATGTTAGGTGTTACTAATCATTGGATATCTTTTGTTGCCATCAAAAATATTAAAGGAACATAATTTATTGTTATGGATTCTAGGAATAGAGACTTTTTTCTCTGGAATTAATAATAAATTAAAGAGTTCTTATAATAAGATTAATTGGAAAGACCAAAAAGAGGATAGAAACCGTTAAATTAATTTTATTTAGACCTTTATGAATAAGGAATGAAGGATTTATAATAATTAATTACTCTTTTAATATCATGGATAACAGGACAATCAAAATTAGAAGCATATGTTAGCAATCAAAAAATCTAAGTGTTTTTGAATCCTTTAATCGAACTTCTTGAAATTACTTAAGAGAACTATATTAATCTTAGATTTTGTAATGAAAATGCTGATGAAATCTATTAAATATTAGCTCTATGGTCAGATTAATATAGGATAACAGTTAGAGAATATATAGGAAATGCAACTTAAATTACTTAATTAAATAAAATACTCTTTTTAAAGGCTTTAGAATTAACGATGGCTGCATTAGATTATCAAACAAGAAGAGGTTTATGGAATCAAAAAAAATAATCATCTTTACATAGAATGCTAGAATACTTATAATTAGTAAATAAATCTTTGTGAAAAGTACTTTTATATTAGTAAGTTTTAAAAATTTCAATTATCATTTTCTTTTGAGTTGATCTATTTCCTTTTTTAAACATTATATCAATTCTTTTTATTGTTATCGAATAGATTCACTTTTGATATAGTTTTCTTTATATTTTTCATTTTCTAACAACTCTTATTTTAATTATGTAATTGTTGTCTAGGCTTTTGTTAGTTTTTTAGTCAATAATTTAACTTCAGATTACAATTCTGTATTCTTTTGTTTCTCAATAGTTAAAGCTTTTGCATTATTTTTTTCTAATGAACCTTTCTATAAACTATTTTTGTTTTGGATTGATTATTTTTTATGTTTTGAAGAAGTTGGTTTTATAGGTGTAGATTTTCTTTAAGTTTATTTGAATGGAGTGAAATCATCATCTGAATCTTTAATGCCTAAAGTTGGAAATGCTCTTTCAATAATTGATTATTATGAACCAAGTTATTTATCAATATTTAGTTGTATATGAGATTCAAGAGATTAAATTTTATTGTGTAAATCTCTTAAATTACAACTTTTAGTTAATTGTTAAAGTTCTTAATCTAGTAGTGTGTTGAGGAAATTTAATTTGTCTTAAGTAATCATTATTTAAAATAAAAACGGGTATGAAGTTGATTTCATTATGTCTAATAGGTCTTGTGATGTCTAATAATATAATGCTTTAAACAGCAAATCATTCAGCATTTAAAGAAGTGTTTGGACAATTTGCAAAATCTAGTGATTTTGGAAATAAACTATTTGGAGAGTTATCTGAATTCATTTAAAAAGGAGCAACACTTTAAGATTTGAATGATCATGTAGAAGAATTAAGAAAACATTTAGCAGATGATTAAACAGAAGATGAAAAGTTCTTTAATGAATAACAAGAATCTCTTGAAGCTGGATTATAAGGTCTAGTAAATGAAGTAGAAGAATTAAAGGAAGCAGTAGATGTTGCAGCAAAAAAGATATCGGTTTTAAATCAATAACAATAAATAATTGATAATCTCTTCTCTCAAGATCAAAGTTCATACTAAAAAAGACTGGCCAATTAAAATGTTATTCTTGAAACAATATCTCTTTTAGTTGAGAGAGCAAATACTCTTTAATTAGAAGGACATAGTCTTATTGAGAAAGATAATCTTCTTGAAGAAATAAAATAATTAGGTAGAGGAAAACATATTGAAGTTTTAGCTTAAGTATTTTTAATAATTAAATTAGATAACTGCTCATTTAGGTAATGAATAAGCAGAAAAGGTTTTGAAACTTTTAGAAAGTTTGAGAAATGCAGTTGTAGCAAGTTTAGAAGCTGACGAAGCTAAAGAATAAGAAAATATTAGATTATATAATAAATTAAGTGGAGAGATAACTGCGTATTTATTTTAATGATTTAGTTCTCTTTCAGAATCTTAAAGACATTATTAATAATTAGAAGAGCATTTTGAATAAAAAGAATATGAATTACGTATAGGTAAAGAGGGAGTTAAGGAAGTGGGATTAAAATTATAAGATAGAAATGATTCTAGGTAAAATAAAATGTAAAAAATAGATAATTCATATTGGATAGAGTTAGAGAAGCTTAAGAATTATTAAATGATAATTTAGATAGAATTGCAAGATGGTCATAAGAATGATAAATATATAAATATTATTGGTCTAAGTATTTCAACTCTTTTATTAATCCTATAATTCTTTGAATTTCTACTCTAAAGCTTCTTCCTTAGCCTTTAATTTTTATAATTCTAAATCTTTTTCTGCTAATTTCTTTTTTAAGTCTTAATTTTCTTTGCTCAAAGATTAAACCATTTATTATTAGTTGGTCTAATAAATTATAGTTATAAATACTGGTATTGCACTTTAAGGTTTGTTGTTAGATTGAGGTATCATTGTTCTAGTATATGGTTTATTTGGAATCATAGTTTATGGATTCTGACCTTTTGGTAATACATTATTAGGCAAACTTCCTTGTACTCTTTAAGGTGGAGGATTAGATGGTACAGTTTTACCAGTAATTCGAGCTTATGGAGTTTATGCTCTTTGATATGGATTTTAAGTTGGAATTGGACCTCTTTGGCTTATAGGTAGAGATGGTTAAGGACGATAAGTATTTTACTAAACGAATGGTTTTACGAAACTCATAGGAGGTGATGATGTTTAGTAGAAGGTGCGAGGCATAACTGGAGAACTAGGGACACCTTTAAATTATGGATATCTTTAGGGTGTTGTTAGGTACATTAATATTTTATTTATGTATTATTTATGATTTTGATTCATGGTATTCAATTCTTATAAAGAAATGATATAATTATTATAATTTTTACATGCATTAAATCATGATATCAATAACGGTTATGCACTTTTCTTTTTATCACCTTCTTCTCTTTTTTATAATGCACTTTTTATTAATGTTGTTTTTTCAAATAAATCTTTACCTGCAATCTCAAATCTAAAATAATTTATAATTGAATACTTAATATCGCTATCACTACTCTAACATTCTAATAAACAAGTCTCTATAAATTTAATAAAAAATAAAGGTGCTTGCAATTTAAATTATTCATAACTATAAAATTCTGGAAGTGGTGTTATGCCATCAGATCTCTATTTCCATTACAATTAAAAAACACAATTATCTTCTGTTATTTATAATTTAATCATCGCTAATTTATCCTCTTAATTTGCATAATGTTATGTTACTTTTCTAATATATAATCATTAATTATTTACTAAGTTAATTCCTATTATTTTTATGAGATTATGCTACCAGTTTTATGATTCTATTAATGCATATTCACAATTAATGCTGTTTATAGATTTGAAACTACATTAATTTAATTAGAGATATTGGAGGTTAAACTTTCATTATTAACATGATGATTATTATTATTTATTGGTACACTTTGAATATTAGTAGCATTTCCATTCTCAATTTGACTCTAAGATAATGTTTCACTTATTTCAGAATGCTTTTAATCTACTTTTTCTGCTTTCTTATCTTTTTTATTTGGATCAGGAGGTCTTGGTCCAGCTACTCTTTTTATTGCTGTTCTAGGTTAAGCTTATGCTGTTATTTATCTTATTTCGTCAAGTTTCTTATCATCATATCTTTCTCCTGTTAAACAAAAATAATTGAAATCTTCAATTAACTCTTTGTACTTTTTTACATTATCTTCTACTTCCCAAGTAGTTTCATCAAATCCTTTCCATTTCACTTAATATTTAAGTTATCCATTTATGTGTTGTTTTTTTATGATCTTCTCAGGTTCTTTCATCATTTTTTATTTTTATGTTTCAATAACAACCTTTAACCTAAATATGCCAAATATCACCAGGAAAATTAATAAAGTAATAAAATTTAATATTCAAATTTTATTATCTTTATACTTCTATAATTTTTTATTATTATTTAACAGTCTAACCAAGATAATTTATAAGATTTTATTTCTCTCACCAAGATTCATTAACAAAAACAAAACTTATAAACAAAACTATGTTACAACCCTCATTAAACAATCTTTAATAATAATGCCAAACCTTATAGATTTGAAAATATCTTATATTATTACCATGTTTACTGTGGTTTAATATGAAATAAATTCTTACGAAAGTAGATAAAAGAATTTCTCACAAAAATTTTGTAGATTTAAGAATTAGAAGATTAAATATAAAAACTTAAAAATAAATTATGAAACTCTAATGAAAAGATGAAATATAAATTACAATATAAATAGTTGTCATAGTATTAAAAAAGATTCAATAAACTACATTATCTAATATTGAAATTGTTTATACATAATGAATATTTTATAATTGATATAGAATTCTGAATAAAAGGATAGAATTCTGAGAATAATAAACAAAAATTCAGACTCTGTAATTAAGGTATTATATGAACAGAGAATACAAAAACTCAAAAGTAAAATAAAAAATATTATTAAAAAGAATTTTAAATTAAAACAATTAAATCTGCATAAATTTTTACATCTAATAAATGGAATGATATTCTGAGTTAGAAAATTTATTTTGTATCTAAAAATCACAGTGTTTAAAAGAATTATAATATTTTATAATATTTAAAAATAAGATAAGAATCAAAATTAAGAAGGTGACTATTGACTACTTAATTTAAGTTGTTACGATGCTTCATTTTATATTTTAATTGTCTTAATGGCTGATAATGGATCTTTTTGATAAAAAGTACCAGAAAATTATCCACTTCCTCTTTTTGCTGATAGTGGTATTTCATTCATTAATGAGTATCTTTTAATATCATTTATTTTAGAACTCTATTGTTATTCATCATTGATCTCATTTTAACTATTATATTTAGATTCAGATTCTGCTAAATTTAATTAATATATAGCATTTTTCGACATAAATTATCCAGTTGATTAAATAGCTTAAGTACTAAAGTCACTATTTGAATCAAAAAAGGTATGTGACAATGCTTAAGAAGCACTGACTCTAATTTTAGGATTTTTGGTGAGCATTTTTTTCAGAATATCCTAATGTCTAATAAAATTTATTATTACTATTGATTATTCTGTAATATAAATTCCATCTATTGGTAAATCCAAATCAATCTAACAGGTTTTGTTTGACTTTAATACTTCATCAAAATTCTATCCAAAAAATAAACTATGTCCAGTGAGTAATTTATAAAATATGCATCCAGCAGAAAAAATGTCTACTTTACAATTGTATCTTCTTTCAGATCTCGTACTCAATATCTCAGGTGCTACATAACCAGGAGTTCCACATTTTGGAAATAAATATCTAAAATTATTTATTATTCATACTTCTCAAGAAGTTCTGATGTTGCTAATCCAAAATCAACTAAAACTAAAGATGTATAATCATTCTTCTTAGAAAACATTAAATTATCTGGTTTTAAGTCTCTATGAATTATCTAAAACCCTATATTATTTTTATACTCTATGAGAATGCAATATTTTTAAATTACATAAAAGTTTCTTCATTATTGTCTTTATACTATTTATTGGTAGTCTTTTATTAGGTAGAGTCTATACATTAAATTTAATTTTACTTTTGCTTTCTCTAATTCTCCACTAAGACTTAATCCTTCTAAATATGATGTAACGACATATAAAGTATTGTCCCCTTCATAAATTTCTTTCAAAACAAGAAAATTATTTTCATACTATGATAATGCTTTCAGAATTTGAACTTCAGATTAAAAAGCTTACTAAAAATCATCAATATAATTACTATTCCATTTCCATTCTCTGATATCTTAAGAAATGCCTTTTCTATAGCCTTCACTGCATAAACTCTTTAATCTAAAGCACTTTTTGCACTATATACCTTTTTATATATACAAAAAACCATACTTTTGCTGAACTTCCTTTTCCTATCTGATAAAGAGGTTAGAATAAGTCACCAATACCTTCAAAAGTCACTTTTCCTGCTAATAATTCTTTTAATCTAAATTATCAATTAGAACTGTACTTAAATAAATCATTTGGTTAGGCATGAACAACCTTCCTTTTGTTTTAATATTCAAACTCAAAGCAATCAAGTTACATTTTATTCTTTCGCAACTCCCAATTTATTTTTGTCTCAAGATTCAACTTTATTTTGTATTTTGGGTTTTGGCAATCTGAAGTCTAAAACAATTAGAAAAAATTTCTACTGCTCCCATTGTTATCATATCATCAAACACTGTGATATGATATATAGCATCTTTAAAAAAGTGTTTTCGAACACCTTAAAATTTGAATTTAGCTTCTAAATAGTCAATAGAATCCATTTTTTTCAGGATTTGGTTTATTTTATTAAAATTTATCTAATTTCAGAATGAATCTCATTCTTAATATACTGCTACTTATTAATTTAAATTTCAGTTTAATTATCTTTAATCTTTTATATCATTTGATTTTAAATTCATAAATATATTCTATATTTATCATTTTATTATATCTTATTAAATAATTCAATTCTAAAATATCCAAAATTCCATGATCAAAATATTATTCATATCTATCATATAAGTTAGAAACATTATTTACATTAAATATAAAAAATAAATTTAATAAATTTTTGATGATATTTCAATTTTTTGACTTTAATTAATTTTATTTTTCATTAAGAATCTACAGAGATTTTTTTATTTCTTGATATTATTCTAAGATAGTCTTAATTATTGTACTATAAACCTCTTACTTCAAATTTCGAATTACATTTCTCAAATTAATTTAAAATAATTAAAAAATTTTCAGCTTATTATTTTAAACACTCATCCTAAGTAATTTATTATGAAATTTTGGTGGTGTCATTAATGTATAGCTAAGATCTAAGTTTTCAATGTATAAATTATCATCTATTAATTTTATTTTGAAAAATAAAATTCTTGATTTAAAATTATAGATATCTCTTAAATTATTGAAATTATGAATGAGAAGAGTTTTATAAAAATATTAAAATCTCTTAGTATACCTATTACAAATTAAAAAGAGAATTAATTTGACTTAGGAACTAAAATGATATTCATAATTTTTGGGACATGAAATATATGTTTAATTTTTCCAATAATAGCAATCATTTATCATCTTTAAACATGTTTCAATAGCTAAAGCATATATTTCAATTTTTTGAACTTATATTTGTAGTATACTTTCTTTCCATTTACAAAATATAAATTCTCAATATCTTTTTTTGACATAAGCACATTAATCTTCAGATGTAAAAATTAATAAAATATTATTTGAGGTTTTAGAATTTAATTTAACTCAGATATCTAAAGTTAATTAATCACAAGAATTAAAGCTATTATGTTTAAATAAGTAAAATATTTATTTTATAAATAATACATAATTCATAACTAATTTAATTTAAGAATGATATTGAAGTACTTTTTTATTTTAGTTTTTGCAGAATGCAGTGTTAATTTAGAAAAATAATTATCATTTAATTTTGATATAATCAAAAATACAAAAATGAAAATAAAATTAAAAATATACATATGAGAGATATCTAGACTCTATATTTGAAAAGATAATTAATTTAAATGTATATGAAGTTATTTAGAGAAGAATAGTTTGAAGTTTAAAACTTAATTAATTAAATTAATGACATCGAGTTCTATTCAACAATAAAAGGAGTTGAAAGTTTTTAACAATTAGTTCGTTGTATTAAAGAAATTAAGTTCTGGATCGTTTGGGGTTGTTTTTTAAGGAGAAGATAAAAAAACAGGGGAATAAATAGCATTAAAGATTGAGAAAGAAGAGAGTGATGAAGCAAAGTCTTTGGATAGAGAAGTATATAAATTGTAGAATCTATAGCTTAGTCATAATTATTATAGAGGTTGTAGGGTATAAAAGGAATTCCTAAATTATATTGGTCAGGTTCAGAAGGACCTTACAATATTATGGTAATTTAATTGTTAGGAAGAGATTTGGCTTATTATGCAAAGCATTTAAAAAGATTTCAGTTAAAAACATTGATTATGTTAGCAGAGCAGATGATAACAATTTTAGAATAATGTCATACAAGGTAAATAAATATAAAATAGATATAGATCTATAATCCATAGAGACATGAAACCAGAAAATGTACTTGTAGGACGTGATAACAATGAAATATATCTAGTTGATTTTGGAATTTCAAAGGTGTTTAAAGATGCAAATGGGAACCATGTGTAAATAATAATATTTACATAATTATAGACCTTTTAGAGATGGAAAACCATTTATAGGAACAACAAGATATGCATCTATTGGTGCTCATAAAGGTTTTGAATTAGGAAGAGTAGATGATCTTGAATCTTTAGGATATATGCTGGTATTTTTATATAAAGGATCATTACCTTGGTAAAATTTATAGAATGTAAGTGATAAAGAGAAAACTAAAGTAGTTGGCAAAATGAAAATGTAAATATTAATTGAAGAACTATGTAAAGAAATGCCTAATGAATTTTCAAAGTACTTTGAATATGTTAAGAAATTGTAATTTAAATAAACTCCTGATTATGAATATTTAAAATAATTGATGCGCAAATGTGCTAGTGATAATAAAATAGAATTTGATTATAAATATGAATGGTCATTATTGGAAAGAAAAACTTCTGATGTAAATTATTAATCTAAATATTGTAAAGTTGTAATCATAGCACAATTCTTAGAGAAATATTAAAAAGGATTCAACTCATAATAAAAATGATTAAAATAAAAAGCAATCAAAAAATAATATCAATTCATAAAGTAAATTGAAACCAGAAATTGATAGTGAAAAGATTTCTAAGTCAAAAAGCCCTGCTAAACAAACAAAAAGATAATCTCTAATACCAGATATGCAATCTTAAAATTAATCATAATCTAGTCAATTTGATTTTCTTCGACCTCCAGATCCATATGCTAAAGCTAGGGCTATAATATAGAGAAGTTAAGAGAGACACAAATCTGTATCATCATTAGCACCATCATAATATAGCTAAGTGAATACAATCTAATCAAGCATTGCTGGAAACTATTAAGCTAGTCATATGGATATGTTTGCTAATGATACTCAATAATAATAACTATAAGAATAATAAACTGAAAAAAAATAAGATCTTATTTAAGCCTAGAATTTTGGTTTTCAACCTTTAGAAAATAATGATACAATTGCTATGCTTATTGGAGAAGATGAAGAAGGACCTTGCTTTCAATATTAAGAACTATTAGAAAAATAAGTTTAAGCGTAAGTATTAACTTTATATTTAGACAATTTAAAGAATATGTCAAAAATGGAAATAAAAATAAGCGAAATAAATGATTTTAATAATATATATATATATTTAATATATTTATTATATCATTCAATTTTTTTTTAATTCTGCAAAATATGGATGTAACATAGCATCTTTTGGAGTGATTCTTTCTGCATGATCATAAAGTAACATTTTTGATAATAAATCTATAGCATCCAAACTACATAAATGAGCATTATCTTAATGAACAAAGGATAACCAATCTTGTTTTGGAGAGCAAAAATATATTAATCAATTTTTACTTAAGTAAAAGTCCATTATATGCATTATCCAATTTTATATTGTATTTTTTTATATATTATTTTAACCCATCTGTTCCTAATACTTTTGTAATTTTTACTAATTGATCATAATTATCATTCCCTTAAAAGAACGGCTCTTTTTTAAAAATCTAAATTGAATTAATATCTCTTTACCATAGATGCAAACATTGCCCCAGTACTCCAAATATCTAAAGAGTAATCATAATATAAATAATCCACTAATAATTCTGGACCTTTAAAATATCTTGAAGCCACTCTAACATTATAATCTTGAGAAGGGTGATAAAATTCTGCCAATCCCCAGTCTATTAATTTCAATGTTCTAGTTTTTGGATCAACGATAATATTCTGTGGTTTCACATCTCTATGAAAAATACCTCTTTAATGAGCATAATCTAAAGCCTATTTTCAGTTTTAGTTTACTTTCAACAATTCAAATATATAATGCTTAATATCATTATCAGTTAATTTTGGGAATAAGCTTCTAAAATCTGTATTCTCCATATAAGGGAAGATCTATGTTAAGTAGACTTTTTTACAAGAGTAGGAATTTTTAAATTTTAGTCTCTAACTACATCATGAAGATCAATAATATTAGTGCCACCTTTTAAGACTTAAAGAATGCGAATTTCTCTACGTATTTTTCTTTTCTTTACAGGCTTGAGGACTTTAAGAACTACTTTCATTCCATTTCTATTGTCGACACCTTCAAAGACTTCAGAATATTTGCCTCTTCCAATTTTGCAAATAGCTTCATATGGTTCTTCTGATCTTAAATATAAGAATTAATTTGTACCCATATTCAATTTTAGCATTTTCATAATCCCAATAAGATGGTGGTTGAGTCTGATTGAATGTGGCATAATATTTGGGTTAAACAACAACAACTCCTTATTATTATTTCATAAATTAAATATAAAAATGTAATATATATATTTAGAAATCAAAATCACTTAGAAACTAATTCTTATATTTTATTTCTTAGATCTTCAACTTGTCTATAAGTACATCTGTTTTGTTTTTAATCAACCATCTAATCAATTTTTAAAATCTTGGAGAATTTCTTATAATCATTCATATGTTATAATGTACAATGACAGATAAGTAAATAATTGCATAGCTACTGACTAACAAAATAATTGAAATTAAACTATAAATAATATGAAAAATATTTACTTCTTCAGGTAAAAAGGCATCTGGATCAGAATTAGAGTTGGGTAATTCACCCTTTAATTCTTACAATGCTTACCTAAGATAGGATTGAGTAATAAAATAGAAACTTTCAAATTCACTTAAGTCCTTGTCAAATAATGCTTCAAACTTTTTATCTTAAGGAAGATCTATATTTAAATGAGATTTAATGATTACTTTTATTAACTATCATTTAATAAGTTTTATCAAAGTATCTTTTATAGTTTTCATTATATTCTGCAATAGCTTAACTAAACTTTTAAAAGGATTCAGCTTTTCTATAGACATCGAAGTCTTCAAGTTGGAAAGTGTTATCTTTAGAATTTTCTTTATCAATAATGGTATGAAGTTTGGAGATTTTCATGGCAATATTTTTGGCCATTAAAAATAATAATTTCTCTTTTAAACCATTTGATAAAGTAATTTACCTTGAATTAATGATTTATTATGAGAATTTGTACAGAAATCTACAATAATTAATTTAAGCAAATAAAATGTCATTGTTAGATTTAAATTTGATGGGTGATTAAACAGGAGTAGTATTTTAAGAGGGTTGAGTTTGAACATTAAGTGATCGTCTAAATGATAATATAATAAAATACTCTTAAAGCACAGTATTATTTTTTTTAAAACTTCTTTTTTCGAATTGATTTTCTTGTGTAATGGTTTTTCTTGATTCAGTAATTTATTTTTGACTTTTAGATCTCATAGGATCAGAAGTAGGAGGTTCAATAACAGTAGTAGGTGGATGTGGTAAATGATACATTTCTGATGGACATCTCTTACTTACTTTGCTATCATTATGGATTTATGTCTTAAATATTATTGCACGAATACCTAACATTTAGGTCTAGATTAGAAATCTCTGATTCCCTAACTTTATGATCTATCCTTATTTATTATTGGAGTTCTGGTTGCAGGTGTTGGTATATTGGATGATTATTAAGTTTATAATGGAATAGGTTTATAAACAGGTTAAGAGAATTGTGAATATATGGCATGAGTAGACATATCTTTGACTCTCATTCTTTAATTCTCATCTATACAAAGACATCTTCGAATGAAATCCTTTGAAGCATCTGATATTGAAGGATGAGAAGGAATAATAAGATGATGATGCAATATTGCTGTTAATAATCCTTATTCTGTTTAGGCTGTATATGGGGTTTATCCAAATAACATTTCAAAAAACATTACTCCCATTGCCCAAACATCTCCTTTCTCTGTATGACCTTATTATCTCAATGCCTAAGGAGACATGTATAATGGAGTCCCTACATTATAATGTCTTCCTTATTGTTTCACTTCCATACTGTTTATTTATACAGCAAAACCAAAATCTGCTATTTTTGGAGTCTATTTCTCTATCAATATATTTGCTGGCTTTATGTCTCTATGAATGTAACCTTTTTAATTTATCTCTAGTAATCCTGTTATTATTTCATTCATTATTCGCAACGCTTCTGGTTCATCTATTCTTCCTCTCTTTTTTATTACTCCACTTAAATCTCCAGAATCGCAATACTCTGTTATGATGTATGTATTATTCTGTGTTTAGAAAACGTCATACAATTTTAGTATGTTCTTTGAGTTAAATGATTTCAGAGCATTTATTTCATTCTTTAGTAATGTAGCATGAATGCTCTGTTTTACCATCTTCATATCAATTACCTTATTTTATAATTTAATATCATACTTTAACAGCCACTGTCATTTAACTATTCTCATCTCTCCCTCTATATACTTTACTACTAAATCCTCTTCCTATTTCTTCATTTAGAGCATAACTGTAATGATCGATTGCTTTACGAGTTTCAGGATAATAACAGCGATTGATTAACATTCAAATAATAAATTAACGACAACATTCATTTAATTATATTGCATAATACATTATATCTATATTATAATTTTTATTCTTAATCCTTTCCCTTAAATATTTTTAAGCTTCTACTTTCATCATTATACAAGACTTTCATTATTTATTAAACATATTTGGATTAAAAATTATTTTAACAGACTTATGTCACTATATAATTGCAATGTTTAAATTCTAAATTTTTTATTTCTTTAAAATTTAAAGTATTTAAATTTACAGCTCTGTAGAGTGTTAAGTTTAAATGTTCTTTCAATACTAAATGTTTACCTAATCTCAGAATTTATAAGATATTATAAAATTTACATTTAATTATCATATAAATGCTTCGACAAATATCTTTTAATCGATTAGAATTTATATCTTTTAAATATGTCAACTCAAGATTTATAATTGTTAGAAAACCAACTTCTATTGTCTAAAGATGAAGCAATAGGCAAACTTATTAAAGGCACAGACCAATATTATTATTATTATTTTTTAAAGATTTTCAATCAACATGGATATCAACTAACAACAGAATAGAAACATTAATTAGAAGCTTTTAAAGACATGCAAACCTAGCTTGCTTAGAAAACTAATTTAAGAGCTTTATTTTTGGAATATGATTAATTAAGTAGCTAAACTCCATCTGAAGAAATTGAGTAGCAATAAAAAGCTATAGTTGATAAAATCAATAGATATTACTTTAAATTTACCTTTAGTCAGGAAGCACCTTCAATTGCAAGAGTAAAAGTTTATTTTAATTGTAGGGATAATCTTAATCTGGAGGTCTAATTGAGTAAATGACTTATAAGTCAAAATTTAATGAAAGCATTTTTGAAACAAACAAATTCTTAGAAAATGCTTATACAGAAGCAGGATTTGCTAAAATAAAACAATAACTTTATGGATCTCTAGATGTAAATAAAATTGCAACAAGCTCTATAAAAGTAATAAAAACTTTTTTATAAAATGTTGGCAATGAAATTATAGAGTACTTATAATTTAAATATTCATAGTTTTCCTGGAATACCTGAATTCTATAATTCATTATCTAATTTAAAAGACTTTAAAAATGATTTTTAGTAAACTCATTTTAGAAAATTGAGTTTATCATAAATGGAAGAGTTACTCCAATTAAATAAGAAATTTTTAGAAAATTAATAGTTTGTTGGAGAATACTATTTGAAAAAATTCTAGTATGATCTAAAAGATATTTAATATTCTAAATTAACAGAAGCTGAAAAAAAATAGGTTTTATCAAATATTAAAAATGTCTATAATTGGACAAGTACATTACCTCCAAAATTTAAATCATTTAATGATTAAATCCTTTATGAATTATTATAAATAGGTAAAGAATGAATTTATATTTTTTAGGTATTGAAGTTAATGAATATGATTTTGATTTATTTTTGGTTTTCTTAAAAGATCCAAAAGAAGATTATGATGCAGCTACAGAAAAATAAAAAATATTCATAAAAAATAATAAAAGAAGCTATTAATAATAATGGCATGAATATCATTAATTGAATACAAATAGATGGATAGCAACAGATTCAATAATAGAAAAATATTTATAAAAATATTTTGAAAAGAATGATGAATTAGGAATTCTAGAATAATATTTAGATACCAAATATTTAAAGAGAATTCAAGCAACTGTAAAATTACATTAAGGTTAAGAATTATAAAATATTTATGATTATTTATCAAGTTCTTAGATTGAATAAATGAACTCAAGTAAATCATTAACAATATGTTCATTTAATTAAATGTATTTTAAACATGGAGATTCAGTTAAATTGTATGTTGAATTAAAGAATATTCCAAAATTGAATGTTAAAATATTTGAATTTAATTCTGAAAATTATTATTTACAAAAATAATAATAATTAGATTCTTCGATTAATTTAGATGGTTTAATTGCATTTGAAGAAACTGATTTCACTTATGCTTACCCACCAATTTAAAAAGTAATTAAAGAATTTGAGTTTCAAACTATAACTAAAATTTAAAGAGGAATATTTATAGTAGAATTTATTGGTAATGGAATATCATCAAGAGCTCTTATAAAGAAAGGAAGATTATAATTAAGAGAAACAATGACATCAGCTGGTCATAGATTTTAAATTTTTGATGAAAATTTCGAATTATGTGTAGGTGAAAAAACAGGAATTTGGATTGATAAGAAATTTTATAATGTGGATCAATAAAGAAAAGAAATATTGATTCCATTTGGTTAAAGAGATCAATAATTCAATGCCGTTATTGTTCATGATAATTTTGCTGAATTTACAACTGTTTTTATTTAATAAGAGAAGTATCAATTGAAATGTGCCTTTTTGGTTGCTGATGATTCTTTGTTAATGGGATGTCAAGCAAAAGCAGTTATAATTCCAAAACTTTTTGTAAATGGAACTGAAGTTGGTATAGCATTGCTTTAAGAATAAAAGGTATCAGTAACAAGTACAAATGATGCTGGTGTTCCTGCAACAATACCATTTGATAATATTAAATTAGAAAATGATAAACCATTTGAAGTATAATTCCCTATAACATCTAAATTAAAAGTAATTGAGATTAAAATAAGTGGAAAAATAACAAGAATGCATAAAGAAGATAATAAGAAAGAAGAATAACTAGAATAATCACATTTTATCTACATTAACAATCTGGAAGGATAATCAGTATTTTGTAACTAGTTATTGAAATATGATTCAATAAATGGATATTAAATATGTATAGTTGGTAAAAATGGTGAACCAAAAAGAGGACTTTAAACAACTATTACATTTACATTATCTTCAATAAATCATACTTATAATGAATAATTTACTACTGATGAAAAAGGTAGAGTGTATTTGGGAAGTTTGAAGAATGTAAGTTCTATAGCTTCAAATGTTAAAAGTATAGGAGATATAGCTGTATCATAGAAATCATGGCCAATTAATTAAAAAAGTTCAATTTCTTATCCATCAAAATTAACAGTGCTTACAGGATAATAAATTAATTTACCATATTGTGATATTGGAGATATAAAGAATCCATTTGTCCTTTATCAAGTTTTTGGAACAACAGAAAGAGCTATTATAAAAAGTTTAACAGATTAGATAACTGTTTAAGAATAATCCATTTCATTTAAATTAGAAAATAAAGGAAATTATGAATTATAATTTGTGAAAGATAGAAATACAATTCATATTAATGTTATAGATGGATAATTATGGAAAGGAACTAATATTATTAAATATTAAAATCAATTAATAATTGAAAAAGGTTTAGATCAATTGGTTGCAATTTCAAAAGTTGATTAAGTAAAAGAAGAAAATGGAACTAAAATTAATGGTAACATAGTATCAAAATAAAAGGTATCTATCTTTGCCTATGCTACATCATTTTTAAATGAATAATTCGATCTTTAAGTTAGTTAAATCTAATAATTGATTAATAGAGATAGATCTGAATAGTTATAAATAAATTTATACAGTAGTGTATTCTAATCAAATAAGGAATTGTCAGATGAATAAAAATATGTTTTAAATCGAAAAACATAAGAAAGATATATTGGAAATACACTTGAGAAACCTTAATTCTTATTGAAAAGATAATAAATTAGAGAAACTACAACCTAAGGAGAATAATTAAATCAAGAAGGATCATATAAAGAAAAATATGAATAATAAAGTTTATCACGATAAGCTTAAAATAAATCAGTAGGTTATGGATCTGCAGGTTCAAAAAATTAATAAGTAACAACTTTCAATGATTTTTTGAAATATCCAGCTATATTATATTCAAATATAGTTTTAGATGAAAATAACAACTTCTAATTAAATGTACCACAACATTATTCCACAGTGACATTACTTGTATTTAATGAATCATCTTATTAATTTTAAATATTACCTCTTGAGAATGAAACTGTGGAAACTAGAAATCTTGCTCATTAATCTACATTAGAGAAAGATAAATTCTATTCAATTTATAGAAACTCATCTAATGTACAAAAGAATGTTCCATTTTAAGTTCAAGATTTAACATCTACAGAAATTAAGCTAGTTGATTCGCTTGATAAAATGTTTATCATTTTGAAAGAATTGAAAAAAGCTAGTGGTGATGATAGTGGATCTAAGGACTTCTAAAAATGGGAATTCTTAGTCAAATGGTACTAACAAAGCACAGAACAAAAGCATAAGTTATATGATGAACATTAGTGTGATGAATTGAATTTATTTATTTACTTTAAAGATTCAGCATTTTTTGAAACTTATACAGAAAGCTATATAAGAAATAAAATAGAGAAAAGCTTTATTGATTATTTCTTATTAAAGGATGATGAAATGTTAAAATAATATGGATCAATGTAAAAGATTACTGAATTAAATGCTTTGGAATAAACGTTATTAGTTATTTACTTTGCAGAGATATCTAATTAATTGGAAGATGCAAAATAAATAGCATCTTATTTAGAAAATCTTAATAAATAGAATATTACTGATTAGAGAATTTTTAAAAAATATTTTGACACTGTTTTGGGTGCTAAAATAGAAACTGAAGATGAAAACATTGAAGTTGGTTAATATGATATGGTTTAATAACAAACACTTTTGCAGCATGTTCAATAACCAGTTTTTACTTAAGCTCATATGAATTTAATGTGTATGAATTAGGCACCTGCACCAAGAATGATGATGATGTAATAGTAAATGCCCTAAATGGCTTGTATCTAATAAGAGAGAATGAGAATGCCAATGGCATAAACTTGTTCAGCTGCACCACGTAGGTAAATGTAATAAATGGAATGTTGTGATTTAATGGATGATTTTAGCTATAGTAGAGCTTAACCTTAAAATGACAGCTATTACAGAGAAAAAAGGTCATAATTCATTGAGAATTTCAAAAATATTGAAAAAACAAAAGAATATTGTGAAAAACATTACAGTACAGGATGCTAAAAGGAGAACTTCAAAAATTTAGTTAGTTTAAATGGATTCTATGTTGATTTAGTTAATCATTCAATCACTAAAGGTATATTAAAAGAAGATTTTCTGTCTTCCAAATTTATACATTGTATAAATAACTAAACTGAAATGATTGCTGTTTTAACACTTATTGGTTTACCAAATGAAGCCCCAGTTTAAGAATATAAATAATTTGGAGGAAAAGGTGTTGAAATCACAACAAAATGTTCTGCTTTATTCTTTATGAAAGAAATAAAGGAAGGAAAAGCATAATTAAGATAAGACATTTTAATAGCTTAAAGATTCTTTGATCCAAATGATAGATTTATAATATCTGAAGATGATCCAGAATTATAATTAGAAAAGGATGTAAATGAATGTTTAATAGATAAAGTTTATGGCTGTTAAGTCATCATCACTAATTGTTCATCAACAAGAGCTGATTATTAAGTTTTAGTAGAATTACCTAATGGTGCTATTCCTGTTAATACAGTATTCTATACAAAATCTTATACAATTAATTGTTAACCATATACAACTTAAAGAATTGAATATTTCTTCTATTTCCCTAAGGTTGGTACATTCACTGTATATCCAGCAAATGTTTCTAGATTTGGTTAAGTTGTATGTGTTGCTTAAGAAGGTTAATTAAAAGCAGTTGAATCAAAATCAATTTAAAATTTAGAAGCTATTGATGATATTTTAGCTAAAGGTAATAAAGAGGATATCTTAAATTTCTTGGCAACTAAAAATATATTTAATAGAAATATATTTAGAGCTGAAGAAATCAGATATTTATTAAAAGATAAAGATTTCTATTTGAAAGTGATTTCAATCTATCGTAAAAGAAGATTCAATGATTTTGAAAGTTTGAAATATTCAATCTATCATGCTGATAAATAGAGCATGAAAGAATTATTCCTTCATAACAATTGTTAAGAATTATTCAGAAGAACTTTCAAATATTTCTAATGTTCTCTATTTGAATTTAATAATATTAGAATGCTTGAATATTATCCTTTAATTACAAAGAGAGTTCATAAACTCACATCTGAAGCTAAAGGAATTTTAAATGTTGAATTTAGAAATTAATATGTTGATTTCTTAACTTATTTAGTTGAAAAACCAAAACATAGTTTAAGTGATAAATTAGGATTCATTTATTATTTATTGTTACAAGAAAGAATTAATGAAGCAATTTAAATTTATAAAACTATAAATGATGTAGAAGCTTAAGGTGAAGCTATCTTATAATATGATTATTTCTCAGCCTATCTTGATTTTTATATAGGATATCCTAATTTTGCTAAAGCAAGAGAAATCTGTGAAAAATATTTAAATTATCCAGTCATTCATTGGAGAAATATTTTCTATGAAGTAGTTAACTTATTAGCTGAATATGATGGTGATGATGATGAAAATCAAAAATTAAAGACTGAAACTACTGTTAAATAGAAATAAATTGAATAAGCCAAAAAAGAAGAAACATTATAATCAATTATTGAAGGTAATGAAATCTAAATAACATATTCAAATTTAAACAAAGTCATCATATAATTCTATAAAATAGACTTAGAAATTCTATTTTCAAGAAATCCATTCTTAAATTAGAATGAAGAAGATTTTGCATTTGTCTTACCTAATTCTATTGTAGAAGCATCATTAGAAGCTTAATAATAACCAGGATTGTAAACTATTTATTTTATTTTTATAGGACATATAAAAAGTCAGTTGCTATTCCTGAAGAACTAAGAAAATTCAATCTTTTCATTTAAATTAAAGGAATTAGTAAAAGAACATCAAATCGTTATTATTCTACATCATTAGGAGTATAGATCATGGAAAATTATGGTTAAATTAGGGTTTCAGATTCTGAAGGAAAATATTTATCAAAAGTTTATGTGAAAGCCTATATTAGAGAGAAAAATGGAAAAGAATCATTCTATAAAGATGGTTATACTGATTTAAGAGGAAGATTTGATTACGCTTCACTTAGTTCAGCTAATCTAGATGATGCTTCCAAATTTTCATTATTAATCACAAGTGATGAATATGGTATTAATATATATATTATAAAAATAGGATCTATTATAAAGGAAATTAATGCTCCTTCTTAAGTTGGTAAATTTGAAACTGAAGTTAAACTTGTCTCTAATAAATGGAATGAAAGAGCTGTTTGTGAATAGGTCAAATAATCTAATTTATATGAACAAAAGAAATTTAGTAAATGTAAATGATCTATCATTTTATTCACAAAATTATAATATCCATTCAATTTATTAAATTCTGTTATTAAAAAATGATAACATTTTATCTTAGTTAATATTATTATATACAGAAAGTCCATTATAAGAAGATTAAATTCTTCGGCTTTTTTTTAATTGTTCCTAAGAATTTGTTATTAAATGCTTATTATGATTAAAATAGATTATTTGTTAAGTATTTTTATAATTATAATTTTAATTAAATAATCAGATATATCTTAAATTATCCTAACGATTTTATGTATCAGCTTTTGTTGCAAAGTACGCTTGTACTTTTTTTTTAGCAACAGGAATATCTACTTCTTTGTTATATGCAAAATTATATTCTCCAGGGAAATGTATATTAATCAGTCTTCTTGTATCTTCACTCACCATAACCTTACCTGGTTCTCCTTATGATTCCATCTTATTGGCTATAACAGCATCAATACCAAAAATGTCATATCTTACAATATCAGTACCAATAATTCCTCCATAAAATTAACCCTAAAATACTAATTCTTTCTTACTGTATGTATTCCTATTCTCATATTCAAATTTAAAAAGTTTATTTCTCTTCTTACTCTTTTAATTATTTCAACCATCTCTAATCCCATTTCTAATACATTTTTTGCCTCTTATCCAGGATGTCTTTATTCCATATCATTTATACCCAATACAACATAACAATCGCCAATTGTATATACTTTATAGACATTCTATTATAAACATTCCTTATCAAATGCAGTCATTAATTATCTTAACATTTTAACTACTTATTCTGCTGGAACACTTGCTGAATATGCAGTAAATCCACTTATATCTGCAAATAAAAGTGTAGCATCTATTAATACATCTGATAATTCTAACTTTATTTTACTATTTTGATAAAATCTAGTCAAAATATGAGATGGTAATAAATTTGTTAATAATGAATCTCTTTATTCTTTTTTCAAATTTTCATTTGCAGCACTATTAAAATTTTTTATTGTTAATTCAAAATTATTATGAGAAACAATAACTAATATTATTGTTGATAAAACAATAAATACTAATAAATTGTTGTGTTCATATAATAATAATTATACAAACCATGCTATTTATTGTAATAAAATATAGAAAAACATATACTTAAATTTTAATGACTATTAATTAACAGCTGAAAATGCAAAAAAATATGCTTCTGCATTATCTGAAACTAAAAATCTTTATTAATTATCAAAAGTAACAAAAAACATTGTTAAGAAAGCACTAACATAATACAAACCTGTTAAAGCAAGATCTAAATTATGCATATTGTATTTTTTGAGCCTGCTTGTTATGAAGTACAATATAATTAAATATAGACTCAAAAACATTCTAACAATATAAATAGTTAATCCATCATAACCGGAATCCAGTAATTATATTTATGCTTTAAATAAGGTGTAAACAATAGTCATAGGATAAAAGATATCTTTGAGTGCAGATCTAACTTCTTAATAATACTATTCAAATTGCATAACAATAATAGCATCATTGCATTTCTCATATTCTAATGTTAATTTCTTATATTTCAATATATCTAAATCTTTAATTTTCTTAATTTTTTCATTCTTGGTATCAATTTCTGGAGCATCAATATCATTATCAGAAACACCAACTATTCTATTTTCTGGATCTTTTTCTACTGATTTCATTTAAATTTCATCTTCCTTAGTTTCTTCCCAATCATTAGTATTATAATCAGTTTTTTAAACAATTTAAGTTCTTGCTCTACTTTTCCATTCTTTTTCACTAACAGAAGTAAAGTCTTCTTTCATTGTAGCTTTTCTTTGACCTCTTGTTTATTCTGCTCTATTATTTTTTCTGGTTATTTTTATTAATTATGATCCTTGCATAGAATGATTCATTATTTTTGATCTTCTACCATATTCTTTAGTAGTTGGATGTTCATTTTGATTGATAGATTATGATGGTGAGAAATCTTTATAAGTTTATTTTAATTAAGTTGATTTAATATTTATATTATTCGTTTTGTGAGTTTTGAAAGTTAATTATCTTCCATTTTTTTAACCATCATAAAATCTAACTTATGATTAATGTTTTTTTACATATAGTTTTCTTTTACTTACCTAATGAACAATTAAATGACCTTTACCTTTTGCTTCAACTTCTCTAGATATAAATAAAAATTCAGAATCTTTTACTCTTTCATAAGCTTCTGATGATATTGTAATTCTTCCAACATCTCCAGTTGAACACATTCTAGAAGCTGTATTAACTGTATCACCAATTAATGAGAATTATGGTTTATGATAACCAATTACTCCTGCAAATACTTAACCATAATGAATTCCTATCTTTATTTTTAATTTAAATAATTTAACAATTTCTTATTCTTTGTATTCATATTTAAATTCAGATATTGCCTTTAAAAAATCTAAAGATAATTCTATTGCTATTGCAGTCTCATTTTTCTTTTATTGATTTAATCCATCTTTGTTATTTTCTATTTCTGTAGATTTCAAACCAGAGCATGCCATATAAGTTTTACCAACTGTTTCTATCTTCTAAACACCATATTATAAACAGATTTTGTCTAAGACTCTGAAAATGTCATCTAGAAATGAAACTACTTATCTTTATTTAGATTGTAAAATTTTATCAAATTCACAAATCTCTAAAAAAATAATTGATATTGATCCTTAATTTTCTTCTATCTAAGTTTCATCTGCTTATTCTATTTTTTCGTATATAAATGCTGGTAGAAGAGATTTTAAAATTTAGTTCGTTTATTCTTATTAAGTTTATAAAGCTTGATCAAATAAAAATACTAATCTTTGGAATCGTTAAAACTAAAATATTATAATAAATTTATTATACATTATAGTGAGTATAATTTGATAGTAAATTTAAGAAAAATAACAGAACATACAATGTTATATATTCTACTCTGAAAGTAGGAGTCTCAGAACCAGAATTGACTTAAATATTATAAAATTGGCTCACTCTAATAGTATAATTGACAAAAAAAATTAAAGTTAAAGTATTTGGATAATATAATGGAGGAGGAAAGATATCCCATGCTAAAAATTATTAATAAAGTAATTATCCAAAAGTACTAAAATAATACTAACTTTTATCTTCAGGCAGAGTTACACTCAAAAAATGATCTAAAATTAAAACTACAGGTATAAAAAAGTATGCTTCAATAGTACCCCATTTAATTTAAAATGCTGTTTAATCAGCTTATTTCTTTTCTACTAATTTAGTTATGAGTAGAATCAAAATCCACATTATCATAACTATTGCCCATAGAATATTCAAAACTGTATCATAATCAGTCAAAAATGGAGCCCAGGCTATTACACTACTAACTCTAAGTACAATAAATAGTACTAAAACTACTTCTCTTCTTTATTAATAATAATATTAAGCTTTGAATTATCTAAATTATTTTTCATAATTATGATTCTTAAAAACTAAAGAAAACTTAGAATATTCTCCATTAAAAGATTATGTTTTTTCACTCTCAAATAAAGAACGAATAAATGGATCAATTGAAACATTTTCAAAAACCTTTTTTATTTTTCTAAAAAACTATCTATTTATTTTTATATGATTATTCATTGGAAATTATTTTAGCGATTCTTAAATAAGTTTACCACCCTAATGTTTTAATTATTTTTCTACATATTTCACAAAATTTAATATTATTCTTGGAGTAAACATCATATCTCTTGTCTACTTCACTATTTAATCTATTGTAATTATTATAATAATTCCAGTTATTATTCCTATTATAAATTACCATTTAAATATATTTTTAATTATTTAAACTCTTAATTCTGCTTATACAACTATTGCAAATGAGATAGTTAATAGTATAAGGGTAATTATGAAATTCCATATAATTTTACCAAATGAAACATTTAGATGGATCATTTAAGATGTACCAAAAGCAAAAACACTGAAAAGTTGAAATAAAAACATTAAATTAGCTAAATTATTAGAATCTGAAGTAAAAAACATCATGAATTCTGCAAATATGTATGTATTTAAAAATCCAGTAATTCCTGCAGAAATTAATACTTCATAAAATAATTCTTATAACCATCTAAAGTTTGATTTGAAACATTTGTAAGTCTAAGGTTAAAGTTATGGTAACATCAATTCAATTTACTCATGACTAGATCTGTCTTCAAAGGTTGGTAAAAGTCCATTAATTATTATATGAATCTATACAGCTAATAAATAGACAACATGTTCTTCAATATAGAGTGTTTTTCTAACACAAACAAAGAGAGTCAAAATGATTAATTGATAAAGACTAATTTTAGTACACATGACAGTTAATTAGCTTAAGTGCATAGGTAATATTTTTGCAAAATATAAAACTAATTGTTTTATGTGTTACAAATCATTAACTTAAATATTTTGATATGCTATCTTTAATGATCTTTTTTCCTTTGAAAATTGGATAGTAGCATTAGCATGAGAATTCATATTGAAATCATCAACTGAATCTGAAATTGTTAAAAGTGTACTACTTGGTTCCAAAATCTTTGTTACAGCTTTTGTTATCAACTCTTTATCTGCTGGAGAACAATCATATGCAATCACAGTCTTTAAAATTAAAGCAATAAATAAGAAATGACTTTTTGTATAATCATCACTAAATATAGGTTTTATAGATTTTCCATTTACTAGTAAGAATACTTTTTATAAAGGTTCTTCTCCTTTTTTTGATTTCATTATCATATTTTCATCAAAAGTTGTTTTCTTTTATATTCCACTCCTTTTCATTTCCGAAGTTGATTTTTAAGAAACAAAACTTTTAGATGATTCATTTTATTGATTTTCATCCTCTTTTAATAGTTATTTTCTTATAAACAACAATTAAGATTTAATTTGTAATTTTAATTTTTCCTCATCCACTTCATCAATCCTTAAAAGAGTATTATTATTATTAACAATTCCAACATGATTTGCTGCAGATAAAGTTTACATTTTTTTATCTCCACTCAATATCCATTATGAAATTCCTAGATTTTTGAAAGTTCTAACTTAAGCATAAGCTCCAGGATTTTAATCTTCTTTTAAACAAATCAAACCATAATAATCTAAATCTTTAATTAAGTCTTTATCATATTAAGTCATTTCCATAGTATCAAAACTTGCATCTTAATATTTATTTTTATTTTTGATTGCTTCCTCAGGAATGTCTTTACCTGCATAAACAATAAATCTATAACCTGATTAAGCTTGATGAGTTATTTATTTTTCTAAATTAACTTTTTTTTTTTAAGATAATTTACATTTATCAAGCAAAGCTAAATTTTCACTTTTCACATATAATTTGAGTAATGCACCTTTTTATCCTTTTTCTGTTCCTTATTTATCATTTTGATTAGCTTGTTATCTAGTCCTTTATTAGATTGGTTTCATAAATATAGCAAAAGTTTCATTGTCATTAACTTTTTTAGAAACTAAATATCTTTCACTTAATCCTTTGGCACTAATTTCATAACATATCTTTTTATTTAATAATCCAGCACAATTAAATTCAAATTAATATTATTTAGCAAATTTAATAATGGATTCCTAGTATTCTTCAGTATTTTCATTTAAGAAGTTTTGTGGATTCATATTTGGATGTTCATTCATAACTCCAGACATTCCTATTATAGAATTATTTTTATCTCTATTAGGCTTACTTAATGGTTTAGAATATTTAGTCTTAACATCTTAACATAATATAAGAGATCTCATAAAATTGTCTGCTTATTTATCGCCAGATTTAATAATATCTTATAAATCTCTTCTTGCTTCTTCTTCTCTATCATCATCACTTTCTGAAACCTACTACTATAACAATTCATCTTCATTAATTTATGATTCAGCAAGTTTATTTTCTTTTCTAATGTCTTTTGAAGATAAAATTGGAGAAGGAGATAACATAGAAGGATCTTATGTTTATTCAAGATTTTTTTCAACAATTCTGAGTTCTTTTCTTGTTTTAGTAATTAATCGACTATTATTATTTTATCCTCTTCTATAATTTCTATTTATAACTACTTTTTCACGTGGTGATAATTCTTCATCTCCACTTTAATCTTTTGTAGGTTTGATTATTTCATTTTATTTGATGAAATGAGGATTAAAATTAAATACCATATTTCTACTTTCAGGTTCTACTTCATTAAAGACAGCATCATCTTAATTAAAACTTATAACTTCATCATGTTATGATTAAAGTCTACTTTTAACAGATTAATGACTTCCAGGATTTTAAATGAATCTTTCACTTTTTTACAAAGATGCAACACCAAGATTATTATCTTCTTTTTCTTCTTCTTCTTCTAATATTTCTTACATATTATTATGAACATGTTAAGTAGTCATTAATTTTCTATATTTCTTAGTAGTATTTCTAAATTCCTCTACATTGATTTGATTATAAAAATATACTCCACATATAACTCCACAGAGAACTGTATTAGTATTTGTAAGTGTACCAGTTTTATCATAAATGCAATGATCTATTTTAGTCAATGTTAAAAGTTCAGAAGAATGAGATACAATAATGTTCTTATTCTTTTCAAAGATGTTATTAAAGAATTAAAATGTAACTTCACATAAACCTGTAATAAAACATGGATGAGCAAAAGTTATACTTTAAAATATTCTACAAACTATGTTGTAAATACTTAAATCGCCTGGCTATTTTTAAAATCTTACTATTATTGTAATGCAGAATGCCAATTATATAAAATATAAGAGTGAAAATATTAATGAAAATTTCATTTAATACCTATCAAAATGAGTAGTAGATTTTTTAAAACAATTATGCCACATTTTAATTACATCTTCATCATCATGACTTATTACTATTCCTACAACCCAATCTGTATTAATTATCATACTACTTTAATTAACAATATTTCTATAATCTAAATACTCACCTTTTGGATCTTTTTATAATTTTATAAATCCCCTAAAAATATTATCATTTGTATCTAAATAATCGAATTCAATTTTTCCTGTCAAAATTCTCTTATAATAAATTAGAGTTTAATTTTTTTATTGATCTGATGTTGAAGTCAATTTTATTGATTACTTTTATGTCATATGAGTCATTCCTTCTTTTTCAGATGTTTAAACCATAAATTTCTCTTCTTAAGAATTCAAAATTAAAATACTCATAGGACTAGGCTAATGTCTTTTGAGAAAAACTAAATGACCTACTATCACATCACGTTTGGGACATTTGCTTATGTGACATTTAGGATCCCAACCTATTACATATACTGTTTAATCATAATATTCATTCACTTATTTTAATGCTTTACAAATTTACTGATAAAGTTTATAAGAAGACATAAATAAATTACCAGCCAATTATATTATACAAATTAAGAGTTATTGTCCTGCATCAAAACTAACTGATAAAATTATCACTACAAACAACCATAAATTAAAGCCTTATTTCAACCAATCTAAAAAGTGTAGAATACATGTTTTGAGAATCTAAATATATCTATAATTTTATACTAATCCTCTAAGTAATTGTTTTGGATCTCGTTTGAATTACTAATTCTAAGGATAACCATTTTTGAAATAAAGTTTATGTTAATAATCCTTCTAGTTAACCTATTCTTAGTATGTTCTCTACATAATTATTTAATTAATTAATAATGTAACCTCAACAGAGAATGGGAACATCAGCCATGCGAGTACCAACTCGTATGACTACAGCAATGAGAGTATATAATATTCTATAATTTTATAGAATGATCCTAATTTCTAATCAGTAGCAAATACGACCAATTTAAAATTTGTAGATAGACCTGTTACATAACATGGAATTATTGGAGTCAAACCTACAACAGCTGGACCAGGTCGATAAATATAAGATAAATCATATTATTTAAATTAATTGAGAGAGAAACAGAAAGAAATATTTAATGAGATCGAAAGATTCAAAAAATAATAGGAAGAAATTTAAAAAGCAAATACACTTTATGTTTAATTTGAAAGAAGGTATAAGATTTCAATTCAAAAATATAGACATGAAGAATTAACAAAAGAAGTTAGAGATCTAGAAGGATAATTAGCTGATTATAATCTGGCATTTGATAAGTGGAGAGCTAATACAAGACCAGAAGATATTAAAAACATTTTCGAAAGAATCAAAGTTTTCATATTATTTTTATGTCTTATAGATTTAAAATGAAAGATAAAGATCATAATTAGATGATATTTTTATTGAAAGAAGAGGCTAGGAAGATTAAATTAATTAAATTGAAAATCGATTAAATGAATTATAATCATTAGCTGATATGAAGTTATAAGAATTAGATCCAGAGTAAAGAAATGAATATATGAACTTAATCAATGAAAATAAATCACTCTAATAAGAAATTAATAATCAAAAAGCAGAATTAGAAGAACTAAATGCTAGAATGCAAAATGCAGATAACAGATTGAGAATGGATGCTTAGAAATTAAAAGGATAAATGTTAAAAGAATAAATTAATGAAATGGAATCTAAAAAAAATGATTTAGAAGTTTAATTAAATGAAGCTAATCTTACATTCCCAGAAGCTAGAGATAGATTATTAAATAAAATTAAAGATGACAATGCTTTTATTTAAAATTCAGAAAAAAGAGTTAGAGAAATTAGAAGAAATATAGAAAATTATGAAAAAAGATTAAGAGAATTACAAAGTGAATTAGAAGACAAAAAGTCTTAAGATTAAGATAAATAAAAATATGAAATCTTATATTAGAGAGATTAAGAAATGACAGATTATATAAATAATTTTGATAAAACAAGACAATAAGAATTAGAAAAAGTAAATAGTGTAGAATAAACAATTGTTGAATTATTAGGATAATCTTCTAGGATTGTTTAAGATATTAAGACAATACCATCTTTAACTGATTATGCTGGTTTATCAGCTGAAGTAGATTTTAAAGATAATCAAGTCAAAGATTCCGAAATGACCTTAAAAAAATTATAAGGAGTTTATGAATAAACAGTTTAAGATTTAAAAAAAATTGAAAGAGCTGAAGAATAATTACCAATAGAATTATAACAATATAAAACTAAATGTAAAACAATGTAAGATGAAATTGATTAAAAATTTAATAAAATTGATGAATATAAAGTTAAAGCTTAAGATAAAAAGCTTAAGTTAGAAAATTAAAAAAGAGAGTTAAATAAACTCAAAGATGAATATACTTCATAAGTAAGTATATAAATCATATTTTTAGAGTTAAAATATGAAACATGAATTTGATGTCAAAGAAAAAAAATATACTATGCATGAATAATATAATACTTTGGCTGATTTAGAAAAGAAAGTCTCTTAATTAGAATCTTAGGCCAATACTTTCTAAATGTTTATTGAAACCAAATCTAAAGATATGAATTTCGAATAGTTAAAGAAAGAATGTATGGATTTGATGGACAAAATTAATAAAGTTTTGTGTAAGACTTGAAATCATATATAAATTATGGATAAATATATTCAAATTAATATAAAAATTGTAATCAAGTTATTTTTTTCATCTTTTTATAAGATTTTTTCTAAATTTAGATATATTTTATTTATAAGGAAAGAAAGTCTCTGATTATATACTCTTAATAATAGATCTAGGGGATTTTAATTAAGAAAGGCATTATTCTTATGGTTTTAATCCATTAAACTAATTGAGGTAGGGAGAATTTATCATAGAAGAGTTATAATTAAGTAAATTATATTCTTTTTTTGAAGATTTTTATTCATCACCCAAAGTTTTCTAAGTCTTAATTGGTTTAAGGATTTAATTTGTAAGTGAAATTTGATATTTAGCATAAGCAATTGTTGGTAGTATGCCTGAAGATTCTGTTTTGTTATTCAATTTTTTTTATAAATAAAGTCTTACTGAATTTCTCTATTTATGTTTTTAATCTATAATTTAAGCTTGTATAGATTAAACTTGTTAATTTAGATTTCCTTTTTCTTCGTTAGGAATTTAAGAATTATTATATGTAATATGGTTAACATTAAGATGTTATTATCCAAAGAAAAAAGGTTGGTTTTCAAAAACTTTAGTTTTAAACCTATATAATTTTTTTGCTCTTTCTTATTATCTAATTTTCTTCCACTTAACCTATAGATACATGATACAGAAAACTGCATTTTAGAATCTCTTTGATAATCTTTATTTTTTAAGTACTGACATTTTGGTTGTGAAGATTATAAACTTTTTCTACAAATGTTTAACCTTCTTACCTACTGTTCCACAATCCAAACAACAACAACTCTTATTATCTTCAAAGGATTCATTCATTTATGAATCGGAACTTTAATTTTTTGATTACTTTGATGATGTGTCTAAATCTAAATTCTTAAGAGAAGAAGATTTTGCCTATAAAAAAATTGGTTTTAAAGCTTTTGAATATTTATTTTCTTACAGTTTCAAATGAAACTGCTTTTCATTAATAGAAATGAAGGAAATCTTTTACTTCTAAAGATTCGACTATTTGCAAGTTTAATTCATTCCTTAGAGATTATTAGCAATTATTTAATTATGGATAATAATAGTGATTAGGAGTTACTTTAACAAATTCTAAAGCCATGATGAAAACTTATTTAAGATATTTCATAAACATAAATCTCAAAAACAGGCCTTATCAACTTATATCCAAAAAATATAAAAAAATTATTTAAGGTATATTCATTATATACAGAATTCAAATAAAAATTTTATTATGCTAAAAAGAAAAAGAATGACTGATTAATAAATGGAAAGAAATAATCCAACTAATTTATGAACTAACAAAATAATAATATGTACTAATTAAATAAAAGTTAACAAATTCACGTTTGCTAAAATTATAGCTTATAGCACCATAAGTTGATTCATATATAAAGTTTTAATAATTAGCATTTGGTTATGAAAAAGTAGTAAAGCACAAAGATCAATTTATTTAAGCCAAATCAACTTTAGCAGTAGTTATAAAAAGTGGAAGAATTATATAAATAAATAGTGAATGATTAATAGAATGTAACAATTTAATTTGTATGTTAAAAGTTAAATCATGTATATTTTTTGTATCAATTATTTAGCATAATAAATAATAACTTAAAATATTCTTGAAAAAATTTTAAGAAGCAAAAAAAAGGATTTTCTAAAGTTTTTTTAAGAATATTAAATATAATATCTATTTTTACTAATTCAATAAAATATTAAGGTAATCCCAAACATTTTGTTTTATTTAAGAATTTTAATGTAATTTATGAGACGGATTAAATTTTAACTATCTTAAAAAGGCCAATTGATATTAAAAATATATAGTAATTCATCTCTATTCATTAGAGTATTGAAGAGCATTTTTAATTGATCGAAAAATTAAGACTCACTCAAAATAAATTCTGGAAAAAATATTTAAAACTAGCTTAAATACAAATTTAAATTAATTCTTTAATAGTATCATAATCAGGCTTAATTACAGATAATGGCTATACAAACTCTCCCATGATTTGGTAATATAAAAGAAATTAGGTAATCCTGCATAAAATATTTATCTAAAAATCATATGCCATATTATTCTATTACCCATACCATATGTTATTCATATTTCAAAAAATTAATTTTTTTGAAATATGATTTTCGATGGATTTATTGTAATATTTGATGAGATTAAATATTTTCAATTAAAATGGAAAATAAACTATTTTAAAAATATCAGATAACTTTTTACCATTTAAAATTAAGTTGAAAAAAATTAAATAATAAATTATTCTATCTAAAATGATATAGCCTATCAAATTAGATTGAACTGATATTCAAATTATATGACTAAGTTATTATTGAATATAATTTTGATATGGTCCCTAATATTGATAGGAGGGAAATATTTAGTTTTTTTTTACTTTTTTATCAGTAGTACTAGAATCTATAGTTTTCAATCATTAATTTGTTTTACCAAAATTTTTTTTAATATTTGAGATCATTCAATATATTTTAATGGATTTATTTTTGATATCCAAAATAAATTAATACTGTTTTTAAATTATCAAGTTCGAGTTTTTAGGATTACAATAAAAAGAATTTGATTGACAAGATTGTTTACATTAACACTATATTCTTAAGAAGAGATAAAAAAATTTAGAAGGAATCTAAAGTAATTTGTTAATTTAATTAGAAAACTAAATAAAATTAGTTTAGAGTAAATTCTTTTATTATTTACTTTAAAGATTTCATGACTAAGCCTAGAATAAGATTTAAAGTAAGTAAATAAAAGATTTGTTTTTTTATAATGATTGAAGAGAATCAATTTATTAAATTCATAAATGATTTAAGTATTTGCAAATTTTTAAATTAATAATAAAAATTAATGGGTTTATGCTCTTCATCTTAACAGAAACACCCGAGACCACTAATTAGATTAGTAAAAGTTGAGATGGATAATAAAGAGGTTAATTAATAGTATATCTAAAGTCTTTGGAGAAAGATTAATGATTAAATAGTCTTGATTAAAAATAACCATTAGATTTCTTTAAAACTATTAAGTTAAACTGATAAAATCAACAATTTCTTATTATTAAATGAAAGATAGAATGTAAACCAAAGCATTTTGTCCTTTTTTAAATTATTTGATGAATTTTAAATTTAATTTGCAGAAGAAATAAGGCTTAATGAAACATTTTGGATGGATTAATCAGATTTATTGAGAAATTTTGATTAATTATGTGAAACTTTTGCTGAAATGGGGTTTTGTTCAAAAGGTATAGAAATAAATTTATATTATAGTTTTAACATAATCCTTAACTAAATATTGATAAAAGTGAGATTAATATATTTGTGTATAATGTAATCATCAATTTCATTATTTTTTCTTATTAGAACTAATCTTGAGAGGGAAATCAGAAAAGGGTTGGAGAGCTGATGTTTTTAATACAGCAACTTCATAATTTTTGGCACCTCTTTATTGTTTTCTAACATTTGTTTATTTTGGAGAAACAAATCCACTCAAAATAAGATCACTTTATTTTTATGTCCTGCATTTTTAATTTTTTAATTAAAATGAATTTATAGAATCTGATTATAATAGAGGATTTCTACATATAGGTTCTGAATATCTACCCCTATCACTTAGTATAGGACCAGACTCAAAATTTCTCTATTGATTAGTTTGCTATGATTTTATCTTTTGTACCTTAGAATTGGGTGTAGAATATCCCTTCTTTGATAAAGATTTCATCTTAAATCTTTTATGTTATTCGTAATATCTATTAATCGACTTTTAAACATGAATATTTTAATCCATAAGTTCTTTTATCAATTTTTCATATCTTTAAGTTATAATTTCTACAGTACTTTCTACAGGAATGTACAATGATTAAGTATTATCAACTGATTTATCCTTTAACTTTGTAATACTACTTATTAAACTTATAAATCCTATTTGTTGATAAAAATAAAATTTACCTCCTCCAGAAAAATATAAGGCTTTTGTATTATCATCCAAAAATAACAAATCATAAACATTTCTATTGCAATGTCTACTAACTGTATAGCAATATTTCCTATGTAGTTCATTCAAATATCTTAGCCCATATACTCCTAGTATCAATGGTTCACTGTAAAATTTCTCATTTCTATTACATCGATCTTCTCTTGATTTTATATTGCTTTATACTATTCATAATTTAACAGATGTGAAAGCTCATGTTTTAATTTTTATCGCTGAAAATTGATTATAAATTTTAAAATTCCAACTAAAGGCTCTTGGATTATTTATTAAATTGCTGTTCTTACATTTGGCTAATTAGCAATATCCTAACACAATTATTATCCTTATTTTGGAAAGTATATCTAATATTTATATATAAAAATTACTTGTGTCTTCACTAAATAGTATTGTGTTATCTTTATATATTTTTATATAATTTTTGGAAGAAATACCTTACGATAACCTTCTCCTAAATGTTGATACAGATAATTTTCAAATTTTTCTCTTTTCTATTCTCCTCGATAAATCTCTTCTGATAACTCCTTTAATGTTCCTAATTTATTTCTACAATCTTCTTGCATCTAATGTCCAATTATTCTAATCATAAATATCACTTCCTCTCTAGCTGCCATAAGACTTAAAAATAACTATAAAGGATTCTATTGCATTTTATTAATATGAATAATTATTACATAGTTACACTACATAATTTTAAAATTATAATATTCTAACTTCAATCCTTAGAATCAAATCAAATTTATCATAGAACTTAATCTATATAATAAATACATCAATTTATAAATTATAGAACATCCCTTATTATAAATCAAATAATACTGAAAATCCAATTTTTCTAATTTTTTTAATTTATTCTCAATAATAAATTTAATAAAAATTACTCAAATTCTCTATCACAACTTTTTAAGCATTAAATTCATTTGATCTTGATTTAAATTAGTTGAAATTTTATATCATGAGAATTATTTTTTTAAGATAAGCATTAAATACTTTATTAATAAAAAATACTTTTTTCATAGTTATTATTAGAAGTGAAAAATTGTTTTAAAATAATTATTTAACATTCTTATGTAAAGATTCGATAAAGTTAAATAAATAAAACACCTTAAGTTTAATGAGCTTATTAATTAAATATTTATTAAATAAATGGGCTAATGAATAATGAATAACTTAATTATGATGTTTTTAATTTATTTTATTTCAAAATACGTAAAAATATTTGTATTTTACACTCTTAAAAGTAATTTATCATCATTTTAATAATTAATTTATTAAATTACAATTTATTTAGGAAATAACAATCATAAATTTTTAAATGAATCTTCCACTTTTTTTATCAATTTAAAATAAAAAACATATATTTGTAGAAAATTGATGATACTTAAAAGCAGAAAAAATCAATTATATTAAAACATATGAGTTTTGATTAATTTAGTATTTTTTATGTATTATTATATTAATTTATATAGACTTGAAAAATTAAAATGAAATAATATTAAAATACCCTTAAAGTCATATTTATTAATAAGATGTCTTTATCTTAAATTATAATGTTTTTCAACTTAAAAATAATTTGCTTAAATTTAAAAATATATTAAATAAAACATTAAGAATTGATTATAACTAAAAAAATTAAAAGTTTTTTCTAAAAAGATAATCAGATAGATTCATGATTTATTATTATACGCTAAAATATAAAATTTACATCTTTCATAGACACTAAAAAAAATGATTCCAGAAGCTGAAATTTACATAGTTCTGATATGAACAGCTCTAAAAAATCCAAAAATTCCTTCAGTTTCATAAATAATTTTTATGCATTCTCCTAATGAATGATAGAATTATTTTCTTTGCGTCATTAATTTAGCTTTAACAACATCACAAGGTGTAGTTAAAAAAGCAGCTGTTCCACCTGCAACAGCTCCATTTAAAGCATGATCTTCTATTCCATCATTACCAAATTGTGACTTCATTTTTTCATAAAGAGGAAATTATATTGCACTAAAAGGAATTTCTCTCATTATAAAAGTAGAAAATCCAGCATAAAATCCTTGAAGTCCTTATATTTTATATATTGATTTAATAGTGTTTCTTATGTTAGAATCTAAACCAACTTACATTTGATTTTTTATTACTTCAAATGGATTTCTAAAAAAATCAACTGCAAATTCACCTAAACTAGCTGCAACTATATGTGAACACCCATTTTTTTTTGCAGTATCATAAGTTGAGAAAAATAAAAATGCTGATGGAAAAGAAACTGTCAATTAGACAACCAACTTTTAATATAAAAAAATTATACTCCTCTATATTTATTAACTTTTGCTGCTGATTTAAAATAATCAATTTTTATGTTAGACGCTTAGATTCTTGTTCTTATGGTTTCTATAGGAAAGAATAAAAAGTCTGTAAATATTCCAGCAGATCCTCCAGCTACTCCAGATATCAATATTTTATCCATATTATAAATTAAAATACATCTAGTCATAAAATTTAAAAAATAGAAAATTGTTATTAACTTTAATAAAAAACAATATATAAACACTTTTCTCTAAATAGTAAGAGAAAAAGTAATCTAAAAATATAAGTATTTTTATGTATGCATTTTAAATAGTCTTTCATTTTTAATCAATTTTTACAAATTTTGGAGATTTCTCCAGCAAGTACTTCAAAATTTTTCGTACAAATGAAATTAATGTCTTTAAATAGTTTTTAATAACATGTTTAACCCTCTTGAAGTATTTGAAAAATTAAATATGCATATTAATCTTTTTCTTGTTGAAGATATTCAAAACTTAAATCAACTTATAATGGAAATATGTCCCTAATTATTGATGACAAGATTTCATATTAATAATATGAAATAGAATTTTATTATATTCCATATTAATTTAAAAAATTCTGAATATCTATCTGTTTCAAAAACTTTTTTTTTGTTGGTGTGAATTCATTAAAATAAATATTTTTGATATTTTCTGAGATTCCCTAACACTTTATTAATGGCTATTCTAAAATTTTAACTGTCTCAAGTATTTTATCTTGAATTGAAAATATGCTATTAGAAAAAAATTGTTAGATTTAATCACTTATTTACAAAGCAACAGTCATATTATTAAAAAATATTTTAAGACTAGATTCTGGCATATTTTATGATTAAAAATTTTAGATGAACTAAATATAAATCTATAAAAACTACTTCATTCTTAGTTGATTTCTAAAAATCTTATAATTAGAGCTTCATTTTTAAAGTTTCCTAATTTATTATATGTAAAGATTATTAAAATTGTTTTTCTAAATCTAAACAGCCTTTAGACAAGCTTGTTTAAAATGCTTACAAATTTTTGTAATTTTAATAATTCTATTAATTAAATTCAATATTCAACAAACCTGATTAAGTAGGTATTTGATTTAGGTTAAATTTTTTAATATTATTTTCATTTTATGAATAATAACTAAAAGGTTTTACATGAAATTTTTAGGAGGAATTATCATTTAAAAACAACAAGAAATAAATAAGAGATCTAGTTTTTGGTTTATTATAATAAATTCTTAATGCATTCTGATTTAATAAAATACTAAATACCTCGAAATGTTTTTCAATTTTTTATTATCCATTATATTAAATTATATAACCTGTGTACTCTGGTAGATAAATTTACAGCATTTTTTCCAATGTCTTAAAATCTTCTTTAGTTCTTTCAACTTTCCAATTATATGGTAACGTTTCAATAGAAAATACTGTAGGTTTTCTTGTTTTTTCTATTTAAGTTATTTTGAAGTTAAGTTCTATATCTTTTTCAATATAGTATTATATAAGATTGCATTTAATTTATTTTTGATATTCCTAAAATATTATTTAATTATCCTAATATCATAAAAGAATAATTACAAGATTTATTTGAGATCTTTCTTCTAAAATTTAAGATAAGATCTAAATTTATTCTTCATTAAAACCTTTTTTTTATGCTTCCTCCTTAGTAATTGTGTTATTAAATATTTAATATGACTTTTTTCTAGGTACTAATCTACTTTTTTTTTATATGATTTGGACAGATTATTAAGAATCATTTTAAATAGCTTCATTCTATATTTGCTAATTTCTCTAGATCAATAAGTTAACAATCTTTTACTTATTATTGATTTTGATTTTCAAGACCTTAATTCATAATGATATTATTTTATTAATCTTAAAATTCATTGATTAATTTTTGTAATTCATCTAAAGTCCAACATGATAAATCATCTTTAGATTACAAAAAAATATACCTTTATCAGGATATCTTTCATTTGCAAGATTTTCAAACTTTTCCTGATCATAATTTTTTCTATTATTTCTTATTGAAGCAGATTTTATAAATCTTAAATATTTTGTTGCATTTTAAAAATATTAATTAAACAATGATAGTTTTTCTATTTATATTTGATAATAAATATATTCAATTTTATTTGCTTTTAACTATTTCATATTTGTTAACTAATTCTTTCCATTACTCAGTCTAATTAATATAGAAATAAACTTACATATTTTTAGCAGAGCTTTTATTTTGCATATAGAAATCCTCCAAAGTTCGCTGCAACCTTAAACAAGTCAGTCTTAAATTATTCATCCATAGCCTTAGAAAATTATTGTATCATATACACTAATTGATCTTAAAGTTATTAATTCTATTAAGCTTCTTAAATATAAAGAAAGCTTTTCAAATATTCAGTATCAGCTAATAGTTTATCTAATTCAGATTGATCGAATTTGTTTTATTATATCACTTTTTAGGCAACTATTTTAATATCATTATTTTTAATATGATCTTCCTTTTTTTTATTTAATATATTATAATCTTACACAAACTTATTTCTAATCTCATAAACATTTTAGCATAATCTTATATAAGATTAATGGCTTCCTAATATTTTAACAAATGTCAATTTTAAATGATTATCAAGTAATGCACATGAATCCTCTATTTCATAAATTATTTAATTAAAATGATCATTTATTAGATTGATGTACTCTATAAGGCTACTTTATTCAGGATATTTTGGNTAAGTTATTTTGAAGTTAAGTTCTATATCTTTTTCAATATAGTATTATATAAGATTGCATTTAATTTATTTTTGATATTCCTAAAATATTATTTAATTATCCTAATATCATAAAAGAATAATTACAAGATTTATTTGAGATCTTTCTTCTAAAATTTAAGATAAGATCTAAATTTATTCTTCATTAAAACCTTTTTTTTATGCTTCCTCCTTAGTAATTGTGTTATTAAATATTTAATATGACTTTTTTCTAGGTACTAATCTACTTTTTTTTTATATGATTTGGACAGATTATTAAGAATCATTTTAAATAGCTTCATTCTATATTTGCTAATTTCTCTAGATCAATAAGTTAACAATCTTTTACTTATTATTGATTTTGATTTTCAAGACCTTAATTCATAATGATATTATTTTATTAATCTTAAAATTCATTGATTAATTTTTGTAATTCATCTAAAGTCCAACATGATAAATCATCTTTAGATTACAAAAAAATATACCTTTATCAGGATATCTTTCATTTGCAAGATTTTCAAACTTTTCCTGATCATAATTTTTTCTATTATTTCTTATTGAAGCAGATTTTATAAATCTTAAATATTTTGTTGCATTTTAAAAATATTAATTAAACAATGATAGTTTTTCTATTTATATTTGATAATAAATATATTCAATTTTATTTGCTTTTAACTATTTCATATTTGTTAACTAATTCTTTCCATTACTCAGTCTAATTAATATAGAAATAAACTTACATATTTTTAGCAGAGCTTTTATTTTGCATATAGAAATCCTCCAAAGTTCGCTGCAACCTTAAACAAGTCAGTCTTAAATTATTCATCCATAGCCTTAGAAAATTATTGTATCATATACACTAATTGATCTTAAAGTTATTAATTCTATTAAGCTTCTTAAATATAAAGAAAGCTTTTCAAATATTCAGTATCAGCTAATAGTTTATCTAATTCAGATTGATCGAATTTGTTTTATTATATCACTTTTTAGGCAACTATTTTAATATCATTATTTTTAATATGATCTTCCTTTTTTTTATTTAATATATTATAATCTTACACAAACTTATTTCTAATCTCATAAACATTTTAGCATAATCTTATATAAGATTAATGGCTTCCTAATATTTTAACAAATGTCAATTTTAAATGATTATCAAGTAATGCACATGAATCCTCTATTTCATAAATTATTTAATTAAAATGATCATTTATTAGATTGATGTACTCTATAAGGCTACTTTATTCAGGATATTTTGGTAAAGTATTAGTTAGCTCAAACAAACATGAAGCAGCATTTCCTAAGTATTCTTAAGATTTTTTTTGACAAGTTAAAAATTCATTCATATTAAAAATTACTTGATTGAGGATATTTATAGCATTTTTTGGATAGGAAGATTACTCTAAGAATTTTTTGTAACCATCAAAAGTTAGAGAGACATTAATTTCTCCAGTTTTAGTCTATTTTTATTATAAATTATATCTTTTTTCTCTATACAATTCATCTTTTAGCTTTTTCTGAAGCAATTAATCATTTACTTCATTAATAAACCATAAACATGGTTATATTGTTCTAATAATAGGTATTTTATTATAAATTGAGAGTAAATTCTAATTTAAAAAATAAATTACTTTTATTGAGAGAATAATTTCCTCTATTTTTTGGAAGGATTTCTTCTAATTTTGTTAATCCTCCATAGGGGAACCTTGGAATCTAATTAATAAATAATTGATTTACAATTTTTTCAGGAAAGTATTAACATATAATATTTCTCCATTCTGCAAATTCCTATAATGTTCTTGAAACCTTCCATTGCATCGGAAATGTTTAAATTTAAAAGATAACAACATTTTTAAAAGTAATAAAAGACCATAAACCTGAATCTCTTATTTCCTAAGGGCTAAATAATCATTATAGTTGTATACTGAGAAATTTAAAATTATAATTCAACATCATTTTCAAAAAGATACTTTTCTAATTAGCATTTAATAACTTTTTCATAAGGATCCAAAGTGATATTATCCTATTTTTTGTTATAGAATTATACAATATAGATTTTATGTTAATTTGTCACAATAACTGAGTATAATTTTTCATCAATATTTTAGAATCCTTAAATTTCGTTATCTTAAATTAAGGTTTATTTTTAATTTTTTTTTAATGATTGAAATTAAACAATACATTTTTTTAAGTCATCATAATTCCATTATGATAGATCCTCTATAATGATTGAATAAAATTTACCTTTATCAGGTGCTTAGACTTGTANAATCTTATATAAGATTAATGGCTTCCTAATATTTTAACAAATGTCAATTTTAAATGATTATCAAGTAATGCACATGAATCCTCTATTTCATAAATTATTTAATTAAAATGATCATTTATTAGATTGATGTACTCTATAAGGCTACTTTATTCAGGATATTTTGGTAAAGTATTAGTTAGCTCAAACAAACATGAAGCAGCATTTCCTAAGTATTCTTAAGATTTTTTTTGACAAGTTAAAAATTCATTCATATTAAAAATTACTTGATTGAGGATATTTATAGCATTTTTTGGATAGGAAGATTACTCTAAGAATTTTTTGTAACCATCAAAAGTTAGAGAGACATTAATTTCTCCAGTTTTAGTCTATTTTTATTATAAATTATATCTTTTTTCTCTATACAATTCATCTTTTAGCTTTTTCTGAAGCAATTAATCATTTACTTCATTAATAAACCATAAACATGGTTATATTGTTCTAATAATAGGTATTTTATTATAAATTGAGAGTAAATTCTAATTTAAAAAATAAATTACTTTTATTGAGAGAATAATTTCCTCTATTTTTTGGAAGGATTTCTTCTAATTTTGTTAATCCTCCATAGGGGAACCTTGGAATCTAATTAATAAATAATTGATTTACAATTTTTTCAGGAAAGTATTAACATATAATATTTCTCCATTCTGCAAATTCCTATAATGTTCTTGAAACCTTCCATTGCATCGGAAATGTTTAAATTTAAAAGATAACAACATTTTTAAAAGTAATAAAAGACCATAAACCTGAATCTCTTATTTCCTAAGGGCTAAATAATCATTATAGTTGTATACTGAGAAATTTAAAATTATAATTCAACATCATTTTCAAAAAGATACTTTTCTAATTAGCATTTAATAACTTTTTCATAAGGATCCAAAGTGATATTATCCTATTTTTTGTTATAGAATTATACAATATAGATTTTATGTTAATTTGTCACAATAACTGAGTATAATTTTTCATCAATATTTTAGAATCCTTAAATTTCGTTATCTTAAATTAAGGTTTATTTTTAATTTTTTTTTAATGATTGAAATTAAACAATACATTTTTTTAAGTCATCATAATTCCATTATGATAGATCCTCTATAATGATTGAATAAAATTTACCTTTATCAGGTGCTTAGACTTGTACATATTATTCAAATTCCTCTTAACTATATTCTTTTTATATGATTTCTTCAATTAAAAGTTTCTATAAAATTTCAATATTGTTCATTATTAATAAGAATTATTTAATTAATTGTAAATGGAGGTACTTATTATCAGTTGATGTATGAAGTATAGATTGAGCAAGAGTAGACAGTAGTAATACGAGAGACTAATAAAAAAAGAGAACAATTCCGATATGACTTGAGAAGGAAGGCTTTAAATGAATAATTTAAAGTAAGATTAATATCCTAAATAAAAAGAAGAAGAGAATGCCTGCTAAAGAACTTGATATGCTAAATATACTTAAAAAACTTAGGAATAATGAATCAGAATTAGTAATTAAAAATTTTATTGATTTAGTGCAGAGTATTAAGATTAATGTAAGATGCAAAACTTGAAGAAAATGAAGAAATTGAACTGTTTTTGAGAGATTTATTACAAGAGAATTTAAATTAAGAAATAAGATAATTATGTAAATCATTGATAAATCATAAATTCTGTTGCATACCTTAACATTTAATGAAAAATAGATAACAATATTGAATAATTTTGTATATATAGCTCTTATAAATATTATATTTTGAATCCCTGAAACTTATGGTTCATATCAAAATAACCTTAGAAGTCTAAATATCCCATAATTTATACTAAATAAAAGAGAGAAAAATAAACTTTAAAAGAACACACTATTTTGAGGGTTTAAATTTTCAAATTTAATCAACGTTGTAAATTAGTATTTAAAATCCTTAATATTTACTATAAAAACTTGCAAATTAATTTCAAAATGAATTTTAACATAGAATAACAATAAGTAAAAACTTTCTACTATGAAAAATAATTATTCTATAAATATAAATTTGATCAATTCATAAATTTTTCTACATAAAATATTTTCTTATAAAAATAATTATCGAATGATTTCATTTTGTTAGTCTGTAAGTTTATAATTTAAACAAATATTATAAAATAATTTATTATAGTGGAACAAAAATCCATATTTAGTTTACAATTAAAAAACAAACCAAAAATAGAATATGTTTGATTAAGTAAATGAAAAGCAACTTTCATTTTCATGGCATAAGTCTACAAATGTTCTAAGCCATGCATTTCCTATAAACATATAAGTTCCCATAATTTATACAGAGAAACAAAAGTAATTAATAATGCTGTTAATGAAGAATAAGCAATTGCTCTTTATCGAATAGCAATCTATATACACATTGGAATCATAAATACTAATTCTTTTCTAGTTACAACAATTACAGTTAGTTTTATTTCTGGATATATATCATTTTATTGGTTTAATATCATTGGCCTTAATTCAACTAATTGTTAAATCCAAGGAAATATTAATCCTCTAATCTAGGGATTGACTATTTGAAAAGCTTCAAATGTCTTTTTATATTATTATTATTGACAATATTTATAAATTAAATTAAAGAGAATTTTTTGGCAAAAGATGCTGAAAATTCTAAATAAGATAATTATTTTTCAATAAGTTTTTTGGACATTATTTAACGAATTATAAATTGATTAATTATTGATACACTATCATTTAATTATGATAGAAATTTGTAATTCTACATAAAGTATATTTTCTAACATAAAATTAATAAATAATGTCAAATGCACTCTTTGGATCTTTATTTATAAATTTTAATAAATTTTCACTCGCAAAAAGAAAACTCATCAAACTTAATAAGGCATTAGTAAATTCCCTATCATATAGATTTTTTCATTCAAAAGATTTACCTTCTAAGAAACTTAATATATATTTCTGACATTCCTCTTATAACTAATCTCCTCCAAATAATTTAGCAAGTGGAGTCACGAAATCTTAAGACATTAAACAAACATATCTCATTTCATTATACTTTTTTATTTATTCACAACATGAAATTAAAATAGCACTTGATATCCTACTGAATCAGTTGAAAAAACTAAATGATATATTCTTTAAATATTTTTTTTAAAGATTTTAATAAATTAAATTCATTTATAGTATTTGTAAAAAGACAATAAATTTAAATTTTAATTAGAAGAAAAAAGAATGTATCAGATTTTATATAATTTACAACTATAATTTAGTAGATTTACTTTCTAAATTTTTAATGAGAATTTATTAATTTGAAAAATGATCAAAAAACATAATAGTATTAAAATAAATTAATTAAATATGAAGATTTAAAAAAATTATTAATTATTTTCTTTTATTCTAATAACTAATTCTTTTTTAAGTATGTTAGATATCTATTTTTAAAAGTAATATTGAATTAATTCAGATTCAACTCCACTCTTAAATTAATGAAAAAAAATGAAGAACCAATAATTGAAAATCCTTTTAGATTTCAATTAATAAAATACGTTCTAGTTATCCTTTAAATAAACAATCTTCCATTTCTGAAATTAAAAGCGAATTTATATTTCTATATTTTTATACTAATTTAATTTCTAACATCAACAATTTGTATTCTTTTTTGACTTTCGAAATAGACAATTCTATTTGAAAAATGCATAATGTTTATAAATTCTAAAAAGAGTAATTTAACAGATTTTTTCACTATTTTAGGATTTAAAAACTCATATTCTTAGAGAGAATTCTTAAGAATTTCTTTAAATGTTATTTAAAGGATGTAAATTTAAGAACTAAAGAAATTATACAAGGTTTTTATATTATACAAATTTAAACATAAAATTTTAATAGAAAATTATAATACTAAATCAAAAGAAATTTATACTTAAAACAATACAAATTATAATTTAATTGGTTTGTTTTAATTGTAAGAATTTAGATTATTTTTGAATGAATTTTGAAATCTATACCCTCCTGATTTGATATATATTTAAGGATTTAAGAAATTAAATTGATATAATATTCCTTAATATTATTATTTAAATTATAGAATTAGTCTAAATGAAACAAAGAGAATTAGATGAAAATGAAGAGGAAGAAACTTGTTTTCTGTGTATTACAATAAAAAGAAAGAAATAAGCAAGTAGAAGTTTATAAACGTAATCAAATGATAAAATGAGCATGCAACATTTATCATATGATCATTAAATAGGTGAATCTGGAAGATAAATTATGTAGGATTCAATTGTTAAATTATCTGAATAAGTAATGAAAATTACAGATTATCCTAAAAATAAATTATTTTTCTTAAAGAATAGAGCTAGTAAGGAAGAAATAATAGCTAAGATTACAGAAAAGAGATTTAATATAAATGATTTATCTGGTTCTATATTGGGATTAGATTCACCGAAATCTCCTTAATAAGAGTAATTATAATAAATAGAACATACTCCTGATTATGTAGCTAGATATATAGCAAAGAGATTAAAAGAATTTGTTATTATTACTGATTTAGGTTGTGGGGTTGGAGGTAATACAGTTCAATTGGCCAAAGAATGTCAATATGTAATAGGAGTAGAAGTAGAAGGAAAATTAATAGAATTAGCAAAAAAGAATTGCTCACACTAAAATGTTAATGTAGATCTAATTTGTGCAGATATATTTACTTTAAATAATTTAAAAACTGATGTAATTTTTGTTAACCCAAGCATAAATAATGATACAATACCATATAAAGACTTATTAAAAAGCTGTAATCCAGATATCAATAAAATTTTATTGAATCATTAAAAAAATACTAAGAACTTTGTTTTTTAATTGTCTCCATAAATTGATATTTCTTAATTACCTTTATTACTTAATATTAATTCTCAATTTGCTTACTTTAGATAGAATTGTCCATCATTTTGTAGCATTGAAATTGAATAGATCATTTTAAATTAGCATCTTGAATATATAGTTGTCTATTGTGGAGATGTATGTGATGTATTTATTTATTATCTAAATTTTTTTAGATAAAATAATCAGAAATTATTAAATTTCTTACTAAATAATTTCGGAAAGTATAACCTGATTATAGTTCAATTTAAAAATAACATTTATTTTGGTTATTTGAATTGATAAATAGAAACATTGGAATTCAAAATCTTATTTATAGAGCAGTTGAAGCAATTAAATAAAAAAAATCTATAGAAAATTTTTGTAAATTTATTAAACAATAATTTTAAATTCACTAAGATCTTTACTAAACTTATATTAATCAGTAAACTTTTATTTAAATTAAGTGATAAAAATGATAAAGAGGATTTATACTCTGTATCAAAACAAGAAATTGATTAATAGGACATAGATAATATGAGTCCAAGCAATTTTTCATATAAATAAATTGAAGTTGCAAATATGCACTATTCTTATAATAATGAAAATGTATTTGAAGTTTTTGAAGATGAAGAAATAGATAGACATAATTCATTTGTGATGAATGTTAAACATTGAGAGATCATATTGCATTAGTTGACTTTTAGTAATTAAATTATATAATTTTATTTTTATATATGGCTATGATTTTATATAAAATTATTGTATCATAAATACATATTATTAAAAGAGATTTATAAATCTTCTATTTTCAATCACAAATAGCGATATCCCGAATAGTGAATTTTCCTTCTTCATTACTTTTGGCAATTCTTAAATATTTTTCAATTTTCTAAAATTTACAAAAAATGATACTTCTCTACAAATATAACAATTTTTTTATTTTTCTAACCATTTAATTATACATTCTTCACATAATCCTCCATGTTAACAAGGTAATAATACTATATTTGATTCAATATCAAAACAAATTTGACATTTATCATCATTTTATTGAATTAATTCTAAATCTCTCTCTGCTACAGGAGATTATAATTATTCAGTTTTTCCAACAAATTCAAAGGCTTTTAATTTAGTTTTTTAATGAATCACAGATTAATTGCTATGATTAACTGCAATGATATTTTTCTAATAACTAATAATATCGAAATATGTGGATGATATCTAAATAATTTTGTAAGGAATATCAACTTTTATAAATTATTATTTCTATCTGTTCTTATTTATTTAAGTAGATGAACTTACAGTTAATTCAATCATATACAATCTCTAAATATATGTGATTATTACTTAATATGAGTAATAAATAAAAGTAATCCTGAAAGCATTAAACCATTATAAATAACCAATACTAAAAATAGAGTATATTTCGTGCTTGATAATTTTGTTTCTTCATGCTAACTTACTTCAAGAAGAAACCACATAGGGAATATTGAAAAGGAATTCATGTAAAGTGAAAACCATATGCCTCCAATTACTGTTTTTATAATCTAAACATACATTGTGATTTGGTTGTTCGATTTCTTACATAATCCACAATAGTTTCACCAATTGAGAGTAAAAATACAATATAAACTATAAAGGATATAATAAGTAATCCCCAAGAGATACTAAATACACTGTACCAATTCCATGTTATGGTTTTTGTTACTTTCATTGTTATTAACATTATTTATAATACTAATAACAATTTTATTCCTTAAACAATCTCTTATTTATTTAAATATTTACAAAGGAATATTATGATATTTATTGATTATTAGATATTTTACGAATATTCGATACTAATACTCTAATAAAGTAGTAAGCCATGACTGCATAGCTAAAATACTAAATTTAAAATTGTTGATAATATTTGACATTAATCAAAAATAATAATTTAAGTATACTTCCTATTAATGTATCCATTATAAGATTATTTACAATTGCTTTAAATCTACGTTAATGAAAATGTACTTTATTTTAAGTAATCCTAAAGCTATCAAAATTAATATATCAAGCATCCAATATTATAACATCAAATATAAGGAATCAAATTACCAAATGAGATAGGAAAGATAAATTATCTGATAAGACTATGATATTTGTTACAGAAACATCATTTAGCATATTTTCATATTAGCATTGTTTGAATTATTATTTCTCATATTTTTATTTTATAATTGTTTTGATTAAAAATTTATAAAACTCTCTTTCTTAAACATATTTATTCAAGAGATCTATTTTAGAAAAAGACTAAGAAAAATTATCATAAAAATTTATAGGATTTAGAATTCGCTAATTTTTGATCTAATCATAATATTAATAATAAATACGATATATTTTTTGTAAATAAATATAATTATTTAGAGTAAGATGATTAATTTAAAAGTTTAAAGTGATTTTTTTATAGAATGAATAATTAATAAAATGTTAAATAAGTAGCAATTAATATTATATTTTATAATCTTTTCTATTTATACAATATCAGAATAATTTGGCTTCATTTCTTAATTTCTATAAGAGCACATCTACATTTTCTACAATAGCTCCACCTTTTCTAATAGAAGGAGCTTCAGTTTTTGTGATTTGAATAGAATTATGTAATTTGCCTAATTTTTCAAGTGGTATGGTTTCTAATGGTTTTGATTTTGCCTATTAAAGAATTATATATAAATAATATACTTTCATAATATTTGGAACACTTGCAAATCTTGGTTAATTTAATCTTAAATCGCATGTAATAACTCCTGGTAATTTAAATTTAACAGTTTAAAGTCCTCCATCAATTTCTCTGACAACTTAAGCTATTCCATCAGTAATTTGTATATTAGAAGCAAATGTTGCTTATGGCCAATCTAATAATCCTGCTACCATTTAACCAGTTTAATTAAAATCATCATCTATAGATTATTTACCCATTAAGACAAGATTATAACTAAAAATAAAAAAAGAATATTACTTATCTCTTTCAACTAATTTAGCCAAGATATTGGCAACATCTAATGGCTATACAGTTTAATCAATTCTTGCTTCAGTAGTAACATGAATAGCTTTATCAGCCCCTAAAGCAAGAGCATGTCTTAAACTTTCTGCTCCTTATTTAGGTCCAATTGTGACAGCAACAATTTCAGCTATCAATTTTTTTTCTTTTAATCTAACAGCCTCTTCTACTGCAATTTCACAAAAAGGATTAATTGTCATCTTAACTCCTTGAAGATCTATACCCTCTGGCTTAACTCTCACTTTTATTCCTGAATCTACAACTCTCTTGACAGCAACCAAGACTTTCATTTAATAATAAATTAATTTATCAATTACTCTCAATAATACCATATATAATTAATAAGATTATTCAACATAATATTGATATTATATCAAAATAATAATAATGCGAACAAAATATCTTTATGTTATAATTATATGATTATAATCATACTCAATCTTAATCATCCCAATGTCCTCTATCTGGCATTTTTGGTCCTCCTGCAGGTTTTGCAATGATAATCTAATTATAATAATTATTTATACTTAATCTACTCTCAAAATTGTAACAGCAGCATCAGTTGCTAATTTTATTGCCCACCATTTAGTCTTAAGATGATCATATACTTTCAAATCTTATGAAGGAGTTAATGTTGCTGTCTAATAATAATTTATATTAAATCTATTTACTTAAATATTGAGTGAATGAGGTTTTTCAGAATTTAATTTATGCAATTAAGCCATCATTTCATTTTAAGCAAGACCAGCATTTTCAATCAATATTCTAGGAATGATTTCAAAAGCTTAAGCATATTATCTATAAGCATATTAATCAATAGATTTAATTTTATTAGCTTCTTATTCTAATAATTATGCTAATTTCTAAATAGAAATAAAAATAAAATATTACAATTTCAGTTGCACCTCCTCCATAAACAAATCTTGAATCTTTAAGTAATGATCTATAACAACTAACACCATCATCAATAGCTCTTTCAATATCATCCAATAAATTTTAAGTAGCACCTCTTAAAACAATTGTTGCTAATTTACAAGTATCACTTTGTTTTTCAAAAATAGTCACTTTTTGACTTCCAATTTCTTGTACATGAACTCTATCACATGTTCCTAATTCATCTGGCATAGGTGCAGATAATCTAGATAATGCACTAGCTCCTATAGCTTTACACAATCTCTTTAATTCAAATTTAGATTAAATTTTCACAATCATCATTTTATATTTTTCAATAAAATGTAATACTAATTCTGAAATACTACCACCTGCAACTATAAGATTAACTCCTGCATCAGCAATACTCTTAACTATTTTTTCAGCAAGTTCTTCCTCACTTTTAGTATAGTTCATCAATTCTGAAGCATTTTTAATTAACACTGTTCCCTTTGTCTCTTAAGATTATGGATCTAAAGGAGCATTAAAAACACAAATCTTGGGATTTTCTAATCTATTAATTTAACCTTCCACATTTCTAGTCACAATCAATCCTGATAAAACATGACTATCCAATACTGATCCACCTAAGATTTTGGTAACTCTAACATATTCTGAATCAAAATTAGCTTTCTCTTTTGGTAAACATCTAATACATGCTTTAGTTACTAAACCAGCAATTAAATTAGAATAACTTTATATATATAAATAAAAAAATTACTCTGATAATTTACTACTTAAAGAAGTTCTTATAGCTTATAAAACTTATGTTTCATCAGCTACATCATTGATTTCCCAAGATTTCTATTGATCTAACAAATCTAATGCACTTTTAAGAGCAGTTTCATAACCGACCACAATTTAGCTAATAAATATTGATTAATATTACCTTGGATGTAATCCTAATTTAATCAAACTTTCAGCTTATTACAATAATTCACCTGCCAATGTTATTACAAAATTGGTAGCATCGCCTTATTCTGTTTCTTACATTTTAGCTGCCATAAGAACCATCTTAGCAGCAGGATGTTAAATTTCCATCTCTTTTAAAATTGTAGCTGCATCACTTGTAACAAATATTTTATCTATATGATTAACAACCATTTTTTTCATTCCATTTGGACCTAATGATGTTTTTGTCATATTTGATATTTCCTTGCATGCTTAAATATTTTTTAGAATGGCCTCTTCTAATCCCTAATAATGACGAGCTCCCTAAAGTATTTATCAATCAATTAATTATACTTCTTTTAACATAGATTAGAAACCTGCGGCTGTGGATAACATAAATTAGATAATTTAATTTTTAAATAATTGCAATACAAAATATTTATTATTAAATGATTAATTACGAAGTTTTAATTGCTTTTAGTTATTTAATTCCTCCTTCTATTAGTGTCCCATATATTCTAGCAATGGATGCTCGCTTTTATGATCTACATTCCAATATTTAAGCTGAACCACTTCCTTAAAATTATTCTATCATTTTAAGAATTTCACTATCGACTTTAAATATTAGTAATAATCCTTATATACTAAGAGTTACTGAATTCATTGAGTTTTTATTAGTCATTTTCTATTCCAATTTAATAAGAGATTATATATCTGAAGTATTATTTGTAAACATATCAGCCATGATCATGCAAATTCTTTTGATTGTAACATTATAAAAATGAATTAATGTTATGAATACAAAAAAAAGTGTACCTTTATTCTTCACATAAAATCTACTGGATTTTTAATTGGCTTTACTTATTTGTCACATTAGCTATATTAATTGATTATGTAAGCTCCTTACACCTTAAACTAAAAAGGAAATATTTATGAGTACATTTTATCATTCTTCAGGATCATTGATTGTACTCTACTTTTATTTTTCACATCTTTATTAGAAAACAAGATCTAAATAAATTTTAAGACGTAGGATTTTGAAGAAATGAATTTCCTGACATTGATTTATAAGATTCTCAAAAAAAACCTAGAATTTCTACCTTAATCGTACCTCCTTACAAATATCATTAGCAAACTCTACCTCATTATTTTTGTGAATTAATGGAAAGAAAAGATGGAATATTGTAGATGATGAGGTTGAAATTAAATTAGAAATGTAAAAATAATTCTTTATTTTTTATAGTTAAATTTTAGCTTTAGATAAGTAATTTAATTTAAAAAAAACTGTCTCTCAAATTTTTTAATGGCATCAATCTTATATCATTGAAAATGCTGATTACTTTGATTAAAATCCAAATGAATTGCTATCTCTTAATTTTTTTTAAAGTAAATACAAGATTGTTAAGATTTACAATTAATTAAAAATATTCAAAGATAACTTAATTCCATTATTAGTAAATAAAATTTAATTACTTTTTCATTTATGAATTTTATTGAATTATCATAATCAGAATAAGCCTTAGTTGATGAGATTAAGTAAATTAAAATGATTTAAAATCATAATAAACCTGCAATATCTATCAAAAAGGCTTTAACATTTAAAAAATAAAAATGGGATGTGTAATCTAATTATTTACCATATATGTAAGTTAATATTTCTGAGCATCAAACTATATGGAAAAGGTAATTTCAAAGTATATATGGATAAGGTAATTTCAAAGAAAATGGATTTAATAGTTTTAGTATAGATTTAAAAATATCA